CACGTGTGAAGGTGCTGGGGAGGAAGGGAGGGCGCTGCCGGTTCCGGGATGCAAGAAAGCGACGAGGTGAGGGTGGACAGTTGAAGATGAGGCAGTGATCTGGCCGGCCCAGAGGCGCCACTCGAGAGCTTCCCCGAGCGCGCATTCGCAGCGCCCGATTTCCCGTGGAGGAAGACGTGCAAGCTTCACCCACGCACGATTGGACTGCGAACGATCTTGCATAAACTTGGAGGCGAGTATGAGGCAAGCCAGGAAGGTGCAGCGGGGACAACACAAGGGGGAGGGGAAGCGGGGAAGCGGGGGCAGAGAAGTGCTGCAGAGGGAGGGCCGACATGATGCGCGGGCGTCGATGTCTCTGTCGCCTGTCACCGTCGCAAACGGTTAGAATGGTGTTGCTGAGATCGTGGGAGATAGAGCTGACAATGCGAGGCTCACCGACGACACCTTGCACAATCCTGGGCTCGACGGAGGACAGATGATCCAGTCTTCTTGGTGCGGAGGATGTCGGGGATCTTGGCGCGAACGGCCTCCAGATAGCAAAGCGCGGTTTGGAGGACATCGGTGGACGTTCGGGAACGACAGAGGACCTCTGCACAAAGCCCTTGATCGGAAGCAGATTCCGCTGACGGAACCTTTGGGCGACTGTGAGTGTGGCTCGCACCCGCTCGCGATTGGAGAGGACATGCGGTGCGTCGACGACGATATCGGGGAGAGAAGCTGTGTGTTCCGCGACGAGAAGATTGGCGCGAGACTGCGAGGCGATTGCGGCGGACGAAGACGTGGCCTTGAGGTCGGGCTGTGCACAGAGCCCGTCACTGTTACCAACAAGGTACACGGCCGGAATGTCATCGGTTTGCCGAACGTCTGAAGGTGTTTTCACGGCTTGATCTGGAAAGACGGTTGCCATGAATATCTGTTCTATCGCCCGCGACAGAAGTAGGTATGCGTGACACCCGAGGGTGACCGACGCGCCGATGCACTCGCGCGTGCGCCAGGACGACATAGCGCGTCAGGGAATGACACAGTGTTGCTCGTGGACTGGCCCGCTCCATAAACATTAAATCAAAAAAGTACTCACCAACGAGTTTTGCGGCATATTTTGACTTTTGAACATCCCGGATTGAGTCGGGCGATGGCAGTGATGTCTTGATGTCGCAGATTGGGTGGAGGGGGCGGTGGATGAAGAAGAGGTGGCAGATGAAGAAGCGGGGGTGTGCAAGTAAACAGGAGCCGGGACAGGTGACTTGGAAGTGTGGGATGCGAGTGTGTGGCATGCAAAATGTTGGAAGCATAGGGCTGCCAACGGGCCTTAGCGCGCGAGGTCGCGCGAGGGCCGCGGTGGGGCAGCGAGTGGGTGATTGCATGGATATTCATTGTCGATAAGTGTGCGGAGACTGGGATCTTGCGGAACAGAGTGGTGGCGAGGGACTATTACCAGATTGATATGATTCAGAAGAGAGCTGGGCGAGGTCGAAGGTGGACTGGATGATAATGATACTGGATATTGTGTGCCGAGGGCGCTGGAATATCGTGCCGGAGCGCAGCGCAGGGCCGAAGGACGCAAATACGTATTCATTCAGCAGGGTCGTTCCGCCTTCTAGCTACAGGCTTTCAACACCACGGCGACGGAGCACATACAACACGATTAGATGATTATGTTCCTGTGTCCTGCGTGAGCAACTGCATCTGTGGGCAGGGGAGGGACCTACTCAAGCGTTACGTGGGGGAGAGCGAGTACAATGGTGGTCACCTTTGGCCAGCCGATGTTGATGGTGTCGAAAAGGTCACGGGGCTCCCAGGTGGTTTCCCCAGAGCACTGCTTGTGCCCAAGCTGAAATTTTGCACAGCCGTAGGCCCCCATGATGTCGGAGAGCGAGAAGATGTCCATCGCGATGATGTCTGTGACCTTAGACGCCACGCCTTGCATCCGATGGAGCGGACCTTCATCGTCCTGAGAGACTGCGTTAGCATGTAGCATCGCACATCAGGGCGTCGGCGCACCTCTACGTATATTTTGGTCGTCAGAACCCACGGCTTGTCACCCCAGGGGATGTCCTCGTTGGCCTTGTCGAGTTTCATGTCGAAAGGCCGCAGAGCGTGCGCCGCCTGGGGCAGGCAGCGGCCGACGAAGGCCGCAAGGAGAGTAGGTGCTGATGACCAGGCAGGATGTCGGTGAGTGGGACGACTGAACACAAATGGCGCAACTTACAGATGCCCTTCACGGCAGCTTGGACCTCTGCAGCGTTGGCGCTGGCACCGGTGTAGTCGTCACGGAGGAAAAGCGTCCGAGGCCCGCGCGACGGCCCCGCGACAGCTCCACGGCCCGGGGGCTTAAGGACCCACGAGTTGACGACCTCGGATCCGACGAGCCAGGGCCGGAGGTCCCGGACGCCCTCAATGGCTGGCAGAAGGGTGTTCGTGTCGGCAGAGGGTCGCTTGGGCGAGGGCACCTCAGCGACCTTGGATGTAACCCCAGGCCCTTGGCCTGTAAGCGGGTGGGACGTAGAAGGGGTGGTCGCGACTTCCAGGAGGTCGCGAAGAACGTGTTCGGTCGGTTCCTCCTTGATCTTCACAGTCTTGAGCGGGGGCGGGCCATCGTTCTCGTCGTCCGAAGAGAGGGAGATGACGGAATAACGGCGCTTGCCAGAGGTTGTAGTAACCATGTCGCCGTCGCGAGCGAGGCCCTGCTATAGCATGAACTACTAGACACGAAGGGGAGGGGAAGAAAGCGCACCTTGCCGTAAGGACCGCTGTTCTCCTTGTTTGAGCCCTGCAAAGATATGAGCATAGGGAGACGAACGAAGGAGGGCCTGCTGTACCTGGTTCTGGGAGGCGAGATCGCTGGGGGTGTCGTCGTCGCTCTCAGCGAAAGCAAAGAGCTCATCACCGTTGTCGCTGTCGCTGATGCTCAGTAAACCCTTTAGGGGCGACTCCTACAAGGACAGCCATCAGTTCTTGTTGAGCATATACCGGATACATACACACCTTGACCGGCTTCCGAGATTGCGTAAGCTTGCGCCGAGCAGCGGCCAGCACGCTGGGAGAATCGTCCACGCTAGGCGACCTGCAGGCGGCGGACGCACGCCCAGGGCGTTGTCGGGCCTTCCAAGGAGGGACTTCGTCATCGTCGACTATGCCCCCGTTGTCCAGGAGATCCTGGAGCGACCGAGCAAGCGCTGCATCGTTCTGTGTTGTGTCTGGGGGAAACACTTCATCCTGGCTGAGCGACCGAGCGAGCAGCGCATCAGCTTCAAGCTGCTCCGGCGTGGTGCTGGTGCTCGAAGGCACCCACACAACTGGGGAGGGCTAACGAAAAGTCAGAAATCAGAACCTGGAATATAGTATGCTGCATACCGCGCGTGATTTCATGTTGGCCTTCGCCTTACCCTTGTCGATTGCCGGTTTCGTATACTTCTGAGTTAGCACCGGGCTAAGGCTGGCGCTTGAAGGGAAGTCAATGAGGGGAGAATCCTTAACGGAGGTCAGAACAGGGGAGCCGCGACAGCGAAAGACACCCACATCGCTGGAGTTGACAAGGGCGATACCCTTGCCCTTGCCCTTGCTCTTGACCGGCGTATTGGCCAGATTTTGAACAGCGGCCTTGGACACCTTGGTGAGCTATGGCATGTTAGTCAAGAGCGACACGCTAGGGACAGGGAAACGCACACGGTCGGCTTCACGCTGCGCTTCGATAGCAGCAAGCTGGTCTTCGGGGACCGGGTTTGTTATGGCCTGCTCCGCCTGTCTGGTTACGAGCTTCGGCGCGCACCCGCTACGGACGCCCAGCATACGATCGTCCGCCACTGGTTACCTTGCATCACTTATATTCTCGCGCCCGCTTCACTGTATCGCTACGCGATTGCCTCCTGGCTCCTCCCCGTCGCCTCTCCTTCCCGTCTCCCCGCTACCGCGAGCCTCTCCGAGGTCAAGCGCGTCCTCTAATCCATCCCGCCTTTCCGCTCGTCTCCGACTCGCCCGACCTCCGCGCTCCCGCGCTCCGCGACCGTAACACAATCGCGTGTCCCTACTCGGAGGGCAATCCGAGCACCCTGCACCGCGCTGTCCCTCGCGCTGGTGAGCCGACCATCCCGAACCCTCTCCCGCATTTCGCGCTCTGCTCCGGCGCCTGAGCATCAAGAGCGAAAACGCCCCGCGACCCACGACCCACGACCTCGAAGCCTCGCCGCGAGCCGTTGCTCTGCCCCGAGTGCCGAAGACCAGCCTGTGCGGACCCGCCCGCATTCGACCGCGCCCCGAGCCTGAACCCGAACTCCCTCGATCCGCCCCGACTCCACTCCCGATCCGCGTTCCGACCTGCGCGCTTCGGATCCCGCTGCCTCGTCCCCACTCCCCGTGACCCTCCCCGTGAGGCTGCTCGCGCGATCCCGCACCCGACCGACGACCGACCGACCGACCGACCGAACCGAACCGACCGAACCCGAGCCCGCCGGACTGCTGTTGCAGAAGCCCGCGATCCGAGGACGATGACGACCCATGCCGCCCACCGCTCGCGCGACGCTGCATGATCGCTCGCGCTCGTCGCCGCGCGCCCGCCTCCTCCGCTGAACCCGACGCCGTCGTCGATGACGCGCGCGCTGCTGCACTTGTCCCCGCGTCGCCCTTAGTATGGGGGTGTCTCGCGCAGTGTACGCCTGCCGCTCTCGACCCGTTGCCTGCTCCGAACCCTCGTGCGCCCCGATGTTTTTGTATTCTCTCTATCCTGCGCGCTCTTCGATATTCTGACCGACCGTACGTTTGTTACCGTACCTTACCGCACCTTCTCCGCCTTCGTGTACCCGCCTCGCTCGTGGGGTGTGTTATGGCCTGCTCCGCCTGTCTGGTTACGAGCTTCGGCGCGCACCCGCTACGGACGCCCAGCATACGATCGTCCGCCACTGGTTACCTTGCATCACTTATATTCTCGCGCCCGCTTCACTGTATCGCTACGCGATTGCCTCCTGGCTCCTCCCCGTCGCCTCTCCTTCCCGTCTCCCCGCTACCGCGAGCCTCTCCGAGGTCAAGCGCGTCCTCTAATCCATCCCGCCTTTCCGCTCGTCTCCGACTCGCCCGACCTCCGCGCTCCCGCGCTCCGCGACCGTAACAGGGTTGCGCGGAGCAATGCGGCGAGGGCCGCAAGTCTCGTCACCCTGCCCGGTCCGAGCATCGCACTGCAAGACGGTCAGGCTGGTGGGCATCAAAGAGCTCAGAACTTACGGAAATACCCATTTGTCCGGCTGTGTCGGGCTTATAGTGCATGAAAGGGCGTAGGGAATCGATACGCCCGCATTTCGGGCACAGGGGTCTCACTTCAGAATAGTTGACGAGTTCAGGAGGGAGTCGGTGCTCGAGCCCGAGCCAGCAGAGTTCTTTGAGCGCTTGACTGTACTGAGAGGAGGGGGAGCCTTGAGCGGGAAGCAGCAAGGTGCGGAATCGGTTGACCGCAGCGACACGGGCCTGGAAGTCGGTCATGGTCGAGCTGTGGGGCATACATCAGCGCAAAGCTGGGGTGGTTCTGGGGAAGGCGTACCAGGAAGAAAAAGGCTGTTGAAGGGCGAGTAGGGCAGATGATGTGGTTCTGTGAAGACATGAACGAGGGGGGAGGGTTTAAATACTCCTCAAAGAGCGTGCTCACCTCGGTCTCTAAACGGGGTTGTCCTATCTGCGTCTGGGGTCCGCGCTCCCCCCAGGAGCCTTCACCGGGAACCCAGATGAGCGCATGCTCGCAGACCTTTTGGTCTGCCCCTGTGTGTTGTCTTGGTGTCCTGGATCAGTACAAGGCTGCCAGTTTGACTTACGGGCGGCATGTGGGCGATTTGATAATACACGCCGCGGAGCAGAGACCGTCAGCGACATCACCATAAATCGAGCCACAGATCTAGGGCGCACGACTCAGACCCATACGCCTGGTTGGGCAGCGATTTAGTACAGCCCTAGACCTCAGAATATGCGAGAAACTTGAACCGCAGGATCGGCCTGTAGCCCGGAAAGGCTTATTTCAACTCCGGCGTCAAACAATGTCTGCGGTTTCATCTCACCCCCGTCGTCCTGTCGCAAGGGCCAAAGAAAATTACTAAGGACCAGCATTGGCTAGAATAATTGCCCACTCCCGCCCTCCGTCTATATTCCAACCGCCCCCACCCGGTGCACTGTGAATACCACTATTTCCGAGCCCGCTTGGCAGCGGACATATCCCTGCATGAACGTCAGATACATTGCGGCCAATAAAAACGTGCGACTCACGGGCTTTTGCCATCCGCCCTCGCCGTACGTTTGCGCTTACGCTTCCCTGGCTCCGCACTACAACGCGTTAGGAATTACTCCTGCCGACGGAAGCAGTTACCTACCCGTCAGCAGTAACAGCGGCGTCCTGTGCGGTGTTTCGATCTCCGTCATCCGGCGCAGCGCTGCTGCGATGTAAGTTTGACGCGTTCATAAGGACAGACGCAGAACCCACCTGCTCCCTGCAGCGTCCTCGCATGCCGCTCCTTAGGATCACAAGCGGCGACTGGCCTGTATCTTGAAATCAATAACAGTAAAACGGAATGCGGAAGACAACTCACATCTTGGCCTGGCGTTTGGCCCGTGCGCTGGGCTTTGATGTGAACGCCTTCGCCTGGGCGCGAGCCTTCTGGGTATTCGTCGAGGTTTTGCTGCCGGCCGGTATAACCCTGCAGTGACATGAGAATCGTAGCATCACCGGCTATGGGCAAGAGGACTAACATATTGAGTTTGGGGATGATAGCGCGCGTATTGGGCTTCGCGGAAGAGGATGTGCCGTTCTCCACGGATGCCGCTGTCACCGGCGGACGGCGAGACCGGGGTGGCACGGGCCCTTTCCTGCCCACCGATGGGGCCAACTCCGACAGCGCGGCAACAGGTATGGAGAGGCTGGAGGCATCGAGCCCATGCGCCAGTCCACTGCTGTTGGTAGGCTCGGCGGACATCACCGACCCAGCACTGGTACGAGGAGGGCCTGGGAGTGTAGGACTGTTCGAGGCCACATGGTCGCTGTCAGATGAATGCGCGGGCGTAGACGTGCCGCCCCCTGAGGTCGTGTGTTGTGAGGCAGGCGCAACGGCGCTGACTGAGTGGAAAGAGGTGGCCGGTTCTACCAACCCGGTAGCGCGTGGTGAGGTAGAAGCAACTGGCAGAGAGATCACCTGGGCTGGCAGAGGGGATTGCATCCTAGCGGGAGAGGAGTGCGAAGGCGCGATAGCGGCCCTAGACGCCGCGATGGCGGCGGTAGCCAGCCCCGACCCGCTAGCCTTTGGCAAGGCGGGTGCCCCAAGTTGGGAGGTTGCAAGCACTGCGCGCGCGGGGGCTAAAAAACGTTTAGGCCAGCGTCCACCTGATGCGAACGCAGGCAGCTCACGGTCGAAGATCCTGTGCACCCAGTGAGCGAACTCCGACTCCAGCCGGGTGGGCTGCACATCGAGACTGTCTTGCAGGGCCGCAGGAAACGAGCGGCCCGTCGGATCCTTCCCAGTAGTGGCGCTGGGTGAAGGGCTTAGTTTCAAGATTCCCAAGGTCGAACCCAACAAACTCACACCGAGATGAATAGCTGGCCCGTCTCATCAAGACCTCCTATCATGGACAGGCCGACACAGCCCGTCATTCTCTGCCATCCCTTCATTTTGGCTTGGTGGGTTGAGCGCAGCTGCACGACGTACCTGGACCAAAATTTAACTGGAAAACACGTAGTAGGGGAATTGGACTCACAACTGCCGGCGGAGTTCGTCAAGACGGTCATTGGACGCAACCGCCTGGCGTTTCTTCTCCACCTGCCGCTCGAGGAACGCCCGATCTTCCTCACCGAGGTTTTTGAACGCCCGACGTCCTCCCGGTTGAATTTAGCCATACGCTCCGGACGCGACAGGGTGAGTCCATCTGGGGCACGTCGGGTGATCGCTGTTAAGGAACTCCCTGTATGCGCCGAGTCGCGGGCGGCCTCCCGCTTGAGGTCACCCACTGGTGCGGTCGCCGATTCAGCAGACGCCGTGGACGCGTCACCGACCGGGACATTCTTCCTTACCCAGGCCTTGATGTGGTTCAATATACGCTACAAAGATCGAACATCACAATAGAGCACAGATAGACTAGTTTAAACACTCACCGAGCCTGCCATTGTCATGCGATCCTTCATCTCCGCTTCAGTTTCTGCCTGCCGACGCGGTTTTCCGCGACCCCTCTGACGCTTCTGACGTTCCAAGTACACCTGTTCAGGCTCGCCAGGGAGCAGGTGGTTGAACCGTGTCATATAACGCGTTAGTAGAATGTCACGGACGGTGTTTGCACCCGTATGTCCCACGTTGCTGCAGCGCGCTTGCACTTCGGGATCGGCAAGCTGCTGCGCAATGAACTCTTGCTCTTCGAGACGTATCTTCACCTCAGGCATGATGGGCTCGCTTGTCATGCTAGTTAGTCAAGCTGCGCTCGACTCGTACATGGACACTCACATGATGACGAGAGGGTAGGCGATTTTGGAGGTTCGAACACGGCGGTGGGGTGTGGACGGAGTGAAAAGCAGGCAGTCGGATCAGATACAACCAACGTGAAGAGCAGATGAGTTAACGAAGAGCGACGACATGGGCATACAAAGTCCGGGCTCGCCGGAGACGGGGCTGTACTAACAAAGCATTTCAAACTACCACTTCAGCAAATTACGCAAACGTATATATCAAGATATGTCGAGCTAAGCGTCGCCAAGGGAGCAGCATGGCGCACGGGCGGGACAGGGAGACGTTGGAACGTACGGATGAATGTGTCAATGTAGAACTGCGCCGCTGCAGCCTGGATGCGACTATACTCAAACGGATCACAATCTTCCAGCGCTTCAATGCGCCGGCGAGTTCCGCCGGCTGCCTCGGCCAAGTCTGCTGGACATGGAGCAGGGCTCGGAGATGTGGGCGCCCCACCTCCCATCCAGGGTCGGCTGGCGAAAGCCACAAGAAAGATGTGAACGCCGTCCTGTCCGGCTTGTTGGAGGGGAAGATGTCAAGCGCCGAACTAGGGGACCCCAGACCTCGGAGATGAGGCTCTCCCGAGACCATTGTTCCACTTCAGGCCAGTTCCGGGACCCGACGACGACGGAGTCTAGGGCGAGGAGCTCGCACCGCCAGTTGACCTCGTGGGCCTCCCAGACTAGTGTCCTCAGCAGTTCGTCGTCCTGCAGGATGTCCGTCTCCGTGACCTCCCTATCACCGAACTTGACGGCGACGCCCTTTTCGAAACGCACTAGCGAAGCACCGGCGAAGATCGATGCGACGTTCATTCGTTCCTTCGCCCGCTTGGCCTTGTGCTTTGTGTCGGCGGGCTGCTTGTGCTTTGCCGACGTCGAAGACGATCCCGAAGAGCGGCCGGTAGGGAGGGACGAGGAGGACCAGACGACGAGCCCGCGATCGCCGTGACGGCCGGGTTGACGGAACCACGCTCGCCATACTCGCCCCACAAGAGATCCCTCCAGGCTTGAATGCCCAAAGGGCGCCGTTGAGCATCCTGTCGAACAATCGGCGCTGGCAGAACTCGCGGACACGTATCAACTGGATGAGGTACCTGCTCCTCTTGGGTCGTTGGGTGAGAAGTTGTCCAGTCGGTCAAATATCCACGGCGGCGGCCAGTAGTACTTGGGAGACGTGGGTGGATGCGACAGCGTGCCAACCGAGCGGAGCGCTTCCAACCAGCACGTGCCGTATGCAACCGACAGCGATACGTAGAAGCAGCGGACGGGCTGGATCTTCTCCACGGGCCTAGCGCCGGAGAGAGCGTGGGCCTCGGCTTTTTTGGCGCCTGCTAGAGCACGAGCCGCGGGGTTCTTCGCGACCTTACGTGGGGCCGACGGCACCAAGGGGTGTGCGAGTGCTTGCGCATCGTGCGGATCGCGCGCGCCAGGGGTGGAAGTCTCGGAGCCCCTCCACCGTTTCGCCGCGCACCCGTCTTCATCTCCTGAGGGCATCGCGTCGAGGCGGGAGCCGTTGAGCAATTGCCGATGTGTGGTGTTCAGCATCATTTCGACCCACTCTCCTGGGGCGTTCAACTTTCCCTCGAAGTCACGGCGGGCCAAAACAAGTCGGGGAAAGGATGGGGTGGAGGAGAACCAAAAGGGAAGGCGCTTGAGGGACACAGACTCGTACACCGCAACGGGGGCGCTACGTTCCTGCTGCAGCCATACCGGCACACCGGCGAGATGAAGGCGCTGTGCCACGCTTGGGTTGTTCGTGTAGGCGCCCAGGACATCAAGGACTTCGAGGCGGTAGTCTTCCCCCGTGTTCAATCTTGGCAGCACCACCTGCATGTAGACGTGGATCCCCGCAAGGAACAGGATAAGGCGCTGGACGTGGGCGGCGAGAGAGAAGACGACGTCGCGGACGGCAGGTAGAAGTCGTAAGCGGTCCAGGGTGATTCGCAGGCACAGGCGTACAGCGTTGAACCTATCCCTGATGTCGGCGGGGCCTCTCGCACACTCCTCGCACGACTGGAGGACGTCATCGGCGGCGTCAACGAGTTGCTTGATGACATACTTGTCCATCACCCCGACGTGGCCGAAGTCGGACTCCGTGCGGGTCCAGTAGGATGGAAGCCAGCCCACCCAGAGAATGTCGTGCTTGGGGGCGTACACACTTGTTTCCCGCGGGATGCATGCAATGTGGATATGGGACGGATGGTATTGCTGTGGCCACCTGGATAACTCGTGTGCACCCCAAAGACCGTCATCGAATGTTTTAATCTCCTGAAATGCCAAGCCGAATTGCGGTACAAAAGTTTGATTTGGCGTCGTGAACATAGTACCGCTGCTGAACCCGTCGGAAGCGACGTATCCATCGAACGGACCGCACTCTCCCAACGGAGGGCGATCTATGAAATTCGTATTAGATTACAGATCGAGTGAATAACAAAGAACACTTACCCTTGATGTCTCGATTGGGCTGGACGCGCGAAACATAAGGGACCAATGGCCCATGTCCGCCACGAGCGTCGAAAGTGTTGGGAGTCATATATGGTAGAACCTACATTGCGGATGTAAACTTCAATAAATGCGACCAAACATCTCAACCAACAACTTACCGGGGACAGGCGATAACTAGATGGTGTCCGTGATTCAGCACAGGGCGGCAAACCAGAATCTTTGACATGTGTTAGCAATATCCCGTACAACAGCGAGTTGACATACATACCAGAAGATTATCAGAGGACGAGAAAAGGTGGAAGGGATGCAAACTTGACAGGGCGGATCGGAAAAGGGGAGCTGAAACGTCGCGCGATAAGAAAACAGCGGGGAAACATAAACATGCCCACGGTCTTACCCAGAAAACACACCACTCGTTTGAGGAAATTGAGTTTCTTGTAACCTTGAACCCGGCCTGAATGCCACGTAATCAGCGCATATCGCCACCAGCAAACGTCCTGCTCGACTCACGTTGACGAGCTTCAGGCGAAGCTTCTGGAGACTTGATGTGGCGATGTTGATCGCAGTCTTGTCAAGGGCTGCGTCATTACGGTGTTAGCGAAGAGCACGGGCGTGCAACGTCAGAGCGCTACGCACATCCGCTGGCCAGGAGACCTGGAGACACCTTGGGGACCTGTGGGGGGAGAGCAGAGATCGGTGCCCCTGGGGCGCCGACGTCTACAAACAACAGTCGACTATGTAGCCGCTATTGTCTGCTTCGACGGTGGGATGGAAGGGACGAGAGGGCTGATGTGGTGGTGGGTGGTGGATGCAGCGCCGTGGAAGGTGGGGTGATGGAGGTGAGAAGAGAGCGAGAAGACGAAGGCGCCTCTGACTCCCTGCTCTGTGGCGTGGGAACAAGAACACAATCAACAAACCCGACCGCGAGCGCGTCCAGTCAGGTGATCGTATCACTGCCAGCTGTCAAGTCCCACGCTCCTACGTTCTCCCCTTCGTTGTCGTCGTCCTCCTACTCACTCCTGTCTTCCTCCTGCATACTCCACGTCCTCCTCTTCTTGCCACTCTAACCCTGCTCCCTTTCGTCATTCCACTATCCCCTTTCCCTCCTGCGCTCTGTACCGGTCATACGATCGTGTGCGTCCGGGAGTTACTGCACCGTAGAACCTGGTTCTACAACGCATTTTCCTTCCTCGCCTTCGTACCGGTCATACGATCGTGTGCTTGTGGCGAGTTACTTTGTCGTAGAACGTGGTTCTGCGCGTCGTTCCTGCGAATTTTCCGCCTTCAACATCCTCCCCGGCTTCAACACTCGCCGCGGTAAAGGCTTACTTACTGTGCGTAACACAGCTCAAGCACCACACCCACTGCTAACCCTTGGGAACAGCGTGTCCTGGCCTTGAGACTCTCGGCTGTTCGACTCCCATTACGCCGGCCTTCTTTTTTTTTGTAACCACGTGAGTTCTACATGTTTCGGCATAACTTGCATGCGCCAAATTCAATCCCCAGAGGTCCGATGAAGTCACGCCAAGGCCTCGCATTCTTAAACACCCTCAAGCGGACGCGCACGCAAGCATTCTCTGGGGAGATCCCTGATGGCCCCCGCCCACCTCCCCCCACGGCCGTCGCCGGTCCCAGCAGAGCATGGGCTGGACTTGACAGCGATCGTCTAAACAACCCGGTCGACCTGGCCGGGATCGAGGACACTGGCGACACCGATGACGACGATGACGACGAAGACGGCGAAGACGGCGAAGACGACGAAGACGGCGATGACGACGAAGACGGCGATGACGACGGCGGCGTATACAGTGGGCCGCCTTCAAATTCAGACGTCACGGTGAACCAGTCGTCAGAGGCCAAGAAGAGAAAGAAACAGACGGTACGTCCAGCTGCCCATATGTACGAATGTATAATGACCGTGTCACAGACGGCCGCGGAACACATGGCAAACTTCCAGAACGAGTGGGCCTCCCGCGTTCAAGACGCGTTGTTAGAACGAGAGGCTGGACCCGCGGCTCCCCTGCCGTGCTCATCTTGCGCTTTCCAGATCGGCACGCGCGCGGGGGCGGCGACACACGTATACCGATGTTTTGACTGCATGTACCCGTTGCCCCTATGCATTACATGTATCGTCGCCCAACACTGCAGGCTCCCCTATCACCGTGTGGAGCAGTGGGACCCAGCCATTGGATTTTGGGACCGCGTGGGCCTTGGGGAACTGCCCTCCCCACATAACCTCGTCCTTCACCTTGGTCACGGTGGCCTTCCTTGTCCAGTTTCGCTCGCCTCACAGCAAAAAAGGGCTATGACCATCGTCGACTCGCACGGTCCGCAGACGTTTGAGGTCACCTTCTGCACGCATGCCTCCTTCGAGCAAGAGCCAATGGACGAGTCCATGCAGCTCATCCAAGCCGGGCTGTGGCCCGCGACATGGGACACGCCACGTACCGCTTTCACCATCTCAGCCCTTCGCGACTTTCATCTCCTATCCCTGCAGTCGCAAATATCCGTTCTCGACATCTGGAACTACCTCGCACGAAGCAAGGACAATATTCGAACGCACGAGATTGAGGTGAGGGTCCCTATGTTTAGTCGCGTGTGTCATCTGACGATGAGTCCACATCCAAATAGAATCGATATGCACAACTGCGGGCTTCGATGCGCCAGTACGCCTTCGTCAGGTTGACCAAGCGAAATGGAGTTGACCCGGGAGGCGAGATGGAAGCTGGAGTCCTCGCCACCCTGTGTTCCTCATGCCCGCAGCCAGGGATCAACAACACTGTCCCGGAGCCGCCGGATCTCAACGAGAAGAAGCAAGATGAGAGCGAGGATAAGAGGTGAGTTCTACGTCTTAGCCTGCGAGCCCCAGACTGATGCCGTTGTAGATACCTCGACGCCTTCTTCTATAATAAGGACGCAACCTTCTCCCAGTTTCAAAAAATGAAAGCTGTCGATCCACAGGACAAGGCTATGACACGCAACGGAGGGTTCTTTGTCCACGAGGAACAGGCGGCGGTCATTCTCAAGGATGCAGAGGCGGAAGCTCCCGCAGAGGTACGTGTCATATAAGAGCCTGTGCGCATGAGCTCACGCACTACAGGAATCCACATGCAACAAGTTCGGGGCCATGGGATATCAGCGCTATGCTGGTACTGTTTCTGGACTCCTCGCAATGACATGCTCCCGACACATGATGACGATGAGAAACAGCGTTGTCGACCTGACGAAAGGTGAAGCGTAAGTCCTCGTCCAATTGCAGATCAGTCCACAATGTTCATAATAGAGACAGGTTCAAGTACGCAGACCTCAGTGAAGCCAGTGCAATCAAGCCGTACCTCACCCTCCCGATGCTCGTCTCCGGCTACGACATCAATTGTCAATATCACCGGAATTATGACACGCGGATGGACGAGCTCATGTCTACCTGGTCGGAGCTCATGGGGTGCCTCCCCAGCGTCGCCGAGTGGGAGAAACTTCCTTACATGCTTATCGCCGTTGGCAAGTTCCACCTACCTGCCCACCAAGCCAGCTGTCGCTACAAGTTCTCTTACAACTACCTCCCCGGCGCTGCACGTACCGATGGTGAAGCGTCTGAACGGATGTGGGCTGCTATATACCAGCTAGCCACACGAATACGGGAGATGGGACCAGGATCTCGTCACGATGCGCTGAACGACATCTGGAACGACCAGAACGTCCGTCATTTGCACACAATGAGTATGTCTTGATAGGTTCTTCGGTTATTGTGCACTGACCGTCGATGAAGGTCGGGACCTCTCTGCAAGGTACAACACCAGTGAAGAGTTCATCGCAGACCTCGAGCGCCATCTTACAGCTCTCGAGGCCACATTCAGTCCCGAACGGCTTGCACAGCTCAAGGAGCAAGAGGCTGCGTTCAAACTCGCAGTAGTGGACATGGCGAATCACGACAGCCTTGAGAACATTTACGATATCAATATCGAGCAGGGTGCGTGCGTCTTCAAGCTTGTGATAGTGATGAGTATGAACGAGTGTATATCCCATCAGTGACGGATGCAAAGGATGCGACCAAAAGCCAGAAGGCGCGCAAGGCGTCGTCAACAACCCGTCGGGAGGAAAAGATCATGCAAGCCCTCGACGAGGGTGCTCGCCTTCAGGTAGAACGGTAGGTTTTCATATACTCTCCGCTTTCATGTACTCAAACGGTGTGCAGTGAAAAACTCCTCAAAGCGATTATGCTCAAGGGCAGGGTCCCGTCTAGTGTTGTGGATCAGCAAGCCGACTTTCTCAAGCGATATGCGGAGTGGTCCCCACTCTGGGACGCCCACATTCAGCCCGCATTACAAGATGCAGCCTTGATGATCTCCGAAGAGGACGCCCCCAAGACCAACTTCCCCCGACTGTCTGAAGCTGCCTGGAAGGCCCCACGCGCCAAGCGCAAGGCCTCTTTGTGGAAAGAGGTCTACAATGCCGATATCGCGCTTCCTTCTTCGTTCCATGAAACGGTACTGAAGGAGACCCCAGCTGTGCCTCTTGTGGAAGCGGAGATCAAGATTCGACGAGATGAGGCCCGGGAAGCACTCGACGAGGTCCGCACTGCACTGATCCTCTCGTTCTCTGTGAAACTTAGCAAAAAGCATGCACGGAGCAAGAGGGTGCGCACAGAGATCTCCTCTACCCTCGGATCGGCTCGCGGCGACGTGCAGGCGGCAGCACACAAGTACCGAAGGGTCGTCAAATGCCTCCTCCGTCTAGGCGTGCCACTGGATGACCCCGCAGTCCATCCGCTCGAAGAAACCGATCTCAAGGCGATGGTCATTTCGGCTCAGGGGGACCAGTCGTGGATCTGGGACAGTCTTTCAGTCGTCGACAAGGCTGGGACGGCAGCACATCAGCGGTACAAGGACCAGAGTGAGTACCCTGCCTGGATACACTACTTCAGCTGAGGTCGGGTTCACAGTCGAGAGCGTCCACTGGTTCCGCATACATGCGATGCTCACGAGGTGGCGGGAGGAGCGCAAGCTGTTGCGGCGTGAGATGTGGAGAACTGCGGTGTTCTTCGGCTTTTTCAGGCAGCATTGGTTGCAAAATGCGGAGCTGCATGAACACTCCCGCGAACGAGGCAAGGCCGCATATGCCAAAAAGTAAGTACTCCCTCCAGCACCATCAACGCCGCTGAACGTCCGCCAGGCAAGCGCATAGGTATCTTGTATTATTCGACGGCTGCAAGAAGGCCTACATGTGCCTGAAGACGCCGTTCGTGCGTCATATCTTCCACCTCCCAAAAATCGACTCATCCTTTTCACCAGACGAAGTCGGACTGGAACACCGCCCTCGGACTTCCCGACCTCGGCATCGACTAGTAGAGGTTTCCCCATCTCGCATCTCACCCATTCCAAGTCACCTGTCCCCCCTCCCGTTTACTTCCGTGCTCCTGCTTCTTCATCTGCCGCCTCGTCATCTGCGCTTCCTCCATCCACCGGCTCCTCAATACACCAAAGTCGCTTCGCGCGGTCTCGCACCATTCTCCTAGTCGTGGGCTCGGGGGAGAGGACCATTCAAATGTCCATAGTCGTCGACATCCTGACGCCCTCTTGCAGCGGCTACAACACCCCCTGGATTGCCCACGCCATCCCCTATACCCCGGCCGACATTCCTGGCGCCTCGCTCACAGCTCGCCATGCTTACGCGTACGCCGATGCGGAGGTTTCGAAAGGGGCCTTTCCCAAACCCGAACAATGTCTCGGTTCCTACGGCTACCGTCTGTAGTAAGACCATCTCGTCTCTCTCTCGTCCATTGTACATCATGTCCTCTTACCTCTGTACTCACAATATAGTATATACGCCCCTCTTCTTCTACATCCTTATGCCATACTTATCGCCTCATAGATGATACTGCTCCGGAAGGTGCCACCGCTCAGTTTCACGGAGTGGCGCCTCTCGTGCACCGCACGGACTCTCGCGACGGACTCTCGCGCACCGCACGGACTATCACGACAGGCTCACGCACGCCACATGGACTCTTGCGACGGGCTCGCGCGTGCCGCACGGACTATCACGACGGGCTCACGCGCGCCACACGGACTATCACAACGGGCTCGCGCGCGTCACACGGACTCTCGCGACGGGGTCGCGTGCGCCACACGGACTCTCGCGACGGGGTCGCGTGCGCCACACGGACTCTTGCGTGCACGAGATCGCGAGAGTGCCTGTGTTCCCCACTTAGCACGCTTTGTCTGGTTGCGCATGTCCCTCCTGCATGTACATTACTTTGGCTCAGCTTTGTCAAATATACTAGTTTTCATTTGTCATTCACGCGTGGCCCGCGACCCTCACGCAAGCCCTCGCACCTACCGCACAAAGCCATGATACGTGCGCGCGTGGTGCCCTTGCACTGCATCCTTCGCATGCACAAAGTCTCGCGCCTGCTGTCCACTCTACACCCATGCACATGCTGTGGGAGCCGCGAGCGGAGCTACGTCTTTGTACGCATTATCTTGATATCCTCTATATCTACATGCAGCCCCAGCGTGCATGGTCTACTGTGCGCGTACATCGTGTGCTTCGACTTTCAATTCATGGAATCCACACGCAAGTCTGTTCTTTTGGGTGCGCTACTCTCTTTAAAGTGCTGTGCCATATGATGAACGAATTGAGCGTATTTCTCGCACGCGTATGGCACCCCTCTCATGTGTTGTGGCCGCGTTCTGTGGAGCATTCAAAGGCTTGAGCCATGTAGAAGGTGGTATAACCTGTAAACAGCCACTCATAAACAAAGGACTATGGTGTAGTGGTGTAGATTACTCGCTACAACTGTGTAGGCCGTGGGTTCGACTCCCGCGCCTCCATTGTTTCGGGCGCTTGTAACATTTACGGGCTCCCACGCAATGGGCGCTTATTCCGGGTGCATCTGGCCCTGCCGATAAGCTGTCACAACAGTTGTAACAGGGAAATCACTGCTGCTCGCAGAAGAGGGCGAGATCATCAACATGGGATGTGATGGCTTCAAACTTGTCTCCGTGTCGTCGGAAGAAGATGCACGGGTCAGCCAGTGAGACCGTGAAGCCGAGTTCGAGTAGGATCTCGCGGAGTTTGCGGTACCACAGATGCCCGGACTGTCGAAGACCGTAGAGCGCTTTCTTGATGCGCCAGACCAAGTGTTCGAGTCCGGGTTGCGCGAAACCCGGTGGTTGCTTCACGAACGCTTCCTGATCTTCAGGGATGTCACTGTTCAAGAAAGCGCTGTCGACATCGACGACGTGGATGGCCATACCAAGCATGGCAGCTATGGCCATGAGTGCTCGCATCGCCTCAGGCTTGACGACCGGAGCATGAGTGTCGAAGAAATCGACACCCGGCTTCTGCGAGAACCCTTGGGCAACTAGTCTAGCCTTGTAGCGGATGATTCGGCCGGTAGCGTCGCGTTTCAAGGCGTAGACCCACTTGGTGCCGATTGCTGATCGTCCGCGAGGGAGGTCGACGAGTTCGAAGGTACCAAGGGCTGAGATCGATTCGAGCTCCTTCATCATCGCAGCGATCCACTCTTCAGCGTCTGACGAGTCGACTGCAGACTGGTAGGATTTCGGCTCTTCTCCAGTCGAGAGGTAACAGTGGTCTAGGAGAGCGTCAAGAAAGAGTGTTGCGTCGACCTCTTCCTCGGATTCGTTGGAGGAGTGTGGCTCGTCTCCGTTGTCGTCATCCGGACGGGTTTGCGGAGCAGCGTCTCCTTCATCCGGGACGTCCTCGACACGTGCAGCCTGGTTCTTCGTAGCTTTCAGCTCCATGATGCGTGTCGATCGTCGTGAAGGCTCGGTTCCATGCTTCTCGCGTCGAGTGCGACGTGTTCGTGGACGTGCTCCAACGTCTGTAGGAGGCGGCAGCTGAGGTACGTTTGGCTCCTCACGATGCAGTGGTAGCGGTGCACGCTCTTGTTCTGCTGGTAGCGCGTCGGCAGGCTGAGACGTGGTTGCAGTGTGCGGGCTGTTGTTCGGAGGCTCGTCGTCTCCCTCAGTAGGGTAGAAGAACGAGTCGTAGAGTGGCTCCCCCTCAGCCTGCGCGCTGTTACCACGTCGTGGCCACCCATTGATGTCTTCATGGAAGTCGACGTGGATGGACGAGTGAAGCTGCCAGGAGGACGGCTCGAGCACCCGGTAGGCCTTCTGCGTTGGTGCGTAGCCAATGAATACACCTTCGACCGCGCGTGCTTCAAGCTTGTTGCGTGAGGGAACATCACCCACGTAAACGTAGGCTCGACATCCGAAACGGTGAAGGAAAGCATAGTCTGGGGGATGTCCGAAACGCGCAGCGAACGGCGTCTTGCGACCAGGCAGCGCGGACGTAGGGTTGCGATTCTTCGTGTACACGATGTAGTTGACCGCTTCACCCCATAGAGAGAGAGGGAGTCCGGCATCGATGAGCACTGTCCGAGCGCGATCGAAAATGCTACGATTCTGGCGCTCGGCTACGCCATTCTGCTCCGGAGTGCGTGGTGACGACGTCTCAAGTCGGATGCCGGAGGAAACGCACAGCTCAGAGAAGCTGCGGTTGATGAACTCCCCGCCGTTGTCCGCGCGAATCGTGTCCAGCTTCTGTCCCGTCTCGCGCTCCGTTCGGGTAAGCCACTCCTTGAACGTGTCAAAAGCCTCGGATTTGCGGCGCAGGAAACCCACCCACACCCAGCGCGACCAGTGGTCCGTGAAGGTGATGAGGTACCGATGCCCAGACCGAGTCTGAATGGGAGCCGGTCCCCAGAGGTCCATCGAGACGAGTTGCAGGCATCGCACGGGATGCGCACCGGAAGAGCCAGAAGATGGCGGGAATGACGCGCGTGTCATCTTGCCCTTTACGCATGAGGGACAGGGTGGGTCGGGGATGCGCAGCTGCGTAGGCGTGAGCTTGATCCCAGGAAGTCGCCCAGACCGTGCCATGGCGCGAATAGTGTGGAAATTGAGGTGCCCGAGGCGACCGTGAGCGAGTAGCAGCACGCGTGAAGCCATGTCGTCCGTTGTGTGGTACGACGTTATGTCTTTAGGCAAATCGAGGTGGTAGAGGCGGTCCTTGCCTCTGCTCCCGGTCATAATCGTGTCGGAACGGGAGAGCGCACGTCGAAGGAGGTCCCCACCATCGCTGATCTTGAACGAGACACAGCGACCCATGCCAAAGAGTGTGTAGCAGCCCGCCTCGTCGAGTCGTGGTACGGAGATCAGGCTGGGACGTGACTCGGGAACATAGCAGGTGTCGTGAAGCCGGAGACGCGTGCGTGATCCGTCCGGCAGGGCGGCGATGAGTTGTGCTTCCCCGCGACCTTCAACAGCGGTCGTGCCATTTCCGAAACCGTGGATAGTGGAGGACGAGGGGCTGAGATCGGCGAAATCCACCCGTTGAGAGTGGACATGCGATGACGTTCCAGAGTCGATGACGATAGGTGGGAGCGAGGAACGAGATGGAAGCGCAAGGGAAGACGAGTCTTGAAGGGCAATGAATGGTGATGCGCACACGAGAGGGTAGCAGGAGAACTCGGAAGTGAATAAAACGGTGTCGCTGCGTACAAAGTTCGAGTGCTCGCCCTCTGAGCCGATGTTGCTCTTCTCCTGCGTCACATTCGCCTTCTCCTTCCCCTTATTCCAACCTCCGCCCGACGCCTCGGCTCGCTTGCGAGTGCGGCACTCCTCGTAGTTGTGGTTCTTGCGGCGGCAGTAGGAACACCACTTGTTACCCGCACGCTTGAACCGGTCGATGGCGGCATAGGCATCCTCCATGTTGGTGACCATGACGGTATCCTGCGACGTTGTCGTGGCTGTCGCAATACCGAGCGCAAGGCGTCGTTGGTTGCGAGCGCCGACCGTGACGTGCTCGAGGGTCGTCTTGGTGGTCGAGTCGAATGGGATGGTGGCCGCCCAAGACTTCCATTGTGTGCCTTCACCCGGTTGATCGCGAAGAGTGGCCAGGAAAAGGCCCGCAGCGAGGTCGTCGGCGAAGTCGAATCCTGCAGCGCGGATGTGGAAGACGGCATCTTGATAGGCGCGGATGTGATCTTCAAGGCCGTTGACGGAGGATAAGTGAGAGTTGAGAATGGAAAAGTAACCAACCGCGGAGTGGATGGTGGTGCGAGAGTATTCGTTCTTGAGCGCGGTCCACTGCTGGTGTGCTGTCTTATCGAGATCGATCGTGACAACGATACTTGCGTCGACCGTCTGGAGAATCCAGCTGGATGCGGCATTGTTCTTCCGGTCCCACTCGGCGGCCTGCGCAGTGTCGCTGGTCGATCTTGGGGTGCTGCCTTGGACAACCTCCCAAACTCCGGCATGTCGGAACGCAGCTGTCATCCTCTTCGACCATGGCGTGTAAGTCTCTTCTCCGGTGAGCGGATGCGTCGTGGGGAGAGAACCGGACATTGAAGGGATGACCCACGCGTCCGGCGAGGATCCGGCGCCAGAAGAACCTGCCATCGGACCGGGACTCGGTGGAGTGGATGTGGGGTCTGGATCCGGGTCGGATTTGGGCATTCAGGAGCTGGACAGCTCCTCTTCGTGATGCGTATTTGATCACGGGTATAGTCCGCCGTGTAGGTGAGCTCGCTCTGTCTAGACGCGGACAGGGCTCATAACCTAACGACACACAGTGTGAGTGCGAGCTCAGTCGGGGACAATAGCGACTAGATTGCTGTACCTAACGACACACAGTGTGAGTGCGAGCTAGGTACAAGATACGTAAGTACAGAAATAGAGGAACAATATATGAATAGAAACATACCTCAGTCGGGGACAATAGCGACTGAGGTATGGGCGAGCGGTCGAGCGAGCGCTGTGCCGGGGCGTCTCGGAGAGAGCCGAGGAACTGTACAGTACCAACTAAACTAAAATAGGTATGGCCAGTATCGGACGTCCGTCCTCGAGCTGCATCATATGAGATAAGATAATGTAAGGAATCAACATATGCGTCATTCGTCATGTCAGATGATAAGACGCTGGTGCTTTGGTAGATACGTACGAGAATTTGGAGGTCATGACACGGGTGAGCAATCCTGCAACAGCGTCATAGACGTCCGGCTCGTCGTTTTTGACCTGTACGAGCATCTCATCCAATTCGTGGGACTCTTTCTCCTTGGCCGAGTCTTGGACGCGCTTTGCCGCCTTCTGAAAGTCCGCCACGGCATCTTTACAGCCGTGCTTCATACCAAGGCGTAGTAGAATCTGCAAAGCATTGGAGTTGAGGTCTTCATCGAGTCGAATGGAATTTCTTTTCCTGCATATGGCAACATCAGTACATCACCACGATTGAAAAAACTGGTTTAGAAGACATACAGTAGCTCTTTCAATCTGACTTCGTTAATACTTTTGTCCACCTCATCAACGGACATCTGCTGACACCCCACATATTCCGCAGTGAGCAAGCCTTGAGAACACTCGCCCCTCACAAGGCGCGGGCGCAAAGCGGTCGCATCGAACTCGGGTGGGGTGATTGTGGTCCCTGTGGGTGATGGAGGCACGGCAATCTTTGACCGGAGGTTATAAACCCAGCAATTTTAGAGAGCAGCCGAGCGTCTCACCTCGAAGCCAATTTTGAATGTAACGCCCTTGTCCTGTTCATTCGTCTTCGAGACATCGTCAAGACCATCGCTGTCATTGTCCTCATAGTTTCGACGCCGAACGATCGTCTTCGCGAGTTCGTCGGCCATTAGACATACTACTTGATCACTGAGCTTGGTCAAGTACCTGGCGTGAAAGGCATACGGTCAATTATGATGACAAGTAGATATGCATCATCCATACCGCATGAACATCACTCTGTTCTGGCGGGAAGACGCGGCCTGATCGTCCCAAGTAGAATCTTCGGGCCAATATATTACGAACATTTCGTCCAATGCACGGGAGCCTGACTGATGACGGAAGAGGTAAATTCCAGATCGCAGTGTGGGGTGATCCCGGTCATTGCGGTGAGGTTCCAACAGAGCTGTCGAGCTGTGGGTACGTCAAGCAGTGATGGGGTGTGCATGGGTGGACATGACGCACACATTGTCGTCGACGGCACCTTTCTGTCTCAGGAATTCGACGATTGAGGTCTTGCTCCCGTATACCCCGACAGGTTTGACATCAAGGGTGTCGAGCGCGCGGAAGTCGACTTTTGTGATTGAAGTGTACGCGCCAAGATGGAGGTCGTTGATGAATTTCCCAAGACTCTCCTGCTCGATGATAATCTTATCGACTTTTGGACCGTCAGTATTGCGTGGTGGGACTCGTAAATACAAAACGGCACACACCCAAACCATCACTGGCTTTCTCTTGAATGAGGTCAAGTATGCGATAGAAGCCAGAAATCAAAGTGGCAAGATCGAGGTTCCTCGAAACGGAAAGACTTTGAGAGTCACTCTGCCGAGCGCTATTGTCGGTCGTTTGGTCGATGGCGCGACGTCTGACATGGACAGACTGTTTGACATGTAAGCATTTGACCACACGCTTACCTTGGGGACTCACATCTGCCGCCTTCTCGCGATGCTCAGGAGGCGTTGGATGTTGACTGGTGTGACCAGATACGGGTGATAGATGGACGTCTTGAAGAGCGAATGAATAGGAAAGCCATAGCCCGCGGTGAAGAGTACTCACAGTCGCTATCTGATGAGTCTGAGAAGGTGTTGGGGGATGTGAATGTCTGCCCTGGTGAGGCCGACATTGGAACGAACTCCGGGGTGTCTGAATGAGCGCTTGGAGAGGGGAAGGTGTAGGAGTGTTGAGTGGGAGGATGGACACGGGGGGCCCTTTGTGTCGGGTGGCGTGACTTGCCGCAGCACACGCGATCGATGGCTGCATTATGAGGTTTGATGGGCAAGAATTCGAGCAACAAGAAGGCGAGAAATGCGCCCAAGAAGGCGAGATGAGGTCGCTGCGGCAGGCCGTCGGCGTCTACTGCCGCTTGCGACTCCTCCCGCAACGGCTGTGCTCGTTTCGCTTCGTTCTGTGCTGCAGCTCTCTGCCCATCCCAGAGAATAATAATCGCCGGAACTCTCAGCCTGAAATTGACAGCTCCTCCTTCACCCGCCTCCACCAGTATGGTGAATCCGACTACAACCACTCTCCCAATGTCCCCAAATCATATCCGGCTTCTACCCCGAATATGTCGTAACTCACGCCGGTCGAAGCCAGTACAGCCAGACTGGCGGCGGGGCATCTGCTTGCGGTCTCGCAGCCCTCAACTGCGCTCGTGTCGTCCTTGGCATACACGCCGCCGGTTTGGGTACCCCCCAGCTCGTCGACTCGCTCACAAAACGGCCTTTCTTGGAGGTACGTTCTCCCTTGGCCAGCTGATCAATCTCCAAGGTTAACTGGTCTTTCAGGACATTCTGCGGCCTGCCTTTCGTGGTCCAGTTCTGCTCACTTGGCTGTTGAAGATATCTATAAAATCCCTTCTTTCAGCGATGTCTCCGTCACACCGGCTCCAGCTATGGCAAAGCAGGTGTGCCATACTTCAAGGAAATGCTCACGTAAGCTTTCCGCAACGAAAGCCGTATGTTGGATGACGCCGAATCTACACAGGGAAATACTGGGCTTCACCAAGCAGCACTCCAGGACGACATGCGTCATCATCACTCGCCCCCCGGAGATCCTAGCGTGTTTCTGCATCGCAGACCTGCCGAGCGACCTCTTCGTGGTCTTCGACTCCCACCCTCGTCCCAACAAGCACCCGCACGGCGCCGCGTTCATATTCAAGAACTCCGTGGATGTCACCGCCGAGCATCTCGCCGAAGTCCTGCACTACGACGAGCATCTTCTCAAAGACAGCGCGCTGCAGTGGCAGGCGCAGCTCCTCTCCCACTGCTCCGGCGACGTCTTCGTCGCTCCGGACATCACCATGACCGACAGCTACTGGTCCGAGCTCGCGCTCGACGCCAGCTTGCAGATGCTCGCCCACCAAGCGCGCGTCCGCGAGCTCGAGTCCGCGAACGAGCGGCTCGAGATCGACAACAAGGCGCTCAAGGACGAGGTGTCCAACACGGAAGACAGGCTTTCCGAGCTCGACGACGATTTCGAGCGTCTCAAGAGGAAGTATACGAAGTTGAAGAAGACTCTTAGCGAATCCGGCGGAGCAGCCGCTGGGCCCTCTGCCGGTCTACACAATCACCGCTCCGCCGACTTGGGCTACTCTCAGAGTCCGATTGGGACGACTCTCACGCGACACGCGGTCGTGCACGTTGACACGAACGCTGCATCCAACGCGCAAGCCAGCAGTCACTGGCCTGCCCATAAACAGGCCAACGACGGCGACCTCGCTTTCAACCTGCAGCGTCAGTTCGATGAAGAAGACCAGGAGCTCCAACGCCAGCACCGCTTCCTGCAAGACACTCAGCCGGCGATCTTCGAATGCGGCATATGCTTCGACCGCTTGCAGGAGGACTTCGTCGTCCGTCTCATGCCATGCAGTCACACCATGTGCCGCCAGTGCGCCAAGGCATACGCTGTTTCTGCCATTGAGGCGCATCGGTACCCCATCCAATGTCCATCGTGCACAGCTGGTCAAGAGCAAGGCGATCCCAGCGGTATGTCATCGTAACGCTCGCCCCAAGCATCCTCGTGACGAGCAACTTCCGCAGAACTCGACGACGCGGTCGTGCGTCAGCTGGGCTTGACGGACAAGCAGTACGAGACCTACAGCGAGATGCAGCTCGCCCGCTTCTCGACCATCATCCACTGTCGCAAGTGCGTACCACGGCCTCGAATTGTTGGGTAGCAAACTGATCGCAGGTGTCGAAAACAGGTGCAAGGAGACCATCTTTGTCGACAAAGTCGAGTACCAGGAGACAGAGATGGTGGTGTGTCCGCTTCGCGGGTGTGGGTATGTCTGGTGTAAGACGTGCTCGCAGGCGATACAAATAGGGGGTCCGAAGCACTCCTGTGACGGCTCGACTGAGCTACAGCACCTCATGGGCGAGCGCGGATGGAAGAAGTGCCCAGGTATGATAGCTGCAGGGAGTTATGAAAAGAAGGCTTGCTGACGTGCTTCGTCCAGGCTGTGAGACTCCTACAGAGAAGACGGAGGGGTGTAACCACATGACAGTGAGCCCACTGATTGTTATTATTTACGTGTGTACTCAATTCCTGTGTTTGTGTCCAAAGTGCATGTCCCCGTCGTGCAATACGTAAGTCTTCATGCGACTTGTGCATGCGTCCATGCCTGACATCTCATCTAGACACTTTTGCTACCTTTGTGGCGAGTTCATAGTCCAATCTGTCCGGAAGAGAGACATCAAGTCGGCAGTCTCAAAACATTACAGCAAGTGCACGCTTTTCTGACCTCAGCTGGTATTTTCGACAAGTAGTATATATGTTGTATGAGTAGTACGTGTGGCATCAACCGACTGAGTCTATAGCCACGAGACTGTTGTCATGATGATGCACGTGCACTTGCTCGTTGGAGGTATGCTCAAAAATGCTACAGATCATTGACGTTGGCGGGTGACAGTACCAAGTATCGTTACAGGGACTTCAACACGACCTGTGTTGGCTTAGGCGTTTACCAAAGACTTCGTCGCTCACGGTGAGAGGAGGTACGTGCAGGGGAGTATCATCATTACGGAGATGAAGCTGAGGAAGAGGCTGAGGTCGGAACGCGAGACACAAACAAACGGAACAAGTCTGAGAAAGAGGGACACTCTGCGAGCGTCTACGCGTGCCTACGCCTCTCATCGCATCAGCGCCGTCTCCCTGTGCTGCAGCTCATCCAACCGTCCAATCTCAGGCTCTGGCCGTGCCAGGATGACTCAAGTGCCCAAATCTCGTATGCCCTTGCATCTTCTGGGCTCCTGACGCGTCGCTTCTTCCCTTCACTCAAACGCGTCGTGACATCCTCTCCGCCTGCCCTCCGACTATATGCATTCCGAAGACGAGTACAACCACTCCCCCAACGTTCCCCGCATCATCGCAGGGCACTATCCGGAGTACATCATTACCCACGTTGGTCGCAGTCAGTACAGCAAGCTCGGCGGGGGCGTATCTGCGTGTGGTCTTGCCGCCCTCAACTGTGCTCGAGTCGTCTTGAGCGTCCAAGCCGCTGGACTGGGAGCCCCTCAGCTTGTCGACGCTCTTACAAAACGGGAGTTTCTGGAGGTGTGCATACTTCCCCTTCTTTCATTATGCGCATCCCACACAAGACCCGTCACCTCAGGAGGTTCTAAGACCTTGCTTAACATGGTCTAGTCCTGCGCATCTCGAGGTGGAGGATATCCACAAAGTCCCCATCTTCCAACGGTCTCTCCACCATGTCCGATCCAGCTATGGACTTGCGGAGATGTCTTACTTCAAAGAACTGCTCTCGTGAGTACATCGTCATTTTATGGAGACCACGCTCCAACACTTCGCACAGAGAGGTCCTGGGTTTCACGAAGCAACATTCCCGGTCGACATGCGTCATTATCACTCGCCCTCCTGAGATCATTGCCTGTTTCTGCATCTCCGGCTCCCTAGCGATCTCTTCGTCATTTTTGACTCGCATCCCCGTCCCGACAAGCACCCTCATGGCGCGGCATTCATCTTCAAGAACTCCGTGGACGTCACGCCGAGTATCTTGCTCATCTCCTGCATTACGACGAGCATCTTCTCAGGGACACTGCTCTTCAATGGCAAGCCAGCTCCTCTCCCATTGTTCGGGCAACGTTTCACGGCGCCGGACACCTCGATGACCGACCAGAACTGGTCCGAGCTCGCTCTCGACGCGAGTCTACAGATGCTCAGTCTGCAAGCAAGAGTACGAGAACTCGAGACCAACAATGAGGCCCTCGAGGCCGACAACAAACGGTACGGGAGGAGAATTCAGACCTGGAAGACAAACTTCTCGAGTTAGACGATGAGTTTGACGCATGAAGAAGAAGTACAAGGCTCTGAAGAAGTCGGGCTCCGTCACAGAACGTCACCTGGTCCTTCGAGTAGCCCGCGCGCATCCGCAACTCCGGCCTCGGCTACTCCCCGGAAAGCCCCCTTGGGACCACATTGACACGCTTTACGACCATGAATGCCACGATCGAAACCAACGCATCTCACACCCGCGCACTCGAGAAACGCCCCGAAGGGAAGGAGGCACAAGCGCACGACGCCGACGTTGCGCTCGACTTGCAGCGCCAGTACGACCAGGAGGATCAACATCTGCAACAGCAGTATCGTTTCCTCAAGGATACGGCCCCCGCTATCTTCAAATGCGCCATATGCCTCGAACGCTATCAAGAGGACTTCGTCGTCCGCCTTATGCCGTGTGGTCATATGTTCTGTCGCGGCTGTATGACTGCCCACGCGGTCTCTACCATCGAAAGCCATCGCTATCCCATTAGCTGCCCTTCGTGCGTCGCGGACCAGGGGCACGGCGATCCAGCGGTACGTCTTTTCTTCCGTCCCTCGAGTTCGCGTCCGGATACTGACCGAGTTGCGTTGGCGCAGAACTGGACGTCGAATCCCTCCAGCAGCTTGGTCTGACAGAGAAGCAGTACGAGAGATACAACGAGATGCAGCTGGCGCGGTTTTCCACCATCGTTCATTGCCAAAAGCGAGTTGCCTCGTCCGTGCGACCTTGGCGAACGTTCCACTGACATTTCCTCATGCGTAGATGCAAGAGGACGATCTTCGTCGACAAGCGAGAGTATCAGCAGACCAGCGAGGTCGTCTGTCCGTTCCCCAAATGCGGATACGCGTGGTGCAAGATGTGCTCGCAAGCTCTCGATCCCAGCGGTCCAAAGCACTCCTGCGACGGGTCATCGGAGTTGCGACATCTCATGGGCGAGCGCGGCTGGAAAGCCTGTCCGGGTTTGTTTCATTTGTTCGCCAGTGTGAGCCGCGCGTCGTTGACGCGAAGCTATGTAGGATGTGACACGCCCACGGAGAAGACGGGCGGATGCAACCACATGACGGTGAGCACCCGCTTCCCCTCTCCCTGAGATTCTCTTTCGCTGAGTAGCTTCGATTGGCAGTGCATGTCCCCCGCGTGCAACACGTGAGCATTGCTGTTAGCATCCCAGAAGTTCCAGATCACTGATGCCTTCGCAGCCACTTCTGTTACTTGTGTGGCAAGCTCATCGTCAAAACGTCCAGGAGAAGTAGCCTCAAATCAGCACTGGCGAAGCACTACCGGAAGTGCACGCTTTTTGAGTATCGTTGAGCGTAGGTGTATCTCGCGAAGCAGTCGATGTGGGTGTAAGAGTACCCTTTTGTACTACCAGAACTTCTTGTTCTTCGTAGATACTTGCTCAATCAATCCAGATCATGGATCTCAGGCTGACGACCGCGAAACGGGATTAACTCTCCGAGACTTTACAACGGTACTGGGAGGTAACCATGCGGGTCCACCTCCCAGACCACGGATCGAGCCGCGAGAAAGAGTGTGCGATGCCCCCGACTACTGTATTATTATAGTATTGGGTCTGAACTGGTGTGGTGTATCGCCGTCGCATGTTCTGGGCGAATCTATGCGGTCAGCAGAGCTGTGACATGCTAACTAGCCTTCGTAGCTAGTTACCCAATCTTAGCAGCGGGGCCCTACGCATCGTGCGGGCTTCGGTTTCACGCATCGTTTAGTGTGAGCAATGGTATGGGATGTATTGAGTACTATTCGACGGGTATCTACGACGTAAATCACCTCGATGATGCGTGTCAGGAGCAGGGAAGACAACAATGCAGATGCAGCAACGACGAGAAAACAAAGTAAAGCTGAAACTGGACGCACCAAGGTTGTCCGGGTCGGTGCCGTGGAAGACGACGAACTCGTCGCTGTCGTGGACGAGGCCGTCGAGGCAGCACTCCGGCGCCTGCGTCCCGCTCTTGTCCGGGCTCGAGGCGCAGAAGATGCGCGTGCGGGCGTAGCCCTCGCTCTGGACGTGGAGCGCGTAGGAGAGCATGCTCGTTTGCGGTTTCTCTAGGGTGTCGAAGGAGACCTTGTGCGTGTAGCCGTCAGTGTGTAGCGACGAGGGGGACGGTGGACACGTTTGGGGACGCCACCGTGACCGCGGACGTTGGCGTGTGGGCGGAGTTGTAGGGGGAGGGGGAGATGGTGCACAAGTCGGAGCTGGCGCTCTCCCGGGAGGTAGGACGACCCCTGACTGTGGGACCTGGGTGGTGCTTGGCTACTCCTCACCATCGAGCGGAATGGCGGAGGCGGCAGGACGTGGCCTGGGCGTCCAGGAGAGGCCATGTCGTCGGGGAGATCAGGCTGCGAACCTGCAGGGTACATGGGGGTCGCCGTTGTCTGTGGCAGCGAGCGGGGTCGGCGTCTTGAGCCGGAGCCGCGGCGGTCGTGCACACCTGTGCTGGATGTACACGTCTTGTTACAGGCGGGTCTGCTCTTCAAGCTTCAAGGATATTAGCGCGGCATTCAGAAGAGTCTGACGCAGGGCGGGGTCGATGGTAAGGTGGTGAGCAGAGGGTGGAATGCAAGTGGAGGGTACCGGCAAGGACACCGCCCGGTCGCGGTCGATGCCAAGGCCTGCGGTGCGCGTCGTCGCGTACGCCCGGGTCCCGAAACCGGTACGTCCGCACGACGATGGTGAGGATGGGTGGAGGAAGGAGGGTGCCCCGCGGCCGGTGACGACTGGGGAAGGAGCTGGACGAAGCAGCAGATAGACGCCTCCGGCGCACAGGCGCCTGCGCTGACATCACATCTAACCTACTGGCTCGTGTGCCAAAGGGCGGCGCATGAGCGTGCACCCAGCCTGAAACCACGCCGGCCAGCAACCCTCGGGACATGTCGCTCAGCTCGATCGGCGCAATGCTCGAGCGTCGGGAGCTCGCGTGAAGACCCTGGGCAACGCTCTACACCGCGGGACGGCTTTTACGTCGGAACGGGGGTATATACAGTCTCCTTCCCGCCCGCAGCCCTCCAGCCCACCCTCGACCGCCCTCTGCCCCCCGTGCTCGACCTCCGTTCTCCTTCATATACGCCGGCCGCTCGACGAATCGATGCGCTCGAGCCCCTCCTGCTGACTCGGCGCGATCCCGGTGAGCACTATCTCTATCTCCTCCCTGCGCAGTCCCCGCACGCCCTCGTGTAGGCCTCTCCGCCAGTGGTGCGCAAGCCCCCAGAACCTCGTCCCTACCGCCGCAGTCGGCCTCGGCGCGGGGGTGGGGGGCATGGGCTCCTCTATGGAGCATGCCTACGTGAGGACGTGCGCGCTGCCCCGTCTTCTTCTCACTACGCCCGTGCTAACGACGCGCCGTATGGCATCCATCCTGTCCCCACCCCCGAATACTCTGAGCTCTCGGCCCTCAGCCATCGCACGTTTGCCATGTGAAGAGCCAGTGAGCCCTCCCAGGCGACGGCCCAGGGACGGCTTCAACGATTCTGCCGCTGCTTCCGGACACAACGCCCTTGCAAACAACACGGACGGCATCCACGCGGGCCTACCAAGATCTACAACAGCGGGGAGGTAGCACTAGTTGCTCGTATCTCTCTTTCAAGCGTTGTCTCCACCATCGCCCGCCCAACCTGCCACCACCCCTCCACAGTCTCATGATCCCACAAGCTCCACAACGAACGCGGTCGACTTCTTCTCAAGACTTGACCGGTCGGTCTCGCGCTACTCTTTTGGACGTGACACGCGCGGGGCGCAGACCCGCAGGGAGTTTTGGGCAACTCAGTCACGTACGTCCCCCTTCTTGCCCCTTTGGCCCGTGCTAGATCCCAGTGATCTGCCCAGCGGCCAGACTCAGTGTATCGATATTCGTCGCGGATCCGCACCTTTCCGGAAGTACGTTCACCAGCCGCCTCGAAGCTGCCCGGAGGTCCTCACAGGAGGCTCTCCCTCCTCGAAGGACCCGTAGGCATTTGAAGCCCAAGCTGCCCCATGCCAGCCCGCTGCGTAGTGGGTCCTGCGCGTTCCCGGAGCGGACGAGGTGATCATGTGAGCCCACGGCGCGAATTACTGCCCTTGCCGCTGGATCGGCATTTGCATTGCGGAGTGCGTGGTTTCCGTTGTCCCCGCATTGGAGGCGACGTGGCGATCCTGTACCATAGCTACAGTGTTCAATATGATGCTATGGTTTTGAAGGTGCATTCGAACGACTCTACCCCTCTCTTCACCAAGACTTCTATCATCTGGCACACAGACGATGTCCGCTGTCCGGAGCGGCCTGTAAGTTGATATTATACCATTATGAATCGCCCAAGATACACACTTCGTCCTGTACGATTTCTCCGTCGGTGTGACGGACGAGATATGAAAAACACCATCGCTCAACGGTTCATGCTCACGGAATAACCAAGAAGGATCGTTCATAGACATATCGCTGGCCTACAATGCTACTTTGCGCCGTGGGGGAAGGGATATGAGGTGGATGGTGCGACAGTCCAAACTACTACTGGATACTAATACAACAGTTCATCAGGGTACGATAGCTCTCTTCTGCGATGTGACGGCGCTCAAGACAGGCGGCGATTAGACGGCTACTTCAGGACGGGGAGGATGGGACATTCAGCCGCGGAACAGAGCGCCTCTGGGTTTGGCGAGAGAGTCGGCGATGCCCAAGAACGTCTCGGCGAGTCGAACCTGCACGAACAGTCATGCACCTTCAGAACCTGGTGCTTTGCTATGTAATAAACCGCGACTTACCGTGTCCATGGCCTCGTTGTACGACGATGGGACCGCGGCGTGTGGGTTGAGAGGGTCAGGAGGGGCGCGACTCTCGACATCACGGGCGATCTGAGTCATCCGACGCAAGATCCCACCCGCATCTGGGCCGAAGGCAACACCGTGGAAAGACAGCGGTTTCCTAGACGTGAGATTATGAGATGTATCCAGCAATGTCATAGAACATTCTATGCATACCCTAGAGCAATGGCGCGTCGGCAGACGTCTTGCATAGTCTCGTCCTCCAGCTCGGCCTCTCCGTCAGAAAGGAAGACGATGACCGGCGACCTGTTTGGTGCAAAGCTTCAGTGCATGCGTCTTGCTGTTATCCACTCGACTGACCTCTCCGTGCTCCAATTAGCCTCCATGCATGCCTTGGCGGATTCGAGGGCCGTGATGAAGTCCGTGCCTCCGTCGGACTCGTGTGCGAGAAGCAAGTTGAGTAGGGCCGTCGGGTTGCTATGGAAGTCGTGCGTGGCAGCAGTGATGACCGACGTATTGAACAGGAGAATGGAATATGCGTCTCGGCGGAGAGCGCCGGCGTTTCTTCCTGCCGCGGCTGTAACCGCATGATGACGTGCTTCCCAAAAGCCGTGTAGAGCAGAGCACACTGCTCCTAGACGATCGTTGTGTCTCCTGCGGATGAGCTGCGTCGTCGGAGTGTTGTCCAGGGGCAATCGGTCCTGAAGTCCCATAGAGCCCGACCTAAGTAGAGGCATCAATAACTACTTGAGCTCGGAGTCCAGAGCTAAACAACAAACCTATCAATGACGAAGATCCTACAAGCCCGATGAGCTACGTATATAGGTAGGTCTAAGGCGTGGTGACGTACACATGGAATGCTTGCCTCAGCACCGCTGGGTTTCTGCACATGAACGAGTGGCCGTCGTTGCTGATGTACCCCAGTCCTCCGGGAGGCGCCTGATCCAGAGCCTGTCGAGGGTGTAGGATGGGCAACGTGCAGTACGAAGGCTGGGCTGGTCCGTGTGCTGTGGAATTGTGGTCTGGACCTGTTGTTACGATTTCAACGCGACGTGAATTGTGATAGCCGTGGAAACGCATACCACTACACATCCGGTCGCTACGACGAATCGAATGAGATGGCAACATAAAGGCAGAGAATAACACGTCACATACCACTTGGCAAAAACGTTTGTCTGGTCCTCTTGAGAATAGGGATCTGTAAAACGTGATAAGATCCGGATCACGGCGGTCGAGGAGGGCTACAAATTACCTTTGAACCCTGCAGTTACCTTCAGTGAAAGTCTAAGGCGACAAGCGGAAATTAACGTACCTGTGCGTTGCCAATGAAGGGCGTGAGAGATAAAATCCTTGGGACGCTCGGGATGCGGCTGCATAGGTGTGCTGATGTGTTCGACCCCCGCTCCGCCGCAGGCCGCCGGATCGTCTGATCGACAATAGGCGATGTGGGCATGACGACCCATTGCCTGACAGTACATCGAACACAGCATGGGTGCCCCTTCGTCATGAGAACCAAACTTGCGACCATCGACTTCGAGCACAGTGCCATCCGGCCCATCAACTGCCCAACGAGTGTACGACATGGAACCATGGCTGGTGTCGTGTTCCCTTTGTGCGTGACCTGGAAAAGACATCAAGAAAATCTCACACGTCACATGTTGACGATGTTGCCAACTCACCCAAAGGAAGCGTGCAAAAGTAACGACAGTCCGGACACCTGGTCATCACATTAGATCTGGCAATTGCTCGACACCAATCTGCGGTCACTGACTGTGTTTCGCAGAAGTGGAAGCATTTTGGGTCCAGGTCATGGCTGTGCGGGCCTGCATGCCCTTCCTTGCCTGCCGGAATCGTCACGACACACGGGAGTCGCTTGGCCGCTGTCATATCATGACGTAGATGTCCGATAAGAAACCAGTCTTACCACGACGATGGTATTCTCACCTTGCGAGTACTGCAAGCACCGCGATAAGCTTCAGAATGAATTGCGAAAAAGAGGCTACATACTTTCGTGTACTGAAAGGTCTCATGTGCGCCCGAGAAAGTGGCTCGGATAGCTTCTGGTGTCAACTTGATGTGACATGTACCCTTGGAACTACACAGCGCCATGCATGCGTGCTCTTGACCGCAAAGATGAACTGCCGCAGGATCAAGCGCATGAAAATGATCGCGCGCAGAGCAAAGTCGTTTGCAGAGTTTGCAATCGATAGGACACTGCCGGGTGTCGCAGCGATGTTCAAGATGGGGTTGTTCACTAGTACATAAGTTGAGTAGTGAGTGGTGATTTCCCATGCATTGATGCTCACCATGAGACGCTGCAAGGTTTGGAGCAGTTATATCGTTTGCCGTTGGACAAAGGGACGCCAGAGAGGCTGCATGCCTAGCATGCATGCATCAGAATGCAACCATACTAATCAAAACCGCAACCGCGAGACATACCTTCCCGCACTCGTGAAGTTGAGCAGCACACATGTGATCTTCCTCCACCGGATGGTCGACCACCTGAAGCCAAGATGAGTATGCTATGACATCATAGTGAAGTTAGCAAATCGGGGAATCACCATGACGCAGGCTCCTTGGCAACCCCTCTTTCCATGGAGACTGCATTGCTTTGCACAGAGGTGGGCCGTCACCTCACAGCTAATGAAGTCCATCGGTGAGCACACATTGTCAATGGCTTGTAGGCAAACCTACAGATGGAGTCCTGGGTGTCCGGCTCTGTGGATGGTCCCTGGCGTGAGCCTGTCTGAAAGAGTAGGGAAGCAACAATGCTCAACGTACGGAAGACCGCAAGGCTCATCGGCACCGTGATCCGCGTCTTCTGTCAGCTGGCACCTTTGCGGGCACACGTGATCGGTTCGACAGTGATGGTCTCCTTCATGTCGCACCGCAAGCAGACAGCGCAGGTTGCACGATGTGCACTGGGACGAGCAGAGCTGTACACCGGCTTTGAGGTCCACTATAAGACTATCGAACCTCCGACGAACACCCTGAATGTCAGCATGGGTTGGTGGGAAACCAGCCGTGTTGGAGATCAGCCAAGCGTGGACAAGCTCTACACGCTGTTCGACAAGATGGTTGAGGAAGCCTTGAAGTTGGTCGACCCACTCAGACTCGGGGGTAACGAATCGGTCGAGGGAGGATTTCCACATTGCGAAGAGGTTTTGGAGGGCATCGTTGCGGGAGATAGGTTGACCTGACACAGGAATATCGGTCAGGTAGAAGTGTGCACGTGAATCAGGGAGATCAATGATTGTGGAGGTGTTCAGGTCCTGTATCATTGAATTAGTTGGTTCCCCATCATAGATTGAGTGACATGACGGACACTCAGAGGCTCAAAATCGGGGACTACTTCTGCTGCGCCGAAGATCAATGCATGTGGAAGAAGCGAGTCAAGCAGATGTGCACGTTGAGTGGCCATATTTTCTGAATAGCGACACAAGTCTCAGTGCAAATATTGTATCACGTTGTCGCAATACCTCACGCACGTGACATTGAACTCCAATCATTGGCCTTGAGCTTTGCCATCAGAGTTTTGATCCTCTGCAAGAACACACTCCCAGTGGGATGTGTGATGGGCTGCCGATCGAGACTTCGCTTCATCGCCTTGAACAAGGTATAGAATTGCTTTGACTCGATGACATTCCATGGCACGATGTCGAAGCGCCCTTTGTGAAGTCGCGTGATGAAGTTCATAGCCTGTTCGGTTTGGACGATCTGCTGGAACTTGAGATGGAACCTATCACAAGACAAGGTGAGATCTAGCCACTGTGAGCTGCAATGAATGACTCACTCCTTCTTGATTTCCTTTGTATCGGACTCGGGCACGTCCTAGAAAATCCGCACAAAATAAGTGCAGGTTTATCCCTTCTGTCGTGTCACACATCAACTTGCCTTGATAATGATCGCAAGCATGGACTGGAAAAGCTCAGGGTTGTCGTCTGGGCTGAGTATAGTGGAAGACGATTGGAATGATTGGAATAGCCCGGCAATGTCTCGAGATACTGCGAAATTATTGCGGAACAGCACCTACACAAACAGTCAAAGGTATGCATATGTAGATACATATTATTGCTCACCAAATTTGAGATCGCAGTGTTGAACAGGACGAGTAAAGAATCTTCCTGTGCAGATCGCTCGATGCTATGGACACCTACAACCGCATTCCATCGGGTCATTATGTGAGCGACAACCTGGGAATGCGTGACGAACCTTCAAAGTCGAGCGCGACGATGAGCACCTCTTTCGTCGGCGTGACTGACATCCACACTCCCTCAGTGGTACGCATGGCCGATCCGGCAAATGACGTGTCCACAAGGTGATTCAACGCATAACTTTTCCCAACAGATTGCTCGCCTGAAACCACATCAGTAGATATTCACCACGTTCAACAGACGTCGCTCGCACCCATCGAAGACACAACCTTGACAGGCTGCCAGCGTCACGGCATCTTTCAGTAATGTCATACCGACCAGTGGATAGGAGTACTCACTGTTTTCGACTTGTACGACTGGAAGAGAGATTCATACCAGCCGAACGAGATACAATCTGTGATCCTCACAACGTCAGCACCTAGAAGAGACCTCTCCAGTTCATCGGACCAAACGCCATCCTTGAGGGGAATGAACCTGTTGTCCCTCGTGACCGCGATGTGAATCGGGATGAGGCACAGCAGCTCGACGAGCCATTCTCCTGCACGGAACGTGGAGATGCCAAAGGGGAAGCCCTCAAGGAACGACTCCGTGTCGACCGACAGGACTTGGATGCTGGAGAGCTCATCGCCAACCGGCTTTCGTGTCGTCTTCTCAAACGTCTTGATGATGGAGGCAAAATGCGAGCTGAAGGGAGAGAACTGGTTGCTGGAGACAAAGGTCAGATTGCGCTTCTGGCGTTGGCCGGAGAGGATGGTTTCGCGGCCGATGGCGGGCACAACCGGGAACCGTGACCAGACTTGAGCGTGACAGTCAATGATGCTGTTATGAACGGTCGCGCGATCACGACCGGAGGTGAAAGACGCGGACCCTCGCTCTTCAACTGCGAAATCCGTCGATTTGCAGGTGATCTTGAAGGCCATGGATGAGAGTGAATGTGCACCGAGGTCTAAAGCCAGCCAATGGACGTTACTCCGAGACACAAACGAAGTGAAGATGTGGGAGTCGAGGGATGCGAAGTCGTCCGGGACGTCTACCACAATGCCTTCGGAGGAGCCGAAACTACTCCAGTGGTATGCGCGAACAGAGACAGTGTCAGACAGTGTCGCTCCTGGGAAAACGGCTAGGAAGCAAGAACCATCCGGGGTGGCCTGAACAGCTGAAGGAGCATTCGGCAGCTGGAGCATTGCAGGTCTAGCACACCATCAGTTATGGGAGATAGATGTACCTATATTGTAACACCCACCGGAATTGTTGCGTCAGAAGGGAGAATATCCTAGCGCGGGCGAATGTATCGACAAAGAGAAGCTCCTCACTGTTGCTGACAAACTCCATATGTGTGATGGATACAGAGATGTCATACCACGGACTGAGGTTAGTTTGACCCATTCCTTGCAGGTTGGTGTATGTCTCATCGAACATGAAAGTGTTGAGGTGAAGGTGGGGCTCGCGCTGTTGAATCGTGTCAGAAACCAGACTAGCATGGGCATTGAGTAGAGAAGAGAGTTACTGAGGAGACACTGCAAAGTGCCAAGATTCGATGTGTCTCGTCATAAGTCAGGAGAAAGTTGTCACCGATTCTGTCACGATTGAGCAATTTCTTGGGTTGACCTCCGATCACATTGTGGGCTTGCATGGTAGAGCACACGTAAACTTTGCAGTTCCCAGTTTCATCTCTGGTAATGGACAGGCAACGAGTACCGGGAAGAAGTTGGAAATGACTGTGAACAAGTACGATGAGTGAGCCCCGGAAAGCTACCCATTGAATTCGGACTTGGTAATGGTACTCACAGCAGATGGGTACTGGCAGATGTGGTAAACGTGAATGATGAATGAGGGTGGATCCGGGGACGCGGGTGGTGACGTGAATCCTCTTGCATCCGGTGCCGGTCATCTTGAGTGAGCTCCAGCGGGTGGACCGTGTACCGGATGGAAGGCTCGGAACGTCGGTTTGTTGTCCTCCGGATTCGGTAAGAGGGGCTTCCCCAGGCTGTTCTCAAATCAGAACTCGGTACCTTAAGACTTCTCTCCCTCATACTCACAAATTGACAGAACCTGAATATCCTCAACGGTGTGCACGACGCTGAGCTCGAGAGTCAGAACCCGATGCTGTTGTATGCGTTGAGAACCTACCGTGCTGTAGAAACATCCATATTGTCGGATGCGATCACAGCCAGGACGCTTGAGCGTAGGTCTTCTAGTTTCTGCCTCTTGGCTCCGTCAACCTTGCGGTCAATCTCGTTGCTGAGGAGGCGCCGTTGAGCGCTCTGAACCTTCGACTGAAGCGACCTTGCTTCCTTGGTGATCGCGGTCATGAAGTGCTCCTTTGCTTGCGCCAAAGCCTTGTCAGTGAGCTCGCTGAGAACTGGCCACTTGTCCGAAATAGAGTGCAAGCGAGCCAGGAATACATCGTCTGGCTGGGAGAAGAACGTATGGGGGATGTCGGCAACAGAGGATTGTGAGTCAGCGCCGAAAATTGAGCCAAGAACACTGCGAGCAGTTTTGATGACCCAGAATCCCGGACTAAGGGGGGAGGATTGCTTGTCGACACCGTGGTTGAGAACCGACTCCACAAGCTCTTTCTGTTTCTGGCTGTTCAAGTGATCGAGGTTTTCTCCAAGAAGATAGTCAAGGGCAATGAGGTTTTCCTTGGTCCTCTTGAACTTCTTGGTGGTGACTCCGTGAAGAACAGGTTGGCGCAGTACTGACTCAATTTCCCGATGAAGGTCGGAGTGCATTTGTAAGAGCCCATTGAGATAATCTAACTCGGAAACATCAGCTTCTTCAATGGCAGCTTCACGACGGCACATGCCTTCGTTAGGAGGGGAAGAAGTCCCTGCAGGATTGACGTCTGTGTCAAGGGTCGACATAGTTGCAGTCACATCTCCAAGCGCACTGGGTGTGTGACAAATGAGCCCAGAGCATTTAGGAGTGGGACTCCCCTACGCGTCTTGGAATACTCACGGGAACTTGTCACTAATGATCTGAGAAAGACGCGACTGAGCACTGCGGAGTAAAAGCGAGGCGTTTTGTTCGATGTTAGTCGTCATGTCGTGGAGTGCTTGTTGCCTCATTTCGGAGGCGTTCTTGTCAACATCCCCGCATGCAGTGACGTATTTGGATACAGCACCAGGACTCCTATGCTTGAACCCGTTCCCGAGGAGGACTTGCAGGCCAGCGGACGAGATTTCGTCACCGATCTTAATTGACTCCTTCTGCCTGTAAGTTGACCAATTAGATGGGTCGGACGTCGGCAACGATAGCCGTAACTCTCACTCACAACATGTCCTTCAGGCGATACTCCGTGAACGTCTCAATGTTGCTTGATTGATTATGTACCGCAGGAACGAATGCAGCAGTTAGTAGCGCCTGCTGTGTCTCGCCTTGTGCAAGACGAGGTCGCAGTTGGTGATCGTCGGGAGAGCCATCGAGGGAACTGGGAGAAGATATCGACGAATGGTTTATCTAGATGTAATTAGTCAAGTGCGCATCAACCGTGTCACGGAAGGGAAGACTCACTGTGAAGCCATGGGTTGAAACTATGCCTTCTTCTTGTTGATTTGTCTTGCGAACCTCGAATGCAAAAAGGCGGTCACAGTCGTCATCGTCCACGTCTTCGTCGTCACTATCGATATCGTCACGCCAAACAATAGCAGACAGATGATCGTCTGAAAGCAGGCAGACTGTTTGGTGAGTGATTTTAGATAGGTACCTGAATTGGGTACTATGAGCGCGCATCTGATCAAGAAGACAGTGCACTTGCCGCATGAAGGTGACACGGTTCTTGCCAACCGAATGCGTCGCGTTGTCGTTCCAGGTTGTATCTTCCGGCCAATATATGACATAGAGGAGGTCCTCGCCATCACTGCGGAGAAGATATATGCCTGACCGGAGAGTAAGCTGCTCCCCGTCCGCAGCCCCGTCCGTAGACTTCAGCATCAAGCCACCACTGCTGACGAGTTAGCGTCTTTTCTCACACGCCACAAGGCGGTTGAACGTACACGACATCATCGATCAACGTTTTCTTCTGCAGGAAGTCGACGAGAGCCGGTTTGCTGCCATAAAGTCCAACCAGCCGTAGCTCCAGGTCGTCCAGAGCAGTCAAGTCGATCTTGTTGATGGACTGATATGTGTTGGGTTTCAACGAGTTGACGAAACGGCCGAGAGAGCCGTCCTGCTCAATGATGATCTTGTCGACTACAAATTACTGAGCATCACCATTACCAGCAATAAGAAAGGGAGTACACACCAAGGCCGCCACTGCCTCTGTCACGGATCAGATCAAGGACACGGTATAGCCCAGGTATACACGCTGCGACGTCGTGCCCCGAGAAGACGGGAGTTTGTACGCGTTCGACTCCGGAGGGATCCTTCACTCCATCTGGTTCCGGATCCTGTCATGCGCCATTGACATCGCGCTTGGTTTAATGCTGACACAAGGAGACTCACCGAAGGTTGTTGGTGGGGGACGTCAGAAGCACGATCTTTTTGTTGGTGCACCGACGTTGCGTAGGCTGAATAGTACATATTAATACGCAGGCATGGCTGAATGAAAGCGCATGTATGACAATCGTACTCACATTCAGGATCTATGCCGGCGAAGGTGGACGACGGAATGAAATCGTTGGAAGCCATGGGGGAAGGGGGGCTTGGGGCTCAGGTAGCGTCGAGGCAAGTGGGTACTAGAGGCTGGCAGGATATTCCCACCCGCAGCACACCAGTGATGAGGGATTGGTGCCAGAAAGAAGGCCATATTGCTTGAAGGAGCGGAGCTACCGCAGCACCGAGTTTGGAGGCAGAGGGACTTGCGATTCGCCAGACGCGGCGGCAACCGCAACCCGCGACCGGGGTCACGTGCTTGGTTGACGATCTGTCGACCAACAGATCTCTGACTCAGGCTGGGAGGGGGAGCGCCTTATCCGACTTCTCTCCACATATGCTGCGGCAGCGTTTCGAATTAATGGGCAGCATATAGCTGCAGCACACCACAAGGGTCTTTCACTCCTTCAGCCCTGAGTAGTTCCCACTCGTGATCCGTCCTCGCACGTCTACCTTCGGTTCACTTCTCACTGGATTGCTCTCAATGACGGAACATGACTACGACCATACGCCCAATGTCCCTCAAATCATACACGGTCGATTCCCCGAATACATCGTTAGCTATGCAGGACGAAGCCAATACAGTCCTACTGGCGGCGGTGTCTCTGCCTGCGGCCTGGCTGCCTTGAATTGCGCCCGTATTGTTTTGAACATCCACAGAGCCGGCTTGGGGGCAGCCCAAATCATTGAACTGTTAACGAAGCGAATTACTCTTGAGGTATGTGAGCGGAGCCACTCTGAACACAAAAATCTAATTAGCTGGCTCGTTAGAACATCCTAACACCCTGTGTATCGTGGTCCAGCCCAGTCCATCTCGCAGTCGAGGAAATTCGTAGCGCGCCGGCATTTCGACGATCTCTTCGGCACGTCAAGTCTAGTCATGGCAAAGCGGAACCAGCGTACTTTCGGGGGGTCTTATTGTGAGAATATTTCACTTTCAGTACACTTCGTTTCCATTTAACGACCCTTAGAGAGCTGCTTGACCTCACTCGCTATGAGTCGAAGTCGGCATGCGTAATCATTACTCGGCCCCCAGAAATCCTGGCATGCTTCTGCATTTTCGGTCTCTCCGGCCCTCTCTTCGTCATCTTCGACTCCCATCCACGTCCTCGCCATCATCCTGATGGAGCCGCTTTCATATTTGAAAATTCAGCTGACGGGGCCGCCGAATACCTCGCCGAACTCTTGCATTACGATGAACATCTGCTGGCTGATAGCAACCTGCAGTGGCAAGCGCAACTCCTCTCCCACTGTTCTGGCGACTTCTTTCTCGCGCCCGAGGCTTCCGTTGATGACGGAGACTGGTCCGAGGTCGCATTCGATTCTAGTTTACAGATGCTCCGCTTGCAGGCTCGGGTGCGAGAGCTAGAGGACGTCAACGAGAACCTTCAGTCCGAAAACAAGCGCCTCCAGGATGAGACATCAGAACTGGAAGATAGATTGTCCGAGCTCGATGACGAGCTCGAGCGGCTGAAGAAGTGCGAGGACTTGAAACGTGCCGAAAGGCCTGTCGACACTGGTCTCAATACCTCTCCCCACTTCCCTTCCCCAGCCTCCACCACAGCATCCGGCACTCGAACGAATGGGCATCAGTCTCCCTGGAAGACTCAAGGCCGCGACGGCGACCTCGCCTTCGATCTACAGCGCCAGTTCGACGAAGAAGACCGGCGGCTCCAGCTCCACTATCGTTTCCTACAAGACACAGAACCCGCTACATTCGACTGTGGTATCTGCTTCGACTGCTTTCAGGAGGATTTCGTGGTTCGCCTCTTGCCCTGTCGCCATGCGTTCTGCCGTGACTGCGTGAGAGGCTACGTGGTCAACGCTATCGAGTCCCATCGATATCCTATCACCTGCCCCACCTGTTCCGCCGGTCAAGAGCAGGGCGAGATGGGAGGTACGTGCTCCTGTCTGTGGTCTGCAGTAGGCTCATAGCTTCCCATTCGCACAGAGGTTGACGACGCGGCCGTGCAACAATTGGGTCTCATGGATAAGCAGTACGACATTTACAGCGAGATGCAGCTTGCGCCTTTCTCGACAATCATCCATTGCCGCAAGTGCGTATTCCCCTGCTCCATCCCTGCATGACTCTGATGTTTATGGGCTTTGTCGCGGACGTAGATGCAAAGAAGCCATATTTGTGGACAAGACTGAGTACCAAGAGGTACAGACAATAGTATGCCCGCTTCGCGGGTGCGGGCACGTTTGGTGCAAAATGTGCTCGCAAGCGATACAGATCGGCGGCCCAAAGCACTCCTGTGACGGGTCGTCGGAGCTGCAGCATCTTATGGGTCAGCACGGGTGGAAGAATTGTCCAGGTGTGTTGATTTGGGCACTGGTGAGGTGCACGCCCTGCTAACGCGTTCTACTCAGGTTGTCAAACGCCTGCAGAGAAGACGGAGGGATGCAATCATATGACGGTGAGCAGTCTCCTACATCACAAGTTACACGTACACTCAATTCACGTGCTTGTACTTGAAGTGTATATCCCCTTCGTGCAACACGTACGCCCACCCGTACCCTTCTACATTCTCATGACGCTGATTGTCCCCACTAGACATTTCTGTTACGTATGCGGCGAGTTGATAGTCCAATCTGTCCGGAGGACGGACATCCAGTCGGCAGTCTCAAAACATTACAGCAAATGCAGGCTTTTCTGACCTCAGTTGGTATTTTCGTCGAGTAGTCTACATGTTGTACGAGTACGTGTGGCATCGATCGACCAGGTCTATAGCTACGAGATTGTTGTCATGATGCTACGTGCGCTCGCTCGTGGGAGGAGGTATACTCAAAAATGCTACAAATCATTGACGTTGACGGGTGGCAGTACCGCGTATCGTTACAGGCTCAAAGGGACTTCAACACGACCTGGTTTGGCTCAAGCGTTGACGGAAACGTTCGCGACGCCCTCAGCGATTTCCTCTAGCGGACCTTCGATAAGCTTGGTTACCTGCATGATGGTTTCAGTAACAGAGCGGATAAACTGTACGAAAAAGCCTCCTTACCCTCCCGATCGCGATTGTCTTCCCTTCGTCTCGGAGCGTGAACCGCCCCAACTGGGGATAGTCGGTGAACCGCTCGACGCAGACTGGCTGCTCGGTCTCGATGAGTGCGACGATCTTCTGGCCCCGCTTCGCGAACTGTGGAGGCTTTCGTGATTTGCGGCCCGTTGCCTTGTCGAAGTAGTGGAGAAGCGACTATACGCCGTCGGATTCAACGATGGAGCATGGGGAGGGAGCGAAAACATAACTCACGACCAGGGTAACCTCCTCTGAGAGCGTGTGGCAATGCATGACAGCAGAGTACCCGGCGCAGATGATGTTCTTGTGATCGAGGATGGCCAGCTGAGCTTCGAACTGCCGGACGGCATGTACGGGGTTCGATGGGCTCGTGAGCACAAACCCAGGACTGATATCTTCGTCGTCTACTCCGCGAAGTCGAATGCGCACGTTGTCGCCGGAAAACGCAGCATCAACCTCATCCTCCATCTCGTTGTAGATGGCGGATACTTCGACGATGTTCTTGTTCGGCATGAGCAGGAGAGTGTCGCTCTTCTTCATGTGACCAGACTCGATCTTCCCAACGACAACAGTACCCATGTCCTTGTACTTCTCCGATACGGGCATCATTAGCGGCGAGTTGATCTTGCGGTCTACCATGGGCATAGTGTCCAGCTGCTCGAGGAGTGATGCGCCGCTGAACGACAGAATACGTCAGGACGTTGGGCGGAGATACAGGTGAAACGATAAGCACGTACTCCCACCAAGGGCAGACCTCCTTCTTTAACCTGTCCTTCAAGTTGGCGCCAGTGTATGCAGACACAGGGATAAAGGTGACGTCTGTTTTTACGTTGAATCCGGCGGCTCGGATGAAAGGTGTGAGCTTGTCCTTGATCTCGTCGAAACGGGCCTTTTCCCAGTTGACCGTCGACTCGTCCATCTTGTTGATCACAACGATGACTTTGCTGACACCGGCGGTCTTCACAAGCATGATATGTTCGCGAGTCTGGCCTCCCTTCTCGAACCCGGTTTCAAATTCACCCTTGCGGGCCGAGATGACCAGGACAGCTACGTCGGCCTGAGCGGCGCCGGAGATCATAGAGGGCACGAATGTCTTGTGACCGGGAGCATCGAGGATGGTGTAGCGGCGTGTGTCCGTTTCGAAGTACGCGCGACCGACCTCGACAGTCTTGCCCTTCGCGCGTTCCTGTGGTGTCGAATCAAGTGCCCAGGAGAGGTACCAAGAGTCACGGCCGGCCTCCTTGGCTTCGCGCTCGTACTTCTCCATGGTACGCTTGTCGACCATGCCGGTGATATAGAGGAGGTTTCCACCCATAGTACTCTTCCCAGCATCAACATGTCCGATGAAAACGATGTTCAGATGCTGCTTCACTGATCGCCAGTAGATCAAGGTCAGAAACGGATAGCCGAATGCACTCATTTATGCGACGTACCACTTCCGAACAGATCCTTCAAGACCTCATCGTCCGCGGCAGTGCGGACTTCTTGCGCTATGGCAGCAGTGTCGGTCTTTGCGCGATCGAGGGTGAAAGTCTTCGAAGGAGCGGCGGAGGCAGCTGCTGGCTTGGACTCCGGTACTGATGCAAGAGCAGGCTCTGCTTTTACTTTGGGAGCGGGGGCGGGCGAGGGGGAAGGGACGGGTGCAGGTGCGGGCTTCGAACCGCCGATGTTAAGCGAAATTGTCGGTGCGGGGGCGGGGACGGATGAGGGCGGAGGCCTAGAGCCACCAATGTTTAGCGAGATAGTGGGTGCTGGTGCGGGGGCCTCGGTCTGGGGAGGACGCTCAATGGGTGGAGGAGGAGGCTGGGCCGGCTGCTGGGGGGTCTTGAAGGCCTGGGTGGGGACGAAGCTAAAGGCGTTGGCGTTGAGCTTGCTCATGACGGAGTTCGTAAGGGATAATATAGAGACAGAAAGCGAGCAAAGCAGAAGAGATTAGGAGTCGTGGTGGGTGGACGGCCTTTTGCACATCTCCAGTTTTCTATCTCCTGCCAATTCCGGCCCGATCGCTCATCTCGACTCCGCCATCGCAGCGCCTGCCCGTCCTCCACCGGCTCCGGTGCACTCGCGAGCGTCGCACTCGCCACCTGCCATGACCCGTCTGATGTGCATCGTTGGCCATGAAGCCATGCTGACTCGCTACTAGTTTGCTGATCGGGCCCGCTGTTGACTCCAGCCTGTCCAATAGCTAGATCCATCGCACCACAGCTAGAGCTGCACGCATTATCTCAGCTGTACCCATCCTGGGCTTGTGCTCCTTCTGCCCGTCCCAAGAGGAATGCCAGTGTTCTCAATGTTATCACCGATGCATGAGCGTACTTTGGAGGCAGCAACAGGATGAGCGCTACCCACAAGCATGCCATCATAGCGCGTGCCGCCGACTTTCCCGAGCACCATCACTACCCTCCCTCTCCCCTCCCCCATGGCCTCAGAACGAGAGAAATATCTTGCTGTTCTCAAGGCATCCTATGACTACGACCCACAAGCTGATGCTGAGGATGAGTTAGCTCTCAAGGAGAACCAACTGCTCTTCCTCTTGGAGCGTACAGACGACGAGTACGATCAACCATTCCTCCTCCTGAGTCTGTTCCCACTGACACTATCAATAGCTGGTGGAAGGTCAAGATTAAACCGGATTCACAGGATGAAGAGGGTCCTTCTGGTCTCGTACCGGCGGCATATGTCGAACTTGTTCGTTACTGTACTGCCTGCCTCGCTCTCCATCTCACTATTGATTATTCCCAGGCCGACCCAATACAAGTCGTCAAAGTGCTTTACGACTATGAAGCAACCCAGCCGACTGAGTTGACCGTGAAAGAGGACGAAGTCTTGCATGTGTATGGCAAGGATGAAGAATGGTTCTTGGTGATGAGCCCAGAGGAGGAGGGCAGGGTGGGATATGTTCCTGGTAATTATGTTGAAGAGGTGTGTCGTCTTTCCTTTGCTGCTAGAGCCGTATTTCTGAGACGCATATCAGACTAGCGGCGACGATGAAGGGGGTGCCGCGCCTGCCGCCTCTACTTCCATCTCATCCATTGTCGTCCCCGACTCGGTACGTGCGTAGGCCGACTGGGCCCAACGTTCTTCTCATTCTTGCATATCAGCCCCCACGACCCCCGCGACCGGTCAGCACATATGTGGACCCTGCGGATCGAGTCGCGGCCGCTTCAAACAAGGCCCAGGCGGACTCCATCCAGACGTGGTCGATATCGGAGGTCGACACGAAGGGCAAGAAGAAGAAGGGCACGCTTGGGATAGGCAACGGTGCAATGTTCTTCGCGAGCGAATCCGACAAGGTACGCCCTATCAACGATCGTCATTACCCCAGTCGTCCGACCGATGTGCGCAGAACCCCGTGAGGAAGTGGCAGACGTCCGACGTGCAGTCCTCGAAGGTTGAGAAGTCGAAACATGTCCACATCGAAGTCGGCGGGCCGGACGCGGCAAGCTTACACTTCCACGCGGGCTCCAAGGACAACGCCGAAGCGATCATGGCGAAGCTCGAGTCCTCCCGTGCGCTTGCCGGTGGGGACGCCGTGGCCACCAACGGGACTTCTTCACCTCGTCCGGTTGATGGCTCTCCCATAGAGCGTCCCAGGAGCGTGGCGAAATCAGTGCACTTTGCCCCAGACGAGCCGGACGTCATCCCGCCCTCGGAGAGGTATCAGGATGCGGAACCGGAGGAGGAGCCGGCAGAAGAGCAGTACGAGGCTCCGTCGCACGCTGAAGTTCAGACGGAGGACGGCGTTCCCGCCGTGGCTTTATACGACTTCGCTGCCGACGGCGAAGATGAGCTCAGCGTTCGCGAAGGGGAGACGCTCATCGTGTTGGAGAGGGACAGCGACGAATGGTGGAAGTGCAGAAACTCTGACGGCCTCGAAGGCGTCGTTCCCGCAAGCTACATCGAGGTAAGTGTCTCTCAACATCGTCCCGAACACTCCCAATGATGCTGGCATGATAGGTGGTCGGTGGCGCTGTGCCACCTGCACCATCCAATAACCGGGCGGCTGAAGAGGCTGCAGCGAAGACGCAAGCCGCGGCCGCAGAGAAAGCCGCTAGGGATGCGGCTGCCCGAGAGGAGTCCGAACGTCGTGCTGTCGCGGAGCGCGAACAAGCTGACAAACGGAAGAAGAAGGAAGAGGCAGAGCAACGCGCGAAGGCAGCAGCGGTTGCCGCTGAAGCCGACAAGAAGCGGCGCGAGCAGGAGCGGGATAGGCAAAAAGAGAAGGAGCTCCAAGCCGCAGAGGATGATGCGAAGCGGAAGAAGCAGCAGCAGACCGAGCAACAGCGTAAGAAGAGTGGCGAGCAAAGCCGATCGTCGACCGACAAGCGTGGCCCGCCCCCGGAAGCGCTACGTGAGTGGAGGGATCGCACTGGCCAGTTCCGCGTCGATGCGGCATTCCTCGGGTTCACCAACGGCAAGATTCGTCTGCATAAGGTCAATGGAGTCGTCATCGAGGTCCCAGCAGAGAAGATGTCCGAAGACGACTTGCGATACGTCCAGAAGCTCACCAAGCAGAGGCACCAGTCCCACCGCAAATCTGATGATGATGACGAGCCACTCGAGCTTCGCAGACGATCCTTGGTCCCCGATGCTGCTGCTAAACCTTCGCCTAGAGCCTCGCCGCAGAAGAAGGGGCCAACGATTGATTGGTTTGAATTTTTCCTCAACGCAGGCTGCGATATGGATGACTGCACACGCTACGCAACCTCATTCGAGAAAGACAAGATCGACGAAGCCATCCTTCCGGACATCACAGAGAGCACCATGCGTTCACTCGGTCTTCGTGAAGGCGACATCATTCGCGTCAAGAAGGCCATTGAACAGCGGAAGTCCAAGGACTCCTCAGATGTCCATAGTGAACAGCTGCGGAAAGACGAAGAGTTGGCTAGGCAGCTCCAAGCTGAAGAGAATGGCTCGAACCTCAAGTCGAGGAGTCCTGCACCCAACCTGTTCGCCGGTCCAAACGGCGAAATCAAGAACATACGTCGCGGGAGACCACAGCCTAGCAAGAGCGGACCTCCGGCCAGCGTCAACATTCAGTCGATCTCGACAGCCTCTGATCAAATCATCAGGACAGGTTCTCCCATGGTTTCCAGCCCGGATGCCATTGCCCCATCGTCAAGTCCCGCACAAGCGCCACCCAAGGCTGCTATTGTAGCCCCCGCGGTTAGCGGATTCGACGACGACGCCTGGACAAACAGGCCGAGCTCAACGAAACCTCTAGCGCCGACTCCTCCTGCTCGCGCTCCCTCGGCACCCCCTGCCCCTCCTCCGCCTCCCGCTCCGCCTGTGGCTGATACCGCAGCACCCCCCGCGCCTGCTGTCGCTGTCAGTCCCCCGCCCGCTCGTGCGGCATCGGTTGCCTCAGGAGCGCCCGCACCGAACCCAGAGAACGACATTTTCGACCAGCTTGCCCGCATTGCCTCTATCCGCGTGAGCACTCCCCAAGCACCTCAGCCAATTACCGCTGTGGCTTCTGCTCCCGCGCGCGCGACGACGCTATCCCCACCGCAAACGCTGTCTCCCCCCATGGGCTTCCAGTCTGGCATGGGCATGGGCGGCTCTCCCGTGTCTATGGGTCAGGCTTTGCAAGCTCAAGCGACCGGGATGCTCGCTCCTATGAACGGTCCGCGTGGTCCGTTCGCGCCTGTCCCAGCGAATCAAGCCCTGCTCCAGCCCCTTGTCCCGACAACGACAGGTTTCCAGGGCTTCGTGCCAACACGCCCGGGATCAACGCCGTCGAACTTTCAGCCATCTGCAGCTCTTTCACCGTTCAACTCGTCCCCTCAATCGTTGCTCCCACAAACGACCGGATTCCCTGGTATGGCGCCATCTGTCATGTCGCAGCCTACGGGCTTCCAGCCTCAGCCGATGATGTCGCAACCCACGGGCATGCCAGGCAACAACTTCGGCATGAACGGCATGAACAACGGCATGGGCGGTGGCATGAACTCGTTCGGGTCCACTCCGGGCTTTGGCGGCATGAACACCATGCAAATGAGTAGGTACCCTTCGCGTCTACATCCGATCATGTTCTGAGCCGCCTCCAGATCCGACAGGCTTCAATCCCGTTGCGATTAGTACGTTTCACGAAGCAGAAGTCGTATGTTTTCTTGCTGACCTGCCCTGTCACAGATCCCACTGGCTTCAACCCTGGATTCGGCCAGTCGCCCTTCGCCAACCCTACTCCCCCGCCTCAGCCGTCCCAGCCACAGACCAATACCACTCCTGCGAACATCTTTGCGTCGATGAAGAGTGGCACGTTTGGCCAAGACGACAACACGCCACAGGACGCGAACAAGTACGATGCCCTCCGTCCGAATCGTAAGTACATTACGCAAGTTTTCGAACATACGCTGACATGCTTCGCAGCTACGCCGCTGATGGCGCAGCCTACCGGATGGGGAGGGTTCGGTGGATCTACTGGATACCAGAATGGCTATGGTTACCAGTGAGCCCGAGGGATCGAGGACTTTTTTGTTTTGCAGTACTATTATCTACCTTAGGAACACGACTTATCTCTCACGCACGAACCTCTGCGGATGCACTTCCAAAGCAAGATTCAACGGAAACATTGCAATAATATACCCGAGGATTCCGTCATTATACAACCGTGCCGGCAAATAAGATAGGTGTGGTCGGTGGGCGTGATGTCTATCATGGACGCTCTGTGATGCCCTGGACGTAGCCAACGCGAACGAAATACTCCCGCAAGCCTTCCCGAATCTCCGAAGCCATGTCTCGCGAAAGCAGCTCAGTGGCGAGGGGATAAACGGCTGGGAGGTATCTTGTGAACTACGGGAGCAACAATAATCAGCGTCCAACTTGATCGGAAGAGCTCGTGGGCGACGTACGGCCTTATCGTCGAAACGGACGAAACCTTGAAGAATCTCTGCGACGACTGGCGTCCATGCCGCGATATTTTTGGCTTGCGTGTCTAGGCGCAGCTTGTTGAAGTCCTGGAGGACGCCGAGGCCCAACCTACGTACAGTTCAAGTCAGGAAGATCCACCCGGTGTCCGGACCGAGTCTACTCACGGCATGAGACGATCCGCAACCTGCGGTCGCGCAGCTTGGTGCTCGGGACGAGAATCGTAGTACATCCGGAGGAGGACATGCACTAATGTGGACGCGCTGCTCGACTCCTGCTTGAGAAGGTTGGGGAGGTGCTTCATGAAGCCGACTTTCCAGAGCCCTGTCCGAAGCTCCTTGTCGTCGTTGAACATCCTCGCAAACTGATAGCTGTGGTCGAGGACGCCCATGAGACGGAGGAGGTGCTCGGGTGGGATGGTGTTGTAGACCTCGTCGTTGCGGAGCAGGTCGTTCGTCGTCTCGATGAGGAGGAGCTGCAAAACACACTTGACGATGATTTGCCGGAAGATTCGTCTCCGCTCGTTCAGCGATATCCTGGCACCGGCCTTCGGCTTTTCGCTGTTTGGGGAGAGAGGTGCGGGAACCATTGCTTGCTCTCCGGATTCTAGAGAAGGTCAGCGTGAGGGAGTTAAATTGAGGCCAAATCCAATACATCATACCTGACGTGTCCTGGACATCAGGCGAACCGTCATCGATCTCGACGCGAAGGCTCTCGTCGAAGAGCTGGTGGGGCGTCGTCGTCCTGAAGAGCTTGACGAACGTCGTGGCGACACGTTCCCAACGTGCTGCACTGAGCTTCTTGATGTTGCTCTCGAGCAATTGCTGCAAACATGAAGTTCCTATCCGCGCCAGTGTGTCGTTCTCTGTTGGCGTGGTAAGCCTGCGATCCCTTTGAGCACGAACCAGGCACTGACCTTGGCAGATGCAGACACAAAGCAGGTCGAGCAAACCGTCAAGGAAACGCTCCAGTGTCTCGAAGTAGAACGTGTAGAGGTCAATCAGGTTGCGCAGCGCTTGAATCATGGTCGTAGACAACCAGACACTCATATCTTCCTGGGTACTGAAGCGTGACACATCTTGGCTGGACTTGAGAACCGCGAAAATGGGGAAGAGCAACTCTTGGCAGACCGTGTCCCAGAACTCCACAGGATAGGTGGAACCGTACGTCTTGAGCGTGCTGAAGAGCGAGTCGAGAGCTCTGTTCATTCAAGAGTCAGACTTTTGACGCAAAGCAAGACAGCCATCATCACGTACAGTCGTCGAACTTCCAAGTCCTCGCCGTTCATGATGACATCGTAGAACCCAAAGAGAACCGGGAACCAGTACTTGATCATGGGGTCGTCAGCAGGCTTGTGGTCCTTCTCCTTAAAGGCACAATCGGGACACTCGAGCATAGTGGGAATGGTATCTCGGAGCATGGCGATGGCGAGGAGGCTGATCTTCTGATACTTGCTCACTTTGCAGAAGTCCGTGATGCAGACGGTCAGGTCCGCGAAAGACCCATGGCGAACGATAGCTGTGAAGTGCTCTTTGTTCAGCCGAGTGACGATCTCGAACGCAGAGTTGGCGATCTTTTCTATTCGTAAAGGTCAGCCCTGTTCCCATCACTCGATAACGTTGGAGCATACCTGTTGCAGCCTTGGACGCGGCGGAGAAGGCAGCGAACATCGTTCTCCACCCAGAACGCAAATTCTGCACTCGCGCTTGAATCATCACTTGCAAGCAAGTCAAAACCTGCCTCATATTTAGCCAACGAGTACGGAGAAAGTATACTGAAGCTTACCATGTCGCGAACCTCGGGGTTGGAGTTGTGGACCATCGTGTACTCGAACGGCCTTAAGAAATCCTTCTGGAATTTGAAGTGCGGAAGCTCCTCTTTCTCCAAGAAGCGCATGGCCAGTTGCCGCAATGCATCCAAGGCGAAGAAGCAGACGGGTGGGTTCTTGTGACAGCAAACCTTCAATCTATGATCAGCATTGATCAACATGTTTGGGTTGCGAACATACCTGGTTGAAGTGTTCACCCAAGATCTCCCACATATTGGACCATTCCAAACGAATGCGGTTCATGTTGTAGTACGAAATCTCGACGAGCTTCTGCAAGCTGAACAAGCGCGGGTGTTGTGACATCCCTGATGACTGGATCTCCTCCCACGAAACGTCGCATAGCGCACGCACGAAGTCGACGATCGCAGTCTAAACCACGCGTCAATGATCCGGTCGTATACTGAGAGAGCACCAAACTCACTCCAGACAGATAGTGACTGAGAGAGAACACCATGTCAGCGGCGACCGTGATGTGAGTCGAGCGACTCTCGTTAGCCAGCTCCTCGGTGGGAGGCTTGCGAACGCGTCCGCTAGGTTTTCGTGAGCACCTAAATCACAGGATCGGATTACTGACATACCCTTTCTTGCCCCCGTCGTGAACGTCCAGACCGCTGCTGATCAACTGCATGTGTTCGAGCTGGCTGACGTTAGTGAGGACCTCCCGCCATGATCCCTTGAGGTTGTTCCCCTCAGTGACCGCGACGTCGAGTAACGTCTTGATCGCCTCCATATTTTTCGTCTTCATCTCGCCCAGGTTGTTCAGGAAAGTAAACTTGGCAAGCGTGCTCACGAAGGCATTCCGCTCAAGCTCCAAATCGAAGAAGCAGACGATGTGGATCGCGGCTTTGAAGCCTTCCAGGCAGAGCTCAACGATCTCCAGGTCATCTGTACCTTGGAGAGGCCCAGAGATACCAGCAAGGAACGGTATCCATGCAACTTCGAACATAGGCTTGACGTGCACGAAGTGCGAAGCACTGAAGAAGTCGTTGGACTTCGCACCTTTCCGTTGTGACCGAACGAGAGTGCGGAACAGAGTCTAACACGCTGTTAGTCTAGGTTCAACAGTGTTGTGTGAGACAAAGCTACCTCAGTCTTGTTCGCCATGTTGTTCGACTGCATAACATATGCTTCCTTCTGGAGGTCCCTGCCAACGTTGGCCAAGACACCGGCGATTCCAGTCCCTAAGGTAATCACCGGGCCCGCAATCTCATCCTTCATACGAATCTCATTGACCTGGATCTCGTCATAGATCGCGTTCAGGATGTCGTCAGGCAAGTCCTGACCGTCATTGATGCCCCGGTTGTTGGCAATGAATCCTTGTTTGGTCATGTGGTTCTTGATGTGAGGATTATGCGTGTCAGTGTTGAGCATGATCACCGAATAAGCGAGCACATATGCGGTGTCTGAACAGACCCGTTAGTCACTATAAGATCGAGGGATAAAGCTTGTCAACGCACCGGCATTGGCGAAAATCGTACTGTCATTTCCGGCGACATAGCGCTGGGCAAACTTCAGCATGAACCGATCGATCTTCTGACCTTCCCCAGGGAGACGGAACGTCTGAAGGAAAGCACGAAGGGCATCCGTGAAGGGCATGTTGGAGAGGTCGAGCATGTCGACAAAAGCGTGCATGATAATGATATTCTCCTCGTCTCTGAGTAGCTAGTGAGCTTCTCGTCGGCTCTTGTTAATTAACTCAAATGACTTACCCCTCACCCAGGTATTCGCCTATCGCCGCTTTGCTAAGACCATCTGTGTCAAGCAGGAATCTCGCGATGTCCTGGGGTGTCTTTCTTGCAATAAATCCAGTCTCCAGGAAGAACTCAACGCCCTTCAACATAGAATGTCAGCGGTGCGCGATATGCAACACCAGATATACGCACCCGCTTAGGCTTCTGGTTGAATTTCTTAATGCCCTCGAGCAGGGTCGTCTTCTTCTGTTTGGCGCTTTCGAACCGGGTCGGGTCATCGGCGAGTTCAGGGGTCACGCCGCGCGATATGTCTGGGAGCCCTGGCGAAAGCTTCTCAGACAAGTCAGGAGTTCCTGAATCTCTCCGTGACTCGTCGAGGAACATCGACTGCGTAGTGGGATCTGTTGTCTGTTCCGGTAGCGAGGTGCTGGTAGTACCCCAAGCCACTAGAGACTTGAGGACGGCGACGAGACATTCGAGTCCTTGCCTACGGAGCTGCGCCTCCGAATTACCTATGGTTGCTGTGTCGACATTGCCGGGTACGGAAAGCGCCGAAGTGCTGAATGAAGGGGGAACTTGAGCTCCATGGCTGTCCTTCTTCTGAGGTTGTAGAGCAGGGCTAGCAGGATCATTCGTCTTCTGCAGGGCATGAGACACGGGAGAAGTACCGATCTTGGATATTATGTTCATCAAACTGAAAACCGATCAGAAAAGTACTTCAATGGGGGAGAAATTATTCCATACTGCTCGTAAATGTTGTCCGCCGCCTCACTGTCGCAGTCGTAGTTGAGATAGATCTCGACAAGAGCCTGCGGGTCCTGACACAGTCGTTGGAGCATGCTGACAACCATGGCCTTCTGCTTCAGCGTCGATGTCTTCATCTCCAGGATAGGGATGAAGATCTCGTGCAAGAGCACCTCTATTTCTTTCTGGATGGGAGCTGTGAGTACTTGGATCCGGCCCGAGTATGTCGCAAGTACGAACCTTGAGCTTTGTACGCATCCCAGACAGCACCCTCCAGAATATCTCCACGCTAATCTCGAAAACCTGGGGTACAGGGCTCACGGCATTCCGACTGAGACACAAGCACAGGTACTGATTCGAAGCCTGAATGAAAGAGGTGGCCTCGTTTGAGGAAGAGGAATAGATGATCGCCGAAGGAGCAACAAAGATGGGCATATGAGAGTTGAGGATCATGAGCACAAGGTGCAGAGAGAGCAGTTTCGAGCGCATAGAATGAGACTTCAAGTCGCGCTCGCTGTTAATAATTGTCAGCTGGAGTTCCAAGACCTTGTCGAGCACCCTAACCTCTCGCTATTCAATGGCTTCATTGTGAGTTTGCAGAGAGCCCTGAAGACGAGGAAAGCGTCCTTGACGAAGAGGTCGTTGGTGGACAGTTCCCTGTGATAAAGACCACCTTCTTCATCTTCATCGTCATGAGGGACGTGGGCTACTTCGCTTGCCTGAGAGCCGGACGCCTCTCTGTGATAATTTTAGGTATACGAACGCATCACAAGATTGAATACGCACTGTCGATGGTGTGTCCCATTCTGATGCCCATTCACACCGTTCGTTCCGTTCGGCCGCTGCTCCACCGATGCAGAATCGCCTGGCGTCGCATCCGTGGCCTCCGTTGGAGCCACGGATGCCGCACTGGAAGGCACTTCCGACGGCTCGTACACCAAGGTTGTGCCATCCGAGCTGTTGAGCGAGGGCTCAGGACTTTGTGTAGGAAGTGGCAGGGAGCCGCGAGGAGACCCAACAAGAGGCGACCGGTGGAATGGCCGCGGGCTGTCGGGACTGTCGCGCGCAGAAAATGCCGAAGTGGAATCCGACTGCGGAAGGCTCGAATTGCCGATCTTGCACCGCGCGAAGACATGGTTCACCATCTGCGTGAGTCCACCCTGCGCGACCATCTGGTTGACTGGATCCATGCTGAGGAGAAAGACATTGTAAACTGTGCGAACCGCCTTGAGTAGGGATGACTGGTGAACGAGGATGGTCGGGGAGAGGACGAGAGCAAGGAGGGCCTTGACAATCTGTAGGGATACGGTCTCGGGGGTATTCTCGGTGTGGCAAGAGGTGATTGTATGCACGACAAGGTCGACGAGCGACGTAGGTTCGCGCGGAGGCTGCGCTGCACCGCGCGAGTTTGGACCGGGAGACGGCGGTGGAGAGCTGGGTGCTTGCGCAGAGGACGAATCGGCGAAGAACGAGTAGGAGATGAGCTTCGAGATGCAATCCAAGCTTGCAATCATCAGCTTCTCGCTCCTGGTCTCGCAAGCGAGACGGAGAGGCTCGAAGATCTCGCGAGGACGGTCCCCCCCTTGCCCGGATTTAACCATCTCCAACGCGCGCTGCGTACTTTCGCGGAGGGGTGCTGATCGTTTGGCCTCCTTTGACGCGGCAATAGTCTCCAGTGCTGACGAGATGAGAACCACGGAGACGGTGTTGCCCTTGGAGAGTGTAAGGGAGCGTTTATGCCCTTGTGCCGAGTCTGTGGATTGGCGCGACGGGACTGGACGAATGCTCGGCGTTGCAGGCCTGCTGTCTCCAGTCAAGGAGCCGCTAACGGTACGAGGGGAGAGGGGAATGTTTGGGGGCACATTCGGTCGGCGTGCCACAGGCGAAACGGGGTTGGAGGGGATCGGTTTGGCTGGAGGAGTAGGCGGAGGAGGCAGGTCCTCCTCGCCCTCGGTGTACCCATTGCTGCTCCTGTCGTTGGGGGGCTCACCGTCGGTCGACCTTGCCCTATTCTCGTTCACCGGGTCCCTCATAGGAAAGTGGGACATGATGCTCGGCATGGGTTCGTCATGGGGAGGCGGCGAAGGCGGAAGAGGAACGGTCTCGGCCTCCAGGGCGGGAACTTGCGCAACCTGAGCAGAGTCGGGGTCCATGGTAGGCCACGGGTGTCGTCGGCGGTGGCGGCGAGACGTGGCAGCAAGGGGCGCGAGTGGATATGTGGTCGAACTCGAAGAGCGAGGGCGATGAGCTCTTAGCTGTTGGGCATCACGAGACGCGTCGCGCTGGGCATCGAGATCTAGGACACGTCGGCCCCGTTCGTCCCGGCGCGTCCGACACAAATTGCTGAAGTTCCGTTCCTTGCGCCTCGTCAAGTCGTTGCCTTTCCTCTACCCGCACCGCTGCTGCTGTCTGATCCTGCCATGGCCTCTGGATCCGTCCCCTCTGGCGCATCAGCCGCGGTCCTCAAGCCGTCTGAACCGATGCCGGAGTTCGCGGTCTCTGTAGAGGGCCCCAATTTTGAGGAACAAATGTCCCTGCAGAAGTTCATCGCGAGCTACCAACGCATCGGCTTCCAGGCAAACAGCCTTGGCAAGGCCATTGACATTGTCGATAAGATGGTACGTCTGCTCCACTCGTCTCGCTTGTATCTGCGCCCTGAACTCCCCTCCGTTATGCTCGGTCCCTTCCCACTCTAGCGCAAGTGGCGGCTGTCGGACGAGCCTATCAAGGAAGACGAAGCGGACGAGTACCTCTCGCATGAGGTGCGCGCGAACACCAAGTGCGATGTGTTCCTGGGCTATACCTCCAACCTCATCTCCTCGGGTCTGCGTGAAGTCATTCTCTACCTCGTCAAACACAAGCACGTCCGTGCTCTCGTGACAACCGCTGGAGGGATTGAGGAAGACTTCATCAAGTGTCTCGGCAAAACCTACCTTGCTGATTTCAACATAGATGGCGCGGACCTTCGTCGACGTGGTATGAACCGCATCGGTAACCTGCTCGTGCCCAATGACAACTACTGCAAATTCGAGGACTGGCTCACTCCTATACTTGATGCCATGCTTGAGGAGCAAAAGGCGTCCGGCCAGGTTTGGACGCCGAGCTCCTTCATCCGTCGGCTTGGAAAAGAGATTGACAACGAGGAATCTGTATATTACTGGGCTTACAAAGTGAATATATGTTGTCTTGCATGCCGTCGTTCGCACTGAGCCCGCGTCTTGCGTTGTAGAACAATATCCCCGTCTTCTGTCCAGCCTTGACGGACGGCTCGCTCGGAGATATGATCTACTTTCATTCGTTCCGCAACCCGGGCCTGATCGTCGACATTGTACAAGATATCCGCAACCTGAACGAGCTCTCGCGACAATCCAAGAAGGCTGGCATGATCATCCTCGGCGGCGGCGTTTGCAAGCACCAGATTGCAAACGCCATGCTGATTGTACGTCCTGCGAACTCAGCCACAATGATGTATATTCTAATTATATACCCTTACAGCGTAACGGCGCCGACTTCTCGGTGTATATTGTGAGTGTCGTAACCATCGCGGGTGCTGTTTACGGACCTGTCATCGTGTCAGAACACCGGTCAAGAGTTCGATGGTTCTGACTCTGGGGCTCGACCGGACGAGGCCGTGTCGTGGGGCAAGATCCGTGCGGGTTCGGAGTCCGTTAAGGTCCGTAACGCGTGGCAAGGACGAAAACACAACTGAGCTGTCCTCTCCAGGTGTTCGCCGATGCCACGCTTGTCTTCCCGCTCCTTGTCGCGGCGACTTATGCACAACCCGACGCATAGCATCGTTGGCCTGCCGGTTGATGCAGTGAACGCACGAAAGCATAGACGGCTGATACAAAAACATTGTAGATTACTAGGCTACATCGAGCACCCGAGGTGCAACTCCGACACTGTATCGATACAAGTCTTGCGATTGGTTCACTCTGCGAGGCGTCCTTGAGTCACGCGCCACCAAATGCGACCGACCGACGCTCACCTTTAGTGATCTCTCCCTGCCACAAGATGATGTCATCCCGCATTAGTTGCAAAATCATCAAGGTGTCTTCCAAGTTGGCCACCGACGACGCGCCCTCGGCCAATGCGCTCGCGATCGCCTCGTCAAACGCATGCTTTGCGAGGTGGCACGCCCGCTCTGGGCTCCTCATAATGTCGTGAAAGTACACCGCGAAGTTCAGCGCGAGTCCCAGCCGTGTAGGGTGAGTCGGCACGAGCGTCGCCATCGCATGCTTGTATGCTGCCTTGTACGCCTCCAGAGACAGCCTCCCGAGCTCCTCTTGTGAGTTGATCTTCAGCTCTGCCAGGTACCGATAGTAGTCCCCGCGCCTAAGAGTCCGGCGAGATCGCCACCCAGCGACCAGGCAACCAGTCAGCTCCCACTACAACAATAGCAGCAGCACGCGACGCGGACGTACATCTTGCAATAGAACACCTTCTCCTCTCCGTCGCTCGCCGCCGGGATCAAGTGCTGCTCCAAAAGCCCGACCAGGTCGCGGCAGAGCCTGTCCAGGTCGCGCTCGATCTCGTCCTTCTCCACGCGCATGAGCTTCACCTGCTGCCGCGTCGACGCGAGCGCCTCCTTCTTCTGGAGCGCGTCGATCGTCCGCCAGCTCGCGCGCAGCTTCGCCGTCAGGTTCTTGTACGCCGCCGAGAGCAGGTTGCGCTCGTCGATCGTCAGCTGCGCCTCGTTCTCGTTGCAGATGTCCTTCAGCTGCGCGATCACGTCTGCGAGCCCGTGCGCGGTGGTGCGGTCGGCGGCGGGTGAGCAACGGGGGACATGTGTGCGTTAGCGTCGGTGCGTGCCTCGGCGGCTTCTGGCGTGCGCTGGACGACGCACCGTGGTACCGCTCCGACTGATCCGCTATCTTGGCCAGGAACAGACAGTCGAGCCTCGAGAGCGACATGTCCATGGTGCGCGACCGGCCCCCGACGAGCGATATGGAGAGCGGGGAATGGGAGACGGCTGCCTTCGTCGTCGTACTCACGCCGGTGTACATGGGAGATTGCAGGTGCGGAAGACGGTGGTGGACGGTGGGGGGCGAGAGAGAGGTGGTCACTAGTAGTGTCCGAGCCGGGCGCAGGGCAATGCCGCGCGCCTTATGTATACCGCGCTCGCGGGCGGACGCTGGACGCTGGGCAGAGGGGATCGCGAGACGGAGGGGACGAAGGCTTGCAGTCGCCCGCGCACAGCTGATGAGCCGATGGGCTCATGGCGTGCACGCGAGGCGAGGCGAAGGTGCGGCGGGGCAGCTCGCCGCGGACCTCTGTGGGAACCACGCAACGAGGTGCGCACACTCCCGGCCACACACGCGATCTCCCACCCCGATTTGGCAGCCGTAGTGGTTCATCGCCTCGGCCGGACAACCCGCATTGTTGCGGTTACACCAGTACACTGAGCGGGGCTCGTGGCCTGTAGAGCATCGCGAGCACGGCTGCGCTAGCTGGAGTGAGATTGAATGCGAGTTTCAATTGTCAAGCCTAGATATTACAACGATGGTTTGCAACAGGCTGCCTCTCATCCGACCCAGACGTCGCCGCCGGGGCTATTGTACGAATAGTGGTTAGATGATGCTAGCACAAAGTAGTGACTTGTGACTCACGCAGTGTAGCTCTGAAGGTTGTTGTAGATGTTGACGGTGATGCCGGGGTCGGTGGGCTGGTACTCGCCTGGGATCGCAATGGTGGGAGGCGATGCGTTGCCGCCGCCCGTGATGGTGACTTGAGCGCATCCGATGTACTGTGGAGTAGAGCGGTCAACTGCGATGTCATCCGTCTGTCATGATATACACTGACGAACTGCGCGCCCGGGTAGCTCTGTGCAACGTGAAGTGCAATCTAGATAAAGCAGCTGAGTGGGGCTGAGCTTGAAGGACAGATGACCATGAACGTACGATCTCGGCACGCAGCAAATAGTCTCCAGCGGGAAGTGAAGAAGGGAGGGTGACAGTGTGCTTGCCTAGGTAGCGAGAACTTTCAACGACGAGAGAAGAGAAGAGAAAAGATATGCTGACCATTGTTGGCGTTGACAACGTCGGTCGCCCACTCCGAAGAGGAAGCGTCAAGGAGACCTGATGAGTAAATCTTGGTCCACACGGATCCCTGACCATCGAATTCGGCCGCGGTAGTTGGCGCCTTGGCAACGTAGACTTGAACGGGACCCTTATGGCCGCCTGAAATAGCGTCCTCGCCGGTGCGCTGGTCGTGCTGGTGCCACTCAAAGGTGATGCTACTACCAGCCGGAATCGTGAGAGTCTCTACGCTTGATCCAGAGAGACCGTTGACGTTGCAAGTCAGGTCTGTGGAGGTCACATCGGTCACCGGGTTGTTGTTTGGGGGTATCCGAATGTAGCTGTTCAGGCCCTCGTCAACCTGTAAGTTCACAATGTCAGTGAATTGACATTGTGATTGGGTCGGATGGCAACATACACCGTCGTCCCAGACGTACTGCATCGTAACTGAAGCAGAACAGATGAGCTCTCATCGCATCTACTCACGATAGCAAGTACTCACAGTGGGCATGGGCGCTGATGGCTACCGTAGCGAGAGAGGCGAGGAGAGCGACCTTCATTGTACGAATCCCCTGGTGAGCTGAGAGGTTTGGCGGTATCTCGTTCGGCCTTTATGGAGCTCGGCTCAGCCATAAGTTTCAAGCGGCGTGGTCGCGCGACAGACCGCATGCCGAGAAAAGCTGGCTTGGCGTTCCCTGTCGTTCAGATCTCGAAGATACCTCGGCCCTTTTCGATGTCGCGAACGCGGCTCTCGCACATAGGCGCAAGTCTTGAGAAACGCAATGCCGTTCGGCTAGACCCCAAGCATGGGGTCATATGGCAATTTGACGGCCGAGGTTGAGGCGACTAAACAGGAAGGAATTATATCCCACGTTGACTTTTTGGACAGCGTCCGCAAAAACGGCTGCGTTGGGAGTAGTAGATAGTGCCGCGGGTGAGCACTGGCCATGGCGTAATCGGGAGATGCGTACATACGAGCTTAAAAGTCCCCAAGAGACCTGTGGTGGGCTTCGAGAGTGCCGCCCATCAGCTTCACAGAGCTATCGACATGATGGGAGAGACGACGGTCTCGGATAAACCGCCCCACAGCCCGTGAAAATGACTCGGACGGGTAACGGATGCTGAGGCTGCATCATCCGGGTCACATCCGAATGGGTTATATGACCGGAGCACGAACCGCAATGTTGGATGATATGTACGTCATGACAGACAGGTCTCTTCTACGTTACCGGTGCGGTCGATTAACTACGCCCGTTTTCGGGCTGGTATCCGCCCAACTTCCTGTCGGTTGTGGAGGGAATTCGAAAATGAGACGACTGAAGGACAGCCCGCGCGATCGGTGACTGGCGGTGGGGTCGGCTTCGGGAGGTCGGCGTCCGAGGCGGAGGGTGGTGGTAGTCCTCATTCATAAACGTCCAACCATGAGTCCTGGTGGTAGTCCGCGTACAGTATCTTCTCGTAGTGGTGACGGTGCGCGGCGCACCGTGCGGTTGTGGAATATGTTAGAGCACGAGTCAGAGGTGTGGATGGACGTAGCTTCACTGTAGAGGCGATAGAGCGCGAGGGGAGCGGTGATTTAGTCGTGCGAGGTCCCGAAGACAGCAGGCGATGGTCGGCGTCGGTGGGCTGCACCGCAGGTAGGGGCTGAGGGAGTTCCGGATTGTTCTTGACAAGCCGGCAACACAGGGTGGCCAGGTGTCGAGTGTGGATTCAATAAGTCGGGGCTTGTGCACTGAACAAGACGTGGGTCAGAATCTATGAGATTGGCGCGGAAGAGCTTGTGAAGTTGAAACAATGACGATGTGAGCCCCTGTAGGAAGTCATAGCGATGTTGAACGTTGAGACCGGGCGAGTGGAGGAAGCGCGTGCGCAACACTAAAATTGAAGCGCATCTAATCGGCGCGCCATAGTACAGGACTAGTAGCGCCCATTGTGAACAAGCCCTGGGAAACCGCGCTCCCCCGAGTCCCCTTCGCTCACCGGCGTCACTCGCCCCTTGCAAGGAATGTGGCGAACTTCTGCATAGGCTGCTGGGACATTCCTCGGATTCTTTGCACGACGTTCCATCTCTAACTGCGTATGTGCTCTCACTCTACTTTCCTTCGAACCATCGCCGCCGAGTACCAAGGCCCCAGATATAGACGAAATGAACGATTCCCAACTACTCGAACGAACAACGGAAGGCCACTTCCCCGACTAAGTGGCGTGTACTAAGTCGAGCCGAACGTCGACAACATATACCAACACTCGCCCGACATGGTCGCGAAAGGTGGGACTTCGACGACGACGACCTCCCAGGCATCGAAGAGATGACCTTGCCATCCCCGCCGTTCGCTTCGAGTGCGAGTACTAGGACGCCCTCATCAAGGGCGTTCGATAAACGCGGAGCTCGCCAACTTATTCTCCCGCCAGCGCCAGTACGCGTCCGCCCGCCCCCCGCCAACTCCAGAGGACTGTGGGTCCAAGATAGAAGAGAAAATTAGGTGCTTAGTCCACGTGGTCTTCGGTGGTGCAAAAGTCTGATCAACATAGAGAGCCCCAGTGCCCTTCCATTTCGTACACCGGGACTCCTGGTTTTGTTGCAGTTAATTATAGGCCGAATCAGTGAAGGACATGACACTCGGTGCATCAGGTTCTGCGAGTGGTCATGAAGTTCCAGCTGCAGGCAAAAAGGACTGGCTGTCGAAGAGTTGGAGGTTGTATATCTGGACGCCCGACTCATCTTGAGAAGCGCCAGAGACTGGCTTCGTTCACAGCTGCGCCCACTATTACGCAACTGCGCGTGCAAGTGGTGGGGTATCCTCCGCTATCCTTTGCGTTCCTCAAAGTGCACCCCCCGCGTACCCCATCGCCTTTCCCTCTCACTGGCGCCACACCCTCCCCATGCTTGTCGCTAAGCTTCCCACCGGCGTCGAACGCTTCAAGGAATCTGCAGCATATGCTCTTTATATGCTGCTAGGAAGTTCGGCGGATTTCCTGCACGCGACACTGCAGCTCGTTCACATCATCCCTCGGAGTCGTCCCTCTTCGGATTACCGGGCATGTGGCTTCGCTTTCTTGGACCTTTGAGCCAACGCTGACACCCCGAAGGTCTCAGATGTAGACCGAATGAGCGACTCCCAATTGCTCGAGCGACTCACGGCGGAGGAACCACTTCCACCGCTCAGCCAAGTATGCGGCATCGAGCTAAACGCTGAGAACATATCCGTTCTTTCGCCTGACACCGTCGTGAAGTGGCATGACTGGTATGAACCTGAGGAACTCCCTTTGGCCGAAGCGATGACTTTGGATCACATCTTCACCCACACCACCATCCCGGTCCCTCGCGTTCGTCGCGTCATCCGCATCGATTCCGAGCACACAGATGCCATCATCCTCGACCGGATTCCAGGAAGGCAACTTCGGCGCGCGTGGCCGACGATGTCCCTCTGGGCGAAGTTGCGCGTAGCGTTCATCCTCCGTGGGTACATCCGCCAGCTGCACACCGTCCGTAACCCTCGTCCTGGTATGCCTGGGCCGATGGCCCCGGGGGATCTCGCTCGCGTAGACGAGTGCCAACTCATTCGAGGCACCCTCGGTCACCCCTCCGAACACATTCGTCCTACGCCGACCTCGCTGAGTTCTTCAACTGCCGGCGAAGAGCCAACATGATATACTACCCTCATCTGTTCGCGGGTGTTCCGGAGGAGTGGTTCGACTGTTCACAGCCTCTCGTGATGACCCACTGCGACCTCAACATGCGCAACATCCTCGTTGGCGACGACGGGCGACTGTACCTGTTGGACTGGGGGTACTCGGGATTCTATCCTCCCTGGTTCGAATACGTCAACTGGGAGTTTTGGTTGTGCTGCGAAATGGGCGGGAAGGCAGCGGAACTTGATCGCGAGGACCGGCTGTGGAACCTGATGATCCCGTTTATCACCGGTCCGTACTATAAGGAGGACAGATGGTTCTCGTTCGCATATCTTACATACTGGTGATCGAAAGCTCAACGCAGTACCTGGGAGTGCCTTGCCAGTGTATGCCCGAGATTCGTACAATTTACCAAAACACCCCGTATATCGTGATTCCATTTGCGTAGGAAGTGTCGCATCGCATGAAGTCCAGTGACCCATTACTTCAATCAACCACTGTGCGCGCCCCCCTGGATGGTGAACGTCACCCGTCACGTCACCTTACAAGCCGTTCTGGGTGCTATTCACCTCGTGGCATGGTAGGAACGAGCTTTGCGAAGGTGCTTATCTGAGTCTGTGTTGTGCCCAGACTAACCCTCGTCGCTTCCACGCAGCTGCTGTTGACTCGTGTTGAAGGTCCGCGATGCGCTTCTCAAGATCCTTCTTGGTTGGAGTATGTCACGGCGTGGTCAGCATTCCTTAGTAGCGACACAAACCATGGTACATACTAGCATAGTTCTCGGGCCTGTCCGCGGGGTCAGGCTCGAGACTGCCAAAACTTCCATTTGACATGCTCTATGTAGTCATGGGGGTGAGAAGTAGGAGAACGGAATCCCCGTCTGGTATATACAGCGGCTCATCATCCCCAACAAGTGTTGCGGATGTGCCCGCACCAAATCACGTCGCAGTCAAAGAGATGGAAGCAAATTGCGTCTATGTCTGGAACCTTTAGGATACGCTTAGTCGTAACTTGTCGTGAGAGGTCGTAAGTTGGGGCTACAGTGACCGGCTAGACGGGGCACATGGGGGGCACAGTCGCGGAGGAGATATATGCATTAATCGTCCGTTCGAGGTGGTGGTTTCCAGACATAACTCTGTATATACTTGAGGGATCGGTGGGCGTGGGGAGTACACGGTAAGTCAGGGGAATAAAGATCAAGAAAGATGTAGGGCTCGGTGCGAGCGGGGTTGGGAAATAGTGGGGTTTATGCGAATCAAGTATAGATGATGCGCCTTCCGATCTGAACGACGGGAGGGTATCACGAAGTGCGAGGTTCAGATGACAGAGAGGAACGAGCCAACGCTGTGAGCCACAGAGCCGAGCACGCCGAGCATCTCGTTCTCTTCATCCGAGCGGTTCGGGGCATAGTAGAAGCCCGAGAGGAGGACCAGGTAGCTGAGGAGGAGGATGCTGCCACGGTGGTAGTTGCTCTTCGCCTCGATGTAGGTGTAGGTCATCAAGAACACCGACAGGATAATCGCGATGATGTCCCAGCGAGGGAAGATCAACCTAGAAAACTGTGAGCTGGATGGCATCTTGAAGTAAATTACGACTCACGTGAAGGTCTCGGCGGTGGACCCCATCTTGTCAGGGGCATACCAAGCAGAGAAAGCGACCATGGCCGGGACCTGGAGCAAACAGACCTGCAGGGCATACGCGGATCCAATTTCCATGCTATGGAAAGAGACGTTAGTTAATACCGAATACAATTATACCGTTTCACTTCGAACTCACCTCAGAGCGATGTTCCCATTGAGAGCGAACGAGATGGCGTTCATGAACTCAGTAGTGTTGGGCACCAGCGCGAAGAGGGTTACCCCAAGAAATTTCTCGTCGATGCCGGACCCTTCCAAAATGACGTCGACGACATCAACGAGAATCTCTGCAGACAGACAATGATTAGTGCCATTCACAGTGAGACGCATGCATCCCAGACTGACCAGCAATGATAGCATACAGGGCCGTGCACGCAAGCAGAACGCTTGCACTAGTCGTACGGCTCCAAGACGGCGCGTCGTGTCCACCGTGTCCACCTCCGCCAGTGTCCATCTCAGCGCCAGACGAGCGCAGACGCGCGGGGGACTGTGAATGGTTCTGCTGGTGACGGAGAGCGCTGACGGTGGCGACAGCGACGGCGCGGGTGAAGTCGTCCGGGGAGAGGTTGCCGGGGAGTTGAAGGGGCTGCAGGCCGGCGTCCTTGATCGCGTGGTCGACACTCTCCAAGATTGGGGTGTAGTTGGGGCCGTGGGCGGCGGGTGGGGTGACGTAGGAGATGTGACGGTTGGCAGGGCTCGCAGTGGCGAGCTGTGGAGACACAGGCTCGTGAATGCGCGGAACTGGGGTCTCGCTACGTGACATGGAGGATTCTTCGACGGTCATCATGCTTGGCTTGTGGTGCAGCGAAGTCTTGTGCGCCCCGGGAATGAGCTTGTGGTACAGAGACATACGGTTGCTGGTAGGCGCGTGGATCTGTTCCGGCTGGAGGAGTTGCTGCGGGTTCTGCCAGATCTGGCTGGCGTGAGTGCGCAGTGAGAACCAGAGGCCGATGAGATACGACTGGATGAGAAACCCGAGGTTATTGGAAACTTGAAGTCGACAGGACTAGACTACTCACAAATACGAGGATGATAGCGCAGAAGAACATTAAGCTTTTAACTGTAGACTGGTAGAAGGGATCATCCACGGGGTCAGGATGCTGATAGTAGCAGTGCTGGCAGACCCATGGCTTTGTCAAGGAGGTCAACCCATCTTCCGATGGGCATCCATCACAGACCAGCTCGAACTAAAGAACCAGTCAGTCGGGAGTTGGCCACCACGAACCGAGAAGAAACTTACACTGCCGTAAGTCTGATAGAACAACGTGGGGCAAATAGTGCCAATGAAGGCCATGATGAGCAACATACTTGTGACGCCAGCACTCTTCGCGTTGAACTTCATCTCCTTCCTCCGTAGGGCACCGCTGAGCATACTCATTCCGGGCATGAGCAACACACCGGCGAGCAAGCTACCCACGATGGATCCTTCGACGAGGTGGCCCTTGCCTTGCGTAAGCGCGATGCCGTAGAGCAGGATCTCGATGGCGGAACCGAAGGTGGCATTGATGACCGCACCCATACCAATAGACGACTGTGCCGATATAGAAGCGACAGCCATGCCGATGAAGTACGACAGCGGAATGACACTAGCCAAACTCATCACGAAGATGAGTGCGCGCGAAGTGATCGCGGCGAGGAAGGTGGGGACGTGTTGGCCAGCGTGCTCGCGCCGTTCGACCATGGGAAGGAGGACGATGCCGTCGATGATGGCAAAGAGGACGAAAGGAAGGAGGTTGACGAAAATGATGTTGACACCGCCAACCGTGTACTTGTAGTACTTCCACCCCCATGCGCGGTACGTACACAGGAGGACCGTCGACGTCGGTGAGCCGGAAGGCGCAGCCTGGCCCGCCGCGAGGCGAGGGTGCTTGAACGCGACTGGGGTCGCCTCCGCATCCGTATTCCTAGCGGTCGCGTCCGCTCCCCCCTCTTCATCCGGAATGGCAATGACTGGTGCTGCACAGAATCGGACGGAGGTAGGGTGCTGGAAGAGATGCTTGATGAGGGCCCAGTTCAGCCTTGCCATGGGAATGGTGAAAATCAAGAACCAGCACAGAAGCGAGACGATGAGCATGAGCGGCGCGATGAGGGTAATCAGTGCGGCCCAGAAGACGGCCTTGCCCAACCAGTACTCCGCCTTGTTGTCTCCAACTGATACACCGAGAGAATATGAGGACGACATTTGGGTAGCACCATACGACTTTGCGACACCAGCACGGTTGGAAACGCGTGACTGTCCATTGACTGCTGCGAGAAGAGACGTCGTAGCAGTGGGCTGGGCTACCCAAGAGTCCGAGCTTGCTTCCTGCGGGATTGCCATACGCGATCGAGGAGTGATGGTGTTGTGAACGGAACCTGGTTCCGTCGAGCTGCCCGCCTGGTATTCTTCTGGGAAGTACTCTGAATGCGCGGATTCGGGGACGCATTGCTCTTCGTCCTCTGGAAGGAGTTCGACGTCGCCTTCGACGTACTTGCCGAAAGGCCATACGATGTACCATCCGAGGCCGAACAAGAGGGTCGCGTAGTTGCGGCCACCTTTGGGGAGTACATACAAGAAGGCAGAGAGGGCGAAGCAAGTCACCGCGAGCCACCATCCAAACGCGACGAGCCAGAAGATATTGCCGGGGAGGAGATGACGCTCTGCTTGCGCGCTGGGGACGGAGTGTAGAGCTTGGTCGGCGTACTTGGTCACGGATCTCTGTTTCTTGTACAGAGCGGGTTTCCAGATGGGAAGACCGAAGGGGTGCTCGACGTTGATGAGAGACTGGCGGTCCTTGAGGGTAATGGGGTCGAGGTCTTCATCGTCTTCATCGTTCATCGTCTGCCTGCCCGTCCTGCTGTTGCGGGGTGTCGTTCCCCGAAGAGTCGCCGCGGTCCTCGCCTTCGCCATACTGCTCTTCGTCTTCCTCACCAAGTGCGCTGCGCTCCTCGTAGGGCCGGCCTCCGGTAGCATGCGAGCTGGTGATGCTTGTGCTCCGGGCACCGCGACGGCGGGTCGAGCTGACGGATGCGGTCCTGGGCTGGCTGCTGGAGTGGATACGACGCTGACTGGGGGAAGATGCGCGTTGGGTGAAGTAGGACGTTCCCTGAAGATGGTGGGAAGGGGTGTCGGGGACCGTCCACTGAGAACTGTGGCTCATGCTCCGATACAACGGCCCGCGAGAGCCAGTTGTCGAAGCGGTACCCGGCGTAATTCGCGCACCATCGTCCTGCTCGAGGTCTGGTTGGTGGAGACCGCTCGACATGGAGAGACAAGAGGGGCGATGACGGACAGAGCCTGAAGGGCGAGGGGAGTGTCCAGTTGTGTCTGAGGAACGAGCGAGGGCCGCAACCGGCAACGACTGTAAGGAGTTTGGTCGTGTTTGCGGTCTGCGTAAACGCTGGTGGGTATCAGAAGTCTGCTCGCATTTCTCGCTTCTTCCCTCCATCCTCACTCACCTCCGCTGAGCTGCTGGTAAGTTGTAACGTTGCTGCAGAAATAGCACCGTGCACAAGAGGAAGACAGCCCTGCTTGTTTCGCTGAGGCAGCTTGTGGGCAGGCGTTTCCGGAGGCCACGGCCCTGACTCGGAGGTCGCCAAATGTGGCGGATGACGTAGTCCCATCCCCGCGGCCCGCTATGAGCCGCTCTCTGGTCATCTTTCGTCTCATCGTGAACGCATGATTGAGAAGGATCCAAACATGGGCTGGACGATGGCAGGGCAAAGATAGAGACTACCACTAGAGGCGGATCTTCAGTCTTCCTCCTCATCGTCGAACCACCGCTCCTCTGCGTCACGATCCGAATCTCCGTCCCACCGCTCATCCCAATCCACAAGATCGTAGTCGATGGACTATCGTAAGTGTCGGTTTGTGTTCTAGTGACTGGTGGGTACATCCAGCGCACCTCCAAGTGTCCATATATGAACCGTTCCCTGATAACTCGGAGGAACATCATCTCCCTCTCCACCAATGGAATCTCCGGAGGAGGGGGGGCATCCTCGTCGCCATCCTCGTCGCTATCCTCGTCTTCTTCAGGGAGTGATTCGATGTACTCCGCGCGTTCCCGCCGAGCTGTCCGAACGCGCACGAACTCCCGCTCTTCCTCGAAGTCTCCGAGTAGCGCACCTAATCGTCCAACATGCTGTTTGGTGTCGCCTCCCAGGAACTTCTTCTCCGCCCACTCTCTCTCCTCCTGGTTTTGCTCTACACCGGGTCTCTCATAACCTTCCCATAGCGCAGGCCATGTGGACTTCGCATTCACGAGGGAGAGTTCTGATGGCCGAGTATCAGCATACTTGAGCCGGCGATTGCGTATGGCGGGTACTGTGGTCCGCTCTCTCGGGGAAGTGGAGGTCGAGAAGAGCTTGAGGAGATGTGTGGGGAGCTCGCGAAAATGCTTCTTGAGGAAGTCGAGTGGTTCCGCGGACGGGTTCGGCTCGTATGTCAGGGGAAGGGCCAAGTAAGAGAGGATGGATGATGCGGCAGTGTCTGTCAGTAGGACGGACATGTTGGTCGACGTGAGAGTAAGACGCAGACTTCGTCAACCTTCGTCTCGCCGCAAAGCAAGCCTCCACGTGACGAGCGCGACGCCCAGCCCCGGATAGAAAATCCCGCCCTGGTCGCCCTGCTCAGCACACTGCAGACACAGATTGACGCTATCATTCATGCTCTCTCATCAACATGGCATCCACTGAACCCTCCTCCGTGCAACCTCCTCCGGAAGCTTCGCCTGATGCTGCACCCTCCGATCTCGTGCTGCTTGTTTTCATTCATGGGTGCGTAGGGCGCTCAAGCATCCGTACGGCCTGTTGACGGTGATCTACGTCCCTCCAGGTTCAAGGGCGACGATTCGACCTTTCGAGATTTTCCCCAACGTCTGCAGCACATTGTGTCTGAAAGCCTTGACCATACGTTGGTAGAAAGCATCGTCTTCCCTGCGTATGAGGTACGGGCGCGATTGCTGATGGCACTATCTGTCAATTAACCCCTCATCTCGCTGCTTCAGACCAAAGGCGAACTTGTAGGCTACAGCAGGACTGGGTTCTCCGTACTTCTCTGACACCCCGCATAGAACGCAGCAGTCGTACTCTTCGCGGACTGGCTCACCGAGGCCACCGTTCGGCGCGAGGTCGCAAATGGTGGGGCAGGGAAGGCAAAGATCGTGTTGTGCGGACACAGGTGCGCGCCCCAAAGCTTGTTTAACAGCGTCCCCTGAACCTCTTGGCTTGCATGCAGCATGGGCGGTCTCCTTGCCGCCGACGCTCTCATCGAGTTCGTCCAAACTCTGCCCGACAAATACGCCCCACTCTGGCCCAACATCGTCGCGTGCCTAGCGTATGACACTCCGGTGCGTCGCACCCGCACCCGCCCTGTCCCCCACCGATGATAACTCGGCCTCGCTCCGCAGTACCTCGGTCTCCACCCACACATCTTCAAGAACCAGGCGAACCAAGCCGTGCAGTACGTCTCCACTGCGAGCAGCATGCTCAGCAGCCTCAAGTCGTGGGGCGGCTTCGCCGCCGAGCCGAGCTCCCCGCCCCCGCCCCCCGTTCCTCCGAAGGGTGCGATCGCCCCCGCCCCTCCCGCGGCCGACGCCGCATCCACCACTGGCGCGACGTCCCTCTGGCAGAAGTGGGCCGCGCCCGCGGCGTACGCAGCCGGCGCCGCGATCCTCGCCGGCGCCGCCGCGGGCGCCGTCTACTCCAAGCCCGACGTCGTCAGCGGCAGCTACACCTGGGTGTCGGACCACATGAAGTACGTCGGGAACCTCTGGAGCCGTGAGGAGCTCGAGGCGCGTCTCCTGAAGCTCTTCGCGATCCAGACCGAGCACGGCGTGCTCTTCCACACGTAAGTGCGCCGTGTGCACCTCCCTCCCTTTGGCCCGCTGACCCCGGTGCGGTCTCGCCGACGGCACAGGTTCTTCACCCTGCTCCCGCCGCGCCCCCCAAACTCCCCCGAGGCGCGGACGTTCACGCTCCTGCCGCCACCGCGGTCCGTCGCGGCGTCATACTTCGCGCCGAACACGAACACGCTCGCGGAAGACGAGATCCAGGCGCACACGGGCATGTTCGGCACGCAGACGAACGACGGCTACTACGAACTCGGCCTGTCCAGCGCAAAGCTCATCCGGGAGGCCGTCAGGCACCACCGGTCGAGAGAGGCGCAGTCCAAGGACCTCCCAGTGCCGCCGGTGCCTGCGAAGCAGGACGCCGCGCAGGAGGTCACAACCGCGATGCACTCTTCTGCGATTGCGCGACAGGTGGAGGCCGCCGCGGCGCCGAGCGCTGGGAGCGCGGTGCCGGTGGCCGCTGCTGCCGCTATTGCTGGAGTCGGCATCGCTGGAGTGACCACTGCGGCTGAAGCAAAGGGCGATAAGGAGGATTCCAGCGAGGAAGAAGAAGAGGAGGAGGCGGCGCCTCAAAGTGCAGTCAATACGGAGGCTGCAACTACGACTCTTGCCGTAACTCCTGCCGCGCCGTCAGCGGAAGTGAAAATCGAAGATGAGGACGAGGAAAGTTCTGAAGAGGACGAAGGAGACGATGACGATGACGATGAAGACGATGACGAAGAGGAAGAGGAAGAGGACGATGATGACGACGACGACGACGAAGACGAAGACGAAGAGGAGGAGGAAGAGGAAGAGGGAACGCAGGCGACTCCCTCGGCCGCTAAAGGCAGTACTTGACATGGGGCTTTGTGGGACGGACATCGGGTTTGGCCTTGCGCCTCACAGGAACAATGTATCACTACGTGTTGTACACGGCACATACACTGTGCTAACATGGTAACCAACTAGCTTCACCTCAAATGCTTCAGCGACATCCGCATCGCATATGCATCTTCGCTATCGGCGTCTGAAAATGCATCAGCCGGGTGAACGATCCACGGTATCTTGCGGTTAAAAGGAGTGGTGCGAGGGAAAGACGTACAGTAGCCCTTTTCTATGTCCTTCACGGTGAAGCCCAGTGTATCGCGGTAGAGGGATAGTGCGGCGCGATTTGACTTGCGAACATGCAGGGACACATATGCAGCTTTGTATACTCTCGCCATAGCCTCCTCTACGGTGCGCAATTTAAGATAGCGGCACTGCGAAATCGATATAGGACGTACGAGACTGGATCATGAGACGTTTTGCAAGCCCCAGTCGACGATACGAGCGCAGGACCGATATCGAGGTAACATGCCCATGCGTCTCGTCGCCTTCTGCAACATCTTCCTCCCTGTGGGTGCTTGAGGATATCTTTTGGGGAAAGACCGGGGCTGGTGCACTCACATCTTCGCCAAGATGTACCCAACGACCTTGCCCTCATCCTCCGCGACGTACGACAGCTGCGGCCATGTCAAGGCATGATAGAGGTCTGTAAGGGAAAGGGGGAAACGCATTGTCGGCTTCTTCGTCTACTGCTATCCGGTTGGTCTCACAATATTTCAAGGTGTAGTTTTCCGGGAGGTTGTGCAGATTGCAGGCCTGCATGCCTGTGAGGTCTTCTACCTGGCTTCTCTCAATCAGCTGATACTCGGGGCGCATTTGCATCGACGCACCCGAGCGGGCCTTATATTGACCATCGTAAAAAGATGAAGCAGGATGAGAAGTGAAGACACAGTCACTCTAGCTTTATTATTATTATTATTATGATCTGCTTATCCAGTATCTCACATAGGCGTACGTAAGTACCGTATCGGACGTAAGTACTGCTAAGCTCTATCCCGCTTCGTTGACGCGAGCGCACGGACCCTGCGTAGCAGTTGGGCGAGTCACAGTCACTCTAGCCACGATTCGCTTCAGGCCGTACTTTTCGGACTGCCGCGTGCACCCGATGGCGTCTAATCACACCGCCCTGCCGCCGGGTTCAAGGAGGCATGTTATGCACACAGCAGACGAGACATCTACATGAGACTACATGATGATACAATAGAGCGCACACAAGAATACGCGTGTGACACCGACTACAGACAGAAATTAGGAATCCATTACACAACCTGCAATTCGACGGGGAAATATAGATGGGTAGTTATACATAAGCATGCGCTCATGTGGTGAGAGAGATGGGATGACAAAAGGGGATGGGGACAATTTGAGATACATAGAGGCATCAATGCCCGTGAGTGTCCATATCGCGGCCACCAGTCATGCCAGCGGCCCCAGGTCCGTCTGCGCTGCCGCCAGGAGGACGCCCCGTGAAGAAGGTTTCGGCGGCAGCAAAAGTGCTTCTAATCGTCCTCTTGACACTCCGCCCCCTTCCGTCCAGGTCTAGGGCTGCATTCGGACCCCCCAGCGCCGACTGGACCGACTCCTGCAGCTCGCGCGTTGTTGGCGACGGAGGCGACACATCATGCATCATGTCGAATGAGGTGGTGCCGTCGACCTGGCCAGTTCCTCGCAGGTATGAGTTGGACGCGTCGTGGAGGACCGGATGATCTTGCATGCGGAAAGGACGCGTACTTGAGCTGAAAACTTCCGTTGTTGTCACAATGCTGGAGGGAGATCCAGGATTGGTCGCGTGACGCGAAGCGGAAATCATGGATGGGAAAGTAGGCTCAACAGCAGGCTCGCGCCTGTTGTAATTCTGGACCAGGATGGTGCTGGGACCGGGGCCGGCGCCGCGACCATGACCTATCTCAGCATAGACAAGATCAGGGGTCATGACGCCATTCCTCGCTGATGATGGGGCGTCCGCGTAGGACCGAAAAAACGTCGTGCCGTTCGAGTGGGTTGTCCCTGCACTCCGGTTGGACGCCGCTTCACTGGGAGTAGGGGACGTCGACTGCTCCACGAGAGGCTGTTGGCCAAAACCTCGTCGTGGACGCGCAGCAGTACCATCGGTGCCGAGCCATGATGGTCTGGAGCCGGGATAAGCGCGGGGTTGAGCGCGAGGTGTTGGATTCCTCCTGGGCTCTCGAGTCATCGCAAGTTCTGCCGTCACGGGGATGAAGGGCCGGGGAGTTGCCTGAGCGATGGGAATTCGCTCGGGCATCCGGGGGGTTGCATGGGTACTTTGCGGAAAGACCTCTCCCGACCCAGAGTCTTCATCATCTTCGTCTTCCTCGATGACCTCTGTCTCCGGCTCCCTGTGCGCCCGGCGAGGAACAGACTCGTCATAATCCTCGTAGTCGGTGTCGTTGGACGTAGCCATCTCATTCGTGATGGACATGAACAGCTCGCCCAGAAAGTCCCTGAGTTCAACCACTCCCCTGCCTGAGTAGACGCAAAATGCCGCCCGTTGGGTGGAGTTGAAATCCTGCACAACAATGTAAACCTCGACACACAAACCTATTGCCTGGACACATACCGCAGGAGGGGCACGACAAAACTGCTGCAACTCTGGTCGACGGAAAGATGTGATCCCAGTGAGACTCAGATGCGTGAGCTTCGGGAGCCTTTGAAGAAGGAAGTGAATGGCCATGACGGAAATCTGGTCGCAGTATGACAGGTGAATACGCTCTAGATTCGTGTGTCTTTCTCCTAGCGCTTGGATGGCCTGGTCTGTCAAGTTGTTGACGCGTACGAGACCGATGCGGCGGAGTTTCGAAAGAGTTGAGAGCTCGAAGACTGACATATCCGTCAAGTGAACGCAGTCTAAAACGAGCAGAGGCCAAGTTAATAGCGGTCGGGTCGAAGACTGGGGTCCACTCACTTGCCAAGTCAATGTACCGCAGCCGTGTGCACGACCGTACAAGACTGTTGATCGAACGGTCCGTGATCGCTTGTGCGTGCCCGAGATGAAGGTAATGCAGCCCTTTGCCCAATTTGCATATAGTCTCAACAGCGGTGTCGGTGAGTTGTGAGCACTTCGCGAGGACCAAATTACGGATCTTGGGGGCCGCGGCGACGATGCCTTCGATGGCATCGTCTGTGATATGACTACACGCCGCGAGATCGAGCAGGCGAAGTTGATCAAAGGGTTGAGAGACGCGAAGGGGAGGGAGTTCGTTAGAAGGAAGGAACGGTGCCGCGAAAGGGTTTGAGCTCGGAGGGAGAATGTCGCGTTTTGGGGGGGACGGGAATGCCGCATCCGTCAGCTCGACGCAGTGGGCCAGCCGCATCTCTCGCATTTGTACCGAATAGGTCCACAAGTCGCGAACCGAGATGTCCGTGATGTTTTTGCAATTGCTGAGATCGATTTCGAGGAGGACGGGGCAATGATGGGCAAGTGTTGAAATTGACTCATCTGTGACCTGGTCTACGCCTCCGAGCTTGACGCGACGAAGTAAAGGGCAGCTCCTTGCGAGCGCGAGGACGGAGATGTCCGTCAGTTTCTTGCATCCGGTGAGGTTGATGCCTTGCAACCGCTTGGCGGTACTTGCGAGTGCGACCAGTGATTGGTCCGAAACCTCCGTTACGCCTGTAAGGTCGACTGCGACGAGATTGGGGCACTTGGGGAAGACGCGACCAAAACTTTCGTCAGAAAGAGACGTGCAGTTGATGAGGGTGAGGCGTTCCAGCCGGATGCAGTTGGCCACTCGGGAGAAGAGCGAGTCGGAGAGGTCCGTTCCGATGCAGAGGAAGTTGAGGCGACGAATGAAATGTGCATATATGAAGGTTTGGTCCTCTCTGGCTATTACGCGCATCATCTTGAGAAGGGACTTGACAGCCGAGATGCTGGGCCGATACCACAGGAGCTCGACCGAGCACTCGCACCATGTGCGTGAGACAAGGAGAGCATGTAGAAGGTCGCGCGAGGAGTGGAGATGCTTGAGAATGTGGATGAGAATTTCTGGGGGCAGCCGGGAGGCTTGCGACAGTGGGGTGGTCCTGGGGAGGGAACCACGGCGGGAGGTCCACTGTGCGGGGACTAGGACGGTGGCTGACGATTGGGCGTCGTTGTCGCGAAAGAAAGCGGACTTGACGGGAAAGTCGTCATCGTCGTTATCGGAGAGGGATGTGTTGGACTGGGCGGGGGAATGGCAGGAGTACATGATGGTGGCTCTAGCATGAGCGTTGTTCTGTGAGAGGCTTGGTTGGGTCGCAAGCAGCGCACGTGGTCCATGACATAAGCAGAAAACGCCGGCTCTGGCAGTCTTCGGTATATATCCCTCAACCTTTGAGATCTGAGTCTATCTATGCAAACTCTCTGCGACGATGCCCTGCTAGCAGAGTCCGGCCTGCCATCCGCCAACATCATCGTCACCCCATCCTCGTCTCCTGATGGATCGCCACTTTCCTCTCCAAAGTCTCTCTCTTTGCTATCCCTCAAGTCGACCCACGCCTTGGCAGATGAGATATCATTTATCCCATTCGACTCCCAACTAAGTCCCCTGCCTACACCCAGCATGAGCACACCCACGTCTTCCTTCAACGAGCGTGTGGCTGCCGCCGAACTGCCATATTCTGGGCCCGCCTTATACAACGCTCGTAGAGCCCTCTGGTTATCGTCACTTCCAAATCTCCCGTCTCGCAACCAAGACAACCCTTCCCGGAAAAAGCTTGAGGCTTTACTCGACGAGCCAGGTGCTACAGAAGACGATGCAGTATGGGATGCTGGTGTGGATAGGGTGTGGCGGGGTTTGGTGGGAGGTTCTAGACTGAAGCATCGGCTCCCTCTTGTCCTGGTCGTAAGTCGTTCATTGCACCCAGTAGCGAACTTTTGACGGTAACCGTGCAGCTTCCATTGCAGCTCAAAATTCTACAAGCAGGCTGGATACGTGAGGGCACATGGCCGAGAGGAGCGGTACCCCCAGACTCCGACGAAGGCGTTGGCCTTCAAGATGAACCTGCACATCAGTCCGTCCCGCCAGTCATCTCCGGGATGTCCGGGGCGACTACACCGGGGTCTGCGGCAGACCGCAGTTGTACTGTCGAGGAAACTGGATTTTAGATATATCTGTGGTTTTGGCGGCCAACGAACTGAACTATGCGTTGGACATGACAATCACTGTTGGCGAAAGGTCGCGAGAGCCACGAATTGAGCTGGTTACGGTCGCGACGGTGGGGAGACCTGCGCCAACACAATGTCGGGTTTTATCGGTGTGCAATAGGACTGAAGTATCTTACCAATATGACCCCGTCCCCTCGAACAAATAACATTTCCATCTTGCGTTTTGCGATCTTAAAAGGCGGCGTTCACCCATGAATAGAACATAACAGACAACAGAACTTACGTTCACAGTATTTTGGCCTTCGGAGGCCCCGTCGACCTGGTCCACAATCATAATCGTCTCCTCTACGTCGCTCAAGATCAGGTTCATATGTCCGTCGTATGCCTAATGGAAAGCGGTCCATCAGCGTACGTATGAACGGTGATCGCATTGTACCAACATGTAGTACACCAGATAGTTCGCGATCTCCCCTCAATTTTACAAAAACCCGTTCACTCAAAGATAGACGGATCAGGTCGAATGGTTCTTGTATGCCGTTAGAGGAGGAATCCATGTGGGTGAGGAACGAACGGAAGAACAAAGCTGAAGTCAGCGCTAATCTCGGCGGACGCGATCGCGGTCCAGGGCGCACGTGATAGTTTTGAAGCTCCGATAGAACCTTTCAGGCGCTGAGCTCTAAGGCAGAGGAAGGACGACTTCTGCCCGCTGCCACTACAGTGTTCTGCCACCATGCCCGTATGTCCCCTCGTATTTCTCAAGGAATATTCGCTTATCAGCTGCTCAGAAACACTATTGTGACTATTGCGATGTCTTTCTAACCCACGACTCTGCTTCAGGTCAGTTGGAATTTTGCCCAGGGTCCGCACGGTTCTGATTCCCCTCCACGACAGTGCGCAAAGCACACAACAACGGGCGCAACCATCTCGCCAACGTCAGGGACTATTATGCGTGTATGTGGTTTGCATGTACTATGACCTCCACTTACTGACCTTCTACGCAGCCCTTGGTCATGACAAGGCTCAGAGTATCATTGACCAAATCACAGCAGCGTACGAGAGCGGCAACCCTCCACCTGGTGGGTTCGGCTTTGGTCCTCAACATTTGGCTCCTGCTGGCCCTCCGTTTGGGGGTCCGCCTATGGGATACGGTGCGCCTCCGTTTGGTGGCCCTCCCCCTTTCGGTACGTCCTACATCACCGCCAGTTATCCTCAGTACCGACGCGTCGCAGGCCGTCCTGGTATGCCGCCAGGTGGTATGCCGCCTCCGGGTATGATGGGTCCTCCAGGTGCGCCTCCTTTCCCTCCGAACATGCCCCCTGGAATGGGACCTCCAGGCATGGGCCCTGGTGCCTTCCCTCCCAGTACGTCGCGTCCATGCGTTTACTCTCCTGCATCCGATGACGTCTATCCCCACAAGATCTGCCGCCTTTCCCTCCCAATGTTCAGGGTGGGCCAAACAGCGGGCCGCCTGGTATGGCCCGTCCTCCCTTTCCTCCCGGTCCTCCGGGCGGACCGAACGGACCGCCTCCAGGTAATTTCGGTGGCCCTCCGAACGGCGGTCCACCGAATGGGTTCAACCCAAACCAAGGCCCCCCTTCTCACCCCAACGGTGACACTCCCGCTCCTGGCATTCATCCGGACAGGCTGAGGATGATGGGCAGGTAAAGCCAGTTTGTGGGGCGTTCGCTATGTCCTTGGTCATTCCCGTTTGCGAGATGTATATAAACTGGATACGCAGTTCCATTATGCACAAGTCATGTTCTCTCTGCTATTGTGAATCATTTGTTCTAGTCCCTCTCGCATAACGCTTGCAAAAACACTGAATTTCGGCCCACGCGTGTCGGGCGCCTACAGTGCTATCTGGAGATAAAATGCTTCAAAAGCGCCGAATTTAATGGGGAAATGCCGCCAGCAGACGCGAACACTCGGACTGGTCTTTGAGCTGACTCGACGCCCCTGCCCTAATCTCGCCCATCGCTCCTCCTGGATCATGTATGCATTCCCTCAAATCTCTTTTGCGTAGGAACACGCCCCGTTCATGTCCTCTGCTCGCGAGCAAACATCGTACCGTCATGGCTCTCACCACGCAGATCCTCAAATGCGACCCATCGTCAGTCACCTTCCCATCCAACACTCCTGAGATCACATCGGTGGCCACCCTCAAGGCGCTGCAAAGGGCGTCCGAAGATCTGTGCGCACGTCAACCAGTCGCATTTCCCACCGAGACTGTCTACGGGCTTGGGGCCCTCGCCTTGGAGCCTATCGCCGCTGCCCGTATTTTCACGACGAAGGGACGGCCAGCCGATAACCCTCTCATCGTGCACGTCTCCTCTCGCGAGATGCTGCTCCGGATCTTGCCCCCAGGGTACGCCATTCCGCCCATCTACGAGGCTTTGATGAAGCATTTCTGGCCAGGACCCCTCACCTTGCTCTTCCCTACCAACTCCTCCATCGTCCCTCCCATCATTACCGCCGGTCAGCCCACTGTGGCAGTCAGGATGCCCTCTCATCCGATTGCCCGGGCGCTGATCGCACTCACCGACGCACCCATCGCCGCTCCAAGCGCAAATTCGTCGGGAAAGCCCAGTCCTACTCGCGCTGAACATGTATTCCACGACCTCTCGGGGAAGCTAGGCATTATCCTCGATGGTGGTCCTTGCGGGGTCGGCTTGGAGAGCACCGTCGTGGATGGATTACAGCCGGATGGCCATCTCCGGGTGCTGCGGCCCGGAGGCGTCACTGTCGAAGACCTCGAGCGTATCCTCCGCGAAACTCTAGGCCTCCTTGCACCCCCTCCGCAAGTGTTGGTACACCGTCGGGACTATCGCGATGAAGTTCTCGAACATGCGCCCACGACCCCGGGGATGAAGTATCGGCATTACTCGCCAAGCGTACCCGTGACTTTACTGCACACCCTCTCCTCCCCCCCTCTCGGTGCGCAGCGTACACCAGTGGACACCTTCCTCGCCGCCCTTGAGTCAGACGCGCGTTCCGTTGGCCGGCCTCTCCACATCGGTGTTATGGCGCCCTCAGACTCTCTTCTCCTCCAGAGGATTTCAAGCGTGACCGCGCCGGAGATCCGATGGAACGTGTATCCCCTCGGTCCGACATCCAACCCGGCCATCTCCGCCCAACGCTTGTTCGACGGACTTTTATCATTAGACGGTGCTAGAGTTGACCTCATTCTCGTCGAAGAGGTAGAGGAGGAGAGAGAGGGTTTGGCCGTTATGAATCGCGTAAAGAAGGCTGCCGGCGATTCCGTATGGTTAGACGTTGGAATGTAATTCTGCTCAATGGTACAGTGCGCTCTCTCAAACAAGTACGAATGCTGCGATTTGACATCGTTTAATATCCGGCTATAGAATTCTTCCATGTGGCAATCATGTGGCACCAGGAGGTGCCAGTTGCAGGAGGCGTAGTGGCAAAAGTATGGCATCAGGGTGAGTTTATCGAGGCGTTCGAAGAAAGCAACGGTGTTCGTGACCATGAACACGCCAGAGCACCGAAATTGTGAAGCGACTCTGATGGTGGGATGGCATTCATCACCTCATTGCGACCTCGAGGCTAGCCACATGTACTGAGTGGCTCAGCCAGCCGTGCAAGGAAGACACCCGCTTGTCCCAGTACACCTGGCATCTCCATGCACGGCGCACTCGAAATTCAGACGATACTCCTCGACGCCTGCTGTCGCCCAGACAACTAACGAATCCTCTTTCCAGTTTCTCTTTGGGGCCCTTTGGGGCACGGGACCCAAATCACCCACTACGCAACGTGGCCACAAAGCGAAGAATCTGAAGATGGAGGCACGAGAGCCAATGCATCGTGGCTAGCAGAGAAGTTCTCGTTCGAAACATTGACGACTTTGCATTATGGAGATTGGTCTCAAGCGGATGGTACCAACACCAGCTGCACGCGGCAACGATGTGTAGGCGTGCCCGGAACGCCACGCGACTCCGCGCGCCGTCTAAACCTTTCAGGTACGGTAGCGTCGGTCTTGAGGCCTTTCACTGCGATGTGACGCGCCGAAGGGCTGCGGGCTGCAACTTGATTTCATCGAGGGCGACGAATGCGCTCGCCGTCCATTGACCCCCGCCCGCTGGCGCTGACGTCCTCGCCTCCGAGTTATATAGACCTCTGTCCGCCGTATGTCGGGACGCCAGATTCTCTTCTTCTTCCGCTTCCGCGCATTCCCTTCCCCTTTCAGCCCCCGTCCGTTGTTGACGCCCTGGTCCCTTGCCATGTCCTCTGAGCCTAGCCGTGAGTTTCGTTTGCAACGTGGCTAGCCATAGCGGCTAATGCTCCTACTCCAGGTCAGCACACCCCTTCACCGTTCCCCGCGCCATCAGGATGCGCGGCTGCGCTTGCGCTACCCCCCGATGATGATTGGGTCGTGACGGGAACCCGTCGATGGGTGACTTCTCGTGCCCCTTCTCCCGCACGGCTCCCGACCCCGGTCCCGACCCCGCCCATCACCTTCCAGCTATTCCAACAGTTCCAACAATGGCAAGCTATGAGCATGCAGCAATCCGCTGCTACAGCCGGCGCACTTCATCCCCTTCCCGACTCGTCCTCACGCCCCAGTACACCCTTGGAAGGTCCGAAACGCAAGATCCCCCGCCCTCCCAACGCTTTCATGCTCTACCGCTCTCACCTCCTGAAGACTGGCAAGATCCCGAAGGAGTTCGAGCATCGCCAGCAGAACATCAGCCGAGTCGCCGGTGAGTGCTGGAACATGCTCAGCATGGACGAGAAGGCGGTGTGGCACGCCGAGGCACGCAACGCGCTCGAGCTGCACAAGCTCCGTCACCCCGACTACAAGTTCGCTCCCGAGCGCAAGTCCTCGCGCCGCAAGATCGCGCCGCACCCGGACGCGCCTGAGCCGAACTCCGAGGAGTACATTCGCTACATCCGCGAGCACTTCGTTGGCATCAATGGGCCTGCGCGCACCCCCCCTCGTCCGCGCAAGCCTAGGTCCCGTCGCGGCGCCGAGGCACGTTCTCAGACGCCTATATCCCTCCCGCCCTCGCTGCACCCGTCCCCCACTGCTACTCCAACTCAGGAGCGCACCGCATCCGCACCGCCCTCTTTCCCGGCGGGGCCGTCACGGCGAGGTACTCCCATGCCTCAGCACCTCCCTCCCGTCTCTGTCTACGACGTTCCGCACGAGCTCGCGATGCTCAGCATGCCGCCCCCACCTCCGGGCTACTTCCACCATTCCTACTTCACGCCGTACCCGCTCGACATCCCAGCGACCCCACTCGGCGACGGCGCGGTACGCCAATGTTCTTTGTCCTTCCCGCGTGTCGCATACTGACGCTCGCCCTCACCCTAGACCCCAAGGTCTCCCGCCTTCGGTCTGATGTCGCCCCACAAGTACGCGTATTCTCCCCTGCTATCGATGCCGGGACCTCCCGGGGATGGACACGAGCTGGAGCTCGGCCTCGGCGTGCACCTGAGCCCCCTCGCTGGGCCGGCCCCACGTGGGGCGAGCTGCGCCCCGAGCGAGGAGCCGGACTCGTCGCCGCCGCCGCCGTCGATCTCTGCGAACGAGTGGGAGAGCATCTTCGGGAGCGACCTGCCGGGGTGTGTGTCGAGCATGCTGGAGATGCGGGGGCCGGACCCCTCGCTCACCTACGACCACACGGTCGAGTACGACCAGGAGACGATCTTCCCGCCGACGGATTGAGCTCCCCGCCGCTTCCGCTGCTGTGCAGCGCGGCGCTGAGCCTCCGGGGCGGCTGTAACAGCTCGCGCTTCCTTCTTTCTTCCTCTCTGTGCCGTTTTGTATTCACTGTCCTGGTACCGTGTTGTCCCATGATCTCCGTTATGTGTTTGTTGTATGTTTTCTGTTCTTTGTCCACTTGATACCCGCCATACGCCACGCGCTCCCTTGTACATACATACGCCGTATGACGCTGGAAATTGTATCCATAGCTCTGCTCTAACCAATCTGCTCTTTGCCCGAAGTGACCTACAAAGTTGCAACAAGTCCTATCAGCGAAACCGCCAGTGATTTTGATTGGTGGTGGTACGACGCGCACATAACTACTGATAATACTGCTACGGGCGCGTGCCATTCACTGCAGCAGCTTCACACGCGACGCCCGAGAAGTTGTTTCTAGCGATGAATGAGTATTGAGTACTGGAGTCGTACAGACGGCCCGGTGCGGCTCGTGCCAGTGGTCCCGGCGTCTGCAGTTCGTCTAGCGCGGTTCGGAACTTGTACTTCGACTCTCATGATGGTCCATCTCATCTGACACACTGCATGGATCAATCGATCATCTCGCTGTCTACAAAATGTATGGTCGCGCTGCACAGACTACTGACAGTCGATGTTACCAACGTGTACTGATGCTGTCACCCAACAAACCTAGGTGACACCGCCCCGCCCTGGGAATCTTGTTGCTCTGACGAGTCACTCACTCGAAGAAATACATTGCCGACACCTTCGTTGATGCTTCCCATCCCCCAGTACTGAGCACAGGTACCACGCAGGTAAGGATGCGCCTGTCCAAGCCTCACGCGCATCCCCAGACAGACGGCGCTCTACATGCCGTGGCCACCACGTTGGCAATCGCCAAAGAAGCCTCCGACGCAGTGGGCGTCGTCCCGGGCCTGAGTGCGTCTCTGGCTGTTGTCCTCGGGATCGTCGAGGCGATCCAGGTGAGTGTGCGTGCGCACTGGAGGACCGCCAGATCGTCACTAACTCCACGGACAAACTCAGCAAGCGGCAGAAGTGGAAGAGCGATTCACTCGGACAGCAGAACGGGCGTCGTCTCTCCTTCGACATGTCCACGCGTCTGTCAATGCTTTCGCGTACACTCCCCGCGAGATGTTGACGAATGTGCAGAACCTTGAACTGTATGAACGAAGATCGCTCCCCCATCGTCAGCCGTGCGCTGATGTGCTCTACAGGAAGCTATCTTCGATACAGCGCGCTGCACAAGACGAGTTACGGCGGGGACGCTTCCGCCGCGTCATCCATAGGGCATCCATTGAAGATGTGGCCAATAAGTGCCTACTTGAGTTGGAAGATGCTTGGCACGCCTTCGATGTGTGTACTTCCAGCCATCTCCTCTTCCATACGATTGGCGCTGACATGAGGCTAATTGCAGACGGCCTGCATGATAGCCACGGTCAATATTCTCAGCTCTCAGGCAACCTATGATACCCAGACGAATGTAAGCTGTCCCTTCGAGTCGTACATGTGCAGTCTGACTTACACTGTGTCTCCCGCAGACCCGTTTGCTGCGGTGGAGTGACATCGATATCGGGCGTGAATCTGGTAGAGGATCCAACGGACGGCAAGAGTGGCAAGGTAGATTGAATGGAAGAGTTGTGGTGATCCGATGTCTTGCTACCCGCCGGGCTTCTGAGAGGCTGGCAAGTAATCATGCCATAGTGAACCTGCGACAGCACACTAACGATCTCCTATAGCTGGATGACGAAATTTTGATGTTATGCAATCCAAACAGGTGCGTGCGACTGCGCATCAAGCTAAGAAGGGTCTCACCACTGTCGATCTGGCAGACACGGGCTGCAGCGTGGTCTCGCGCAAGTATTTGGATTTCTCATCCGTCTATCGAACAAGCTTTCTACGTTCTCGAGTCAGGTGGGTCCCTGATTATATCAATTCTCGCCAAATACTCACAGTTCTGTCATCATAGGTGTTTCCTCTCTGTCATCTTTCTCAGACGCGGATGAAGGCTTGCCTCGAGTTATGAGGTGGCTGCAGCATGTGAGTGTATTGAATCAGGTGATCGCTTGATATTGAGAACCACTTCTACTAGCTTGTGGATTATCATGCAAGCTGCCTTCCACACCCACAAAGCACGCACGCTTATTCATTTCCAGAGCGCTTGGGAGTTCGCAAGACGAATGGGATTTCCCGTTCGCGACGTAAGTACTACTTGATGTGATTATTGGCTGCATCGTTCATATTTTTGCTAGCCCACGAAGGGTCGCCGCATGATCATGCCGTATGCTTGCCCCATTTGACAGTCAATCATTACGGACGCCTTATCATCGATCCGCTGGATTTGCATAACGCGGATGCACGTTGCTTCCGACGCTATTTATCGCAGCTGTACAGCAAAGTTTGCTTTTTTCATTCCATGCTTCGGTCCTCTCCTAATTATTGCCCACGACAGGACAGCGATCCTCGTCAGTGGTGCCCGACAGTACGTAATTCCAATTGTCACCGTTTGATGTCGTTGACATTACAGTGCAGAAGGAGGATGGAACCCGTTACCTGCTGATACTACAATCAACATATATCAGAACACCTTAACGCCGCTCTGGCTACGGGCGTTCTTGCAGCTAAAGACATAGATCAGATTGCACTTTCAGAATTCGGTAATTCTGGGCAGCTCAAATGCTCAACGATGATGCTATGGGTCGATCGGTGAATATGGGGTCATTCGCAAAGGCATTTTTATACCGCTCGGGCACCTCAACGAAATCTCGGCGGCCCCACTCGGAATAAACTGCAGAAGCTCACGACGTTCGGCTAGCGGGCTCGGTCGACGTGGGAGTACTCTCCTGGCCAGAGGACATAGTTTCAGGGAGCCGATACATATACTTCGTTGGTAGTAACTCACTCTTTCGACAGTCATAACTTCAGCACTTGTTTCCAGCCTGGCGATCAACTCTTGCCTTCAACACTCTACGCGTTCAGCGCCTGCTCGATCAAGATGCCCGGAGAGCGTTTTTCTGGGACTTTGCCGCCGCACTAGCGAGTCAACATGGCGTGGCCATGCATGACCTTGTTATCAGTGAGTCCATTCAAACACTACGACTCTTTGCGGATCTGACACGCTCTGTCCCGCACAGTTCACAAAACGATCCATACCGCGACCGTGCAGAACCGGAGCCTATCGGGTATCCCACCGGGCTCCACCTCAATGAACGATCCTGGTACTACAGCGACCCTGCCCCAATGGTAACCTCTTTGAATGGCATAACTACAGTCTGGCAGCTAATCCAACGCAGGCGATCTGTTCTCTTTTCCCAGGTGAGGTCGGCCAACTCCACTTCTATCAGCTGCCACTTGGAGAGTCGAACGAACCTCCTCGTCCGTGGGGCTACTGGTCTTCAATGCAGAATCCTCACCAGCAGGGCGTCTTGCCTTCGAAGTGAGTGCGTAGGGATTATTTGCGCACCCTTCTTGGCTGATCGTCCTTGCGCCCAGGACGCAGGTGGGCTATCTGACTCTGCCACCCTTGGGGTGCGAGATGGTGTTGATGTTGAACGCGGCCCGAGGACGGAGCGTGTTTTCCTGAACGAGTTTCGATTGTGTTCTCAATGAAGATTTATTGCAGTCTCATAAGTGTGTTCGCTTTTCGGCTGGGTTAGCTCTTATTGCTCGGTATGGATACCCGGCCTCCACGCCACACCGCTCTGGCTCCTGAGCGATCGCATGCCCAGTAAGGACGCTCGAATGTTCTCTCTCGTTCACGTTCTCCCGGCACCCACGCCGCCGGTTGAACGGAGTAAAGGTTGCCGGACCAAGCACGCTCTTGCGGGTCTCCCTACGACCGTCGACGTGCGAGGCTCGGATTCTCGTGGTGGATCAGGATGACAAACGCGCTCGCGGATGGCAGAGATATCGTCATCGTCCGTTCTCCCGCCATATATATGTAGTAGGCTACAGGCCCCTCCTCGCTCAGCACCCACCACAGCAGCAGCATGCCGAAGCGTATCCTCTTTGTCTTCACCTCCGCCGATAAGACCCTCACGGGAGCGCAGACGGTGCGTGCGCGCACCCCCGCCCCACCGCCGCGTCTGACCTCTCCGCGCTCCTCGACCAGGGCTGGTACCTGCCCGAGGCCGCGCACCCCTACTACGGTACGCCACACCCCCCGGCCCCGCGCGCCCGCGCTCACCACCCTCTGCGCCCAGTGCTCGCGCCCAAGTACGAGATCGACTTCGCGGCGCCCAAGGGCGCGAACCCGCCCGTGGACGAGGGCAGCGTCCAGATGTTCGCCGCCGACAAGGGCTTCCTCGAGGACCCCGCCGTGCGGCAGAAGCTCGCCGCCGCTCGGCCGCTCGCCGCCGTCTCCGCCGCGGACTACGACGCCGTCTTCTACCCCGGCGGCCACGGGCCCATGCTCGACCTCGCGAGCGACCCGGTGAACGCGCAGCTCGCGTCCGAGGTGCGTCGCGCCGCGTCGCGTCCCCGGCCCGTTTACGCTGATCCCACGTTTCCGCCTTTCGCTCGCCCTGTCCGCCCCTCCGCCCCAGTTCTTCCGCGCGGGCAAGGTGACCGCGGCGGTGTGCCACGGGCCCGGCGCGCTCGTCGGCGCGACGGACGCGTCCGGTGCGCCGATCGTCAAGGGCCGCACCGTGACCGGGTTCACGGACAAGGAGGAGGAGCTCGTGGGCAAGGTCAAGGACGTGCCTTTCCTGCTCGAGAGCCGCCTCGTCGCGCTCGGCGGAAAGTTCGAGAAGGCGGCGGAGCCGTGGCAGGTGCGTCGTGCGCGCGTTTTGGGGATGCGCTATGGCGATGCGAGGCTGATGCGAAACGCGGTCGTACGCGCGCGCGTTCGTTTGCAGCCTGCGGTGCGAGTCGACGGGATTTTGATTACGGGCCAGAACCCGGCGTCGTCGAAGGGCGTCGGGGAGGCGATTGACAAGGCGTTGTCTGCTTGAGATGGCAAAAATACAGAAAAAGTGTACGATATGGTCCTGGGAGATCGATGGCGGTCTTTCAGCAGTGTTTTGCCAGTAGTGTCGAATATATGCAAGGTGCTTCGAGACCAGTGCCGATAGTCTCGCGCCACGATGCGAGCGGGTTGCGATGCGACGATACAGTGTGAGATGCTGCGATATGAAAACAGTATAGAGTACAAATGCTAGACGTAGGAGACAGACATCACCCAACCCTTCTTCAGCGTGAAACCGTCGAGGGCTTCTTTTGCGACCGACGCCAGGTCTGGTGAATCGAACATGACATGTGCCATCTTCGCTTTTTGCCCTGATGCACTTGGTGTTTGTGATAGTACAACGGATACTGAGTGGTACCCTTGATACCTGGGCAAGCCTCAGTTTGCAGTCTGACAACGAACGCGAAAAGTACGCACTGTTGGAACAGGACCGAGAGGACATCTTCGGTGACTTCTTGTGGCAGATTGAGACACATGAGACGTGCCGATGGCTGTTGGGCAGCCGCGGGTATCTGGCCTGCATCGCGAAAGCCCATGAACGACCGGCGCGCGATCCACAGCCGAAACACCACGCACCGCTCGCCGACGCCTTCCCCGCCGCCTGCTCATCATCGTCCTCGATCTCCATCTCCTCGTCGTCCGAGTCGTCGTCCGCCGGGGCCGGCCGCTCGCGCTTGGCTTCGCGCGCGTCCTCCTCCTCCCTGGGCCGCTTGCCGTTCGGCGCGTTCTTGACGTGCACGGACGTCGGGGGCACGAACTCGGGGTCTTCACGGCGGAGGGTGGCGTACGACTTGGACTTTGCGTACTCGATGTGCTGCAGCGAGCGGCGGGGCCCGCGATCAAAGGCGTGCTCCGGGCGGAGGAAGTTGAGACGGGCGCACCATTGGCTTATCGTAGAAGACCATACCTTCGCAGCCGCGCAGGGCGGCGGTGGCGCCTGAAAGGTCGGTGAAGACGACGAAGGCCTGGCCCTTCATCTTGGGGCCCTTGAGGGCGACGACGTCGAGGATGCGGCCGTAGGTGGTGAAGAGGACGAAAAGCTGGGCGCGGAGCTCGTCCTTTTTGACCTTTTCGTTCAGATTGTTCACGTAGAGCGTCGTGTTGGGCTGCGTAGTGGCCATGATGGCAGCGCGCGGAGCGGGGCGGGGAGCGGAGGAGGGAGATGGCGGGCGGCGGTGGGCGCGTTGCGCGTGCAGGAGGCGAGGACGCGTGGGGTGGGGAGACGCCGAGGCAGCGCATCAAGCGGCGAGACGCCGGTGGCACGTTCGCGCTCGCCGCTTTGGGGCGCTCCTCTTCCCGGCCAGCGCAAAAAGCCTGCTTGCTCGAGTACGCTGCCCCAGCCCCCTCGTCCGACGCAGGCCTCTGCAAGCACGACCCGCGCGACCCTGCCCTCGCGCCGTGTCCGGCCCCGACCCCCTCCGCTGCCCGTTGCCCCCCTCCGCTGCTTCTTCCGCCGCAGCCCCGCCCGCTCTTTGCCGCCCATTGCTATAACGCTACAGCACACGTCGCTCGAAATTGACGATTGCCTTCTGAAGATCTCACCCCCGCGCACAACCTTCGTCGGCTCCCTCCACTGCGTATCCCAGCAGCACCCGTGCACACCATGGACGTGCTCGTCGCCGCCCTCAACTTCCCTCCCTCTGCGGTGAACACCGCCCAGGCCCCCTCCTGGCTCCCGCGCCAACTCGTTCCCTTCGTCACCCTCTCCGTCCCCACTGCTCCTCCCGTGAAGCCGGACTCGTTCCCAGACTCCAGCTACTATGGCGCAGGCCTCCTCGACTTCTGCCTCATGATCACATTCATCGCCGTCATGGCCGTCCTCCGCGACGCGACGCGACTTCTCCTCGCGGAACCCTTCGCGAGGTGGAAGCTCACCCGCAACCTCCGCGCCCACAAGCTGGCAAAGCTCGCCGCGGCCAAGACGAATGGGAAGGCGAACGGGACCCCGGAGAAGGCAAACGGGCACGGCGCGCAGAACGGGAACGGGAACGGGTACAATGCATCCTCCCCCGACACGGTCACGCCGGCAGAGCGCAAGAAGCTGAGGCACGCGGTGACGCGGTTCTCGGAGCAGGGCTGGCCGGTCGTTTATTACGCCATCCAGGTCCCATTCGGCATGGTACGTCTGCCATCCTCCTCCCCGTCCTTAAACTCCGTCTCCCACGCGCCCGCGTCAACTCTATCCCATCGTCGCGCGAACCCGTGGCTCATGACGTACCCTCTGTGCCTTGCCTTTTGCAGTACGTGCACGCCAACCTGCCGACCTCGATGCTCAACCCGGTCGATGTGTGGGCCAACTACCCCCACTTCCCGCTCGCCGGCCCCGTCAAGTTCTACTACCTCCTCCAGACCGCGTTCTACATCCACCAGGTCCTCATCCTCAACGCGGAGGCACGCCGCAAGGACCACTGGCAGATGATGAGCCACCATGTCATCACGATCGCGCTCATGGTCGGCAGCTACTTCTACAACTATACCCGCGTCGGCTGTCTTATCATGCTCCTGATGGACATCTGCGATATCTTCCTCCCGGTCAGTCCACCCTGCTGACCGCTAGAGCTTCACCAACTGAACAGGCTTGATGCTCCAGTCCGCGAAGATGCTCAAGTACCTGGGCATGCGCACCCTCTGTGACGTCATGTTCATCACATTCATGGTCTCGTGGTTCATCACTCGACATGTTCTCTTCAATATTGTCATCAAGGTCACCTGGGAGGTGTGGTACATTGTTCCACGCATCTGGGATCCGTCGCGTGGCCACTACCTCACCAAGGAAATCTACCTTGGATTTTTCACGATGCTTTGCACGCTTCAGGTTATCCAGCTGGTCTGGTTTGGGATGATTTGCCGGGTCGCATACCTGGTAGTATCAGGAAAAGGCGCGGAGGACACCCGCAGCGATGACGAAGAGTGAGTCTTCCCCCTTGATCCGCGTATCAAAGCTGACAGTAGACCCAGCGAGGAGGACAGCGACAAGAACAACTAATTTATCCTTCTTCACGTAGATGACACGATAGACTCACCTACGATATGCTAACGCTGCTCGGATTCGCTCCGTCGAGGTCTCTGGGGTGGGACAGACGGAGATGAAAATACTCGCTGATGCCGTGGAATTAGTACTACTGTGCGAGTTTAATCCAGCCTGGATATGACGTCTTATTCCAGTACCTCATTGTGCCGCCCCTATGTCTGATGTTGAGCTGGATGCAGTGTATGCGGCTAGCGTTCGTCCCACTGCAGCCTAGACACGCTACGTGCATGGGTGTGCAGCAATATGCCTGGATGACCAGAATGGGGTCTGAAAACAGATTGGATTCTCTCAACGATAGCAGTCCTGACAACCGTTAGTCATGCACAGCACCTCAGCCCTCAGTACTCAGTACCCTCGCCCGTAGCTGCGCGCCGACGGGACAGACGAGTCAGCGCTGCTGCGAACGTACTCGACTTCCTTATCGGGGGCATCGAGCGGCACGAGCCGGCTCGTGCGCTCCTGGCGCCTTGCCCCGCCTGTGCTCTCTCTCTCTCTGACCAACACCCCGACCTCCTTCGTTCCCCTCCTTCGCCCCTTCTCCTCCCCAACTAGAGATCCCACACGCACACACTGCTTAGCTCCCCGTGGAGACGACAATGATGGCCGGATTCATGAGCTACTTTGGCGGACGGCGCGACCCAAAGCAATCGTCACGCGAAGCGATAGTGACGCTGCGGCAGCAGCTGCAGATGATCGAGAAGAAGGAGGAGTACCTGCTGAAGAAGGTGGAGGAGGAGATGAAGAAGGCGAAGGCGAATGCGGTCACGAACAAGACCGGTGCGCCCCCCTCCCCGCTCGTCCCATGCCCGTCCTAGGCTCACCGCGCCGCTCACTCTCTCTGTCTCCCTCTCACCTGTCCGCCCCCTCGTCTACCCGGAACTGTCCATGGTACTTCTGGGGTAATACCATGCGCCATGCGGCCGCCCGTGTGCCCTGCAGCGGCGACGGCGGCGCTGAAGCGGAAGAAGGTGACGGAGCAGGAGCTCGAGCGACTGCAGAGCGCCCGCTTCCAGCTCGAGATGCAGGTCAACACGCTCGAGTCCGCGAGCTTCAACCAGGAGAACATGGCCGCGATGAAGAAGGCGGCCTCCGCGCTCAAGGACATCCACGGCAAGCTGTGCGTGTGCCCATCCCTCCCCCCTCTCCCTGCCTCCCCCCTCCCACCTCTGGTCTCCCGCTCGCCGGAATGTGCGTGCGCTGACGCTGGCTCGTGCCGGCCCCAGGACGATCGACAAGGTCGACCAGACGATGTCCGAGATCCAGGAGCAGACGCAGCTCGCGAACGAGGTCTCCGAGGCGATCTCGTCGCCGTACGTGGGCAACGAGTTCGACGACGTACGTCCCCCCGCGCCCCGCGCCGTGCGTGTGCCCGTGCTGACCGCCGCGCGGTTCGCGCCGTCTGCGTGCAGGAGGAGATCAAGAACGAGCTCGCGGAGCTGGAGCAGGAGGAGCTCAACGACCGGCTCATGGCGGACACCGTCCCCGTGCACCATCCAGGTCCGAGCAGAGTGGAGAGCAGTGCGTGTCCTCCCCCCATCTCGTTCGCCGTCTCGCCTGCTCACGACCACCCGTGCCGCTCTGCCGTGCCGCCCCTCCGCACACCCTCCTCCAGAACCGGCGGCAGTGGAGGACGACGAGGAAGCGCAGCTCAAGGAGCTGCAAGCTGCACTCGCGATGTGATACCAGGACACCCGCCCGTCCCGTTCCGTTCGCTTTTTCCGTTCCTCTTGCCCCCTGCAGCGGATCCCCGTTTGTCTCAGTCCCCGTCTCTAATCCATTGTGTTAGTATACTACCACCCCCGCCCGCCCGCTTCCACGCCAGGCCTGCCCCCGCCGCGACCCTGTCACACTAGTTGCTCTCCCGTCCCACGTCCACTCTGTACCCCGATATATATCACGCGCCCCACGAACTGCGAATTGACGTAGATGATCTCAGGACCTCCCCGTGCCCGAGGACCGATATCCATGCGAGGCGAGGGGACATCCGGCATGGCGTGACGGCAGACCTCATTCAGAGGTTGGCTGCGCTCCCGGTGCTCGTCGCGCAGACGCATCCCTATGCTCGACGGTGCCTGCCTCGGCTCGACGGACCCGTTTCGTGCGATCGGCCAAGCGCGCGCAGCGCATGCCTGATCGTCGAACACGCGAGGACCGCGGGCCGTCGTGAACCTCCGCTCTCAAGATCTCAAGTCCCGGATGCGGGCGCCGTCACGCCGTCCGTCCACGCGGCAGACAGACCGGGGGCAGGGCGGACGAGGGTGCTCTGTGCGTTGAGACGGGGAGCGAGTATGTACGTACATATGTACAGCGGAGCGGGCCGATTAGCGCGGTGTGCGGGCTGCTGCAGGGACGGGAAGAGTGCGTGGGAGGCGCGGAAGACGGTCACTAACACGACTACTAACGACTACTACGACGGTGCGTCGGAAAACATGGTGGATGCGTGGGCCCGAGAGAGAGAGAGGGAGAGAGAGAGAACGGCAGAAGCGAACGTGGAAGGAGGGCGTGCGGCGGGGTGGTATGCGTGCGGACATGGACGTGTGCGTGCGGCGTTGGAGCGGCGTAAACTACGGGATGGCGGAGGTCGAAGGGGAGTGTCGATGGAGGAAATGGGGAGGGGGGTGATGAAGGGGGTGGGGGCGAAGGATGCAAGAACGATGGTAACTTGAGGGAATAATTAGCAAATGCGACGATAGTTCTTCAACGACTAAGCGATGGGGAGACGAGACGCGACGAGGACATAAGACCCAGAAAGCGGGACGAGACAGCAGGCTCTAGAGAGGCGGAGGCAGCCGCGCGCGTGTCATGAGAAGCCGCGGATCCCAAGTACGCGCCGGACGTCACTCGTGAAGCGAAGCGAGTCAAGCACAGGAAGGAGGTCGAGCAGCGCTTCGTCGTGTGGGTCGTGGGTCCAGCCTTCTATAGGTATGCCGTTCGCTATCCCCGCCGTGGTGTCAGCCCCCGGGGCGCAAGAAGGACGGAGAACACGAACACACCTTCGTTGATCGTGTAACACACCGGCGAGTTGTCCACCAGGCAGACGCATGAGAGGTCCTGCTCGATTATCGACAGATCCTTCGTGTACGACCCGTTGGGCAGCTGCGTGCACGACTGTCGGACGCGTGGCCTGACGTCAGTCCTCGTGCCCGACTACGTGGAGGGGAGTAAAATGACCAGATACGTACCTCGCGGAAGAGGCGCCGGCCCAGGATACCGCGGCCGGCGTCGAGCCAGTCGATGACGGGGTCCGCGTACTCCTGCATCGAGGCCGTGAAGATTACAAGCGTGTACCACTGCGATACCTGCGGAGAAGAAGAGAAGGCGCGGGTGGTCGGTACGAGTTCGCGGGCACGCACGGGTGGCGTTGCACAAGAAGACCGGAAGACGCACCTTGCGCAGGAAATAATCCACAAACGGCCGCTTGTACACATGGTAGAGCGTGCTGCGGCCGCCCAGGACGACTTCAACCGTGTACCCTGCGCCCTTGTTGCGGCCGCCAAAGCCAAAGAGGCCGGAGCCGCCGACGTATGGCATGGGTCGCGACGTGGAGTGGATGAGGGTTTCGTCGAGATCGAGCACCAGGGTCTTTTGCCGGTGGAAAGGTGATTGCTTCGGGGGAGGGGTTGGAGTATCTGCACGAGAACGGGCACCGGGAGGCGTGATTGAGGGCGCGAGGAGAGCCTTCAGGTCTAGAGGCGGCGTTGGTGTGATGCGCCGTTCCTTCTCTAGCTCCGCGCCGGCTTCTAGGGCCTTTACTAATGGCGGGGGTGTCGGCGGGGCTTTACGTGGATCTTGCGAGAGAGGGGAGCGGTTGGCTGGCTGGTATGGTGAATGGGGCGAAGAGTCTAATGATACAGGTGCTGGCGGTCCCTTCTCGTGTTTGCTGCCCTCGTCCTCCTCGGTGTCCTTGTCCTCATCGTCCGAGGCGTCGTCTACAGCCACTTCATCTACCACAACCGGTATGGGGGGCAATGACCTTCCGGGAAGAGAGCGGATGGCGGCGAGCAGGGCATGCCAGAGCTGGAGGACGATACGGACGAAGAAGATGTGGCGGAGCGCGGGCGACGCGTCGCGGCCGCCCTTGAGCCGGATGGCCTTCTCGGTGGAAGCAGCAGACACAGATGGGCGACGCGAGACGGGTCTGGGGTCGTGCGCGTGAGCGGAGCTGCGAGCAGGGATGAGGCCGACGCGAGCAGGCTTGCGGTCGGGTTCACCTGGGCGGGCGACGAGTAGGACCGCTTGAGCCAGGTGTGAGAAGACGACGAGGGCTGGGGGGCGAGGAAGGACTTGGTGGAGCCAGAACGCTTTAGACGAGCGTGAGGGTCTGTCTTGAGCGCGAAGGGGGCGTCCTCGTTCGTCGGGGTGCCGGGTGGCGTCCGTGGGGAGGCGAGGACATCGAACTGACGGGAGAGGTAGGAGAGGGAGTTCATGGGGGTGAGGCCAGCGCCGAGAAGGGCGGCCTCGAGAAGAGCGGTGAAGACGAGGAGGAGAAGGCGGGGAGCAGGGGGCCGGGCCGGGGCCGGGGCCGGAGGAGGAGGGGGAGAGAGATGGCGGGAGGAAGAGTTGAGCAGCCTGGTGCGCCTGAGGGCGACAGTGACCGCCGTCCGTGGCTGAGGCAATAGCGCTCACGTTGCGCGCGCTCGTCCAACCGCGGAGGGCAAGGGCGGCCATGACAGTGCTCGGTCGTACGTTCGCACGTCCTCCCCAGCCCAGCCTTTTGTACTTGGCCCCAGCGAGAGGTGCATGCTCCGTCCCCAGCGTCCGTGGCCTGCCTCTCGCTGCGTCCTCGACCCCGGTCCGCGAGCTAGCATCGATCGCATTCATATGCACGTGCTACGTACGACGCCCCGGACGGCCAACGTGCGCGCCCCGTCCTTCCTTCTCTCACCCCGCAGGCCTCGAACGCAGATAAGCCATCGTCTCCCTCACAAGCCCCCGCTGATGTTATCCCGTCTGCCCCGCCCGCACCCTCGGCCGCAGCGACAGCTGCTTCCTTCACTCCCGCCCGCCCCGTGACGACCCCGGACGCTGAGATCCGTCGCGCCCACCCACCGCTGCCTCAGCTGGGCTTTTGTGCGGCTGAAACGCCTCTCGCGCACCGCTTGCGGTCGGTGTATGCGAGGTTCGTGCCAGGCGTCACCCGGGTTTGCTCCGTGTTTGCTATGGACTGTCATCCCGGGCGGAGGCCGATCCGCTGCGCGTTCGGAGATGGTGGCGACGGAACGGGGCAGCCACCACGGCCCACCAGTCGCACACGGCACCGATCCGCGGCCCTGCGATGGGCTCTTGTCGTCTATCTCCAAGACGCCGTTTGCATCGCACACTGGTGGTTGGCCGTTCAGCAACAAGCCCCTTCTTTCTTGACCCCACGTTGGCCGCTTCGGATGCTCTGGACCGCGACGTTGACGCGTTCTCGAACCCCGCGTTCTCTCACGTTGGGCCAGTATCATAAGGACGCACGCTAATCTTGTCACAGCTGCAGATTATGTCTCCGGTACGAATGACAAGACAGGTCACGGACAGTTACACCTTCAAAATGCGGGTCTACGTTTGCTCCGGCGCCCACGTTGTGCGTTATTTTGACTCGGATGTATTCATATGCGACACTTTTTCCAACGCCCGCAAAGTGGCACAAAATCGATAATCTATGCCCGAGATCCCTCCCCGCTCTCTCTTTCATGCGCCCCGTACATCATCCTATTCAACTACAACATGACGTCAACGCCTCGCTAAGACGGCCCTCGAGGCTCGAGGACTGCAGCGGTCACTACGTATACGCTCGCGGCAAGCCTCGCGTGCGTAGTAACAGATTAGATTAGATCTCCCTGGAGTGATCCGCGATCGAGAACAGGCGCCTATCTCTACCCGTCTGAGCATCTACCGTGCGGAGTGAAACCCACTTGCTCGTCCACCTGCGTTCCCTTACAACTATCTCATCACCTCCACCATGTCTGCTTTCTTCAACTTGTGTGTTTGTTCCCATTTTGTTCCCGTGTATGTCTCTGATGTCTTGTCGATCGCAGAGGAAAGACGCGCACTTTCAAGCCTCGCAAGGATGTGCCGGAGGGAACGAAACAATACCAGCTGCGCAAGTACGCCGAGGCTACCCTTGTACGCATATACGATGCATGGTCCCTGATACTGTGCTCTGACAAGACTTGTGATAGGGCTCAGGCAACCTGCGTCTTGCGGTGCGCCTGCCCGAGGGCGAGGACCTCAACGAGTGGCTTGCGGTTCATGGTGCGTTTCCTCCCCATCCCACCCATCACCGGAATATACCCCCGTACACGCTCGCCAATTCATGCCCGTTTCGCCATCTCCCATCCACACCCACGCGCCGGTAGCTGTCGACTTCTTCAACCACCTCAACATGCTCTACGGCACAGTGACCGAGTTCTGCACGCCACAGGAGGCGAGTACATCCCCGTCGGCCGCGGTTCGCACGCCGTTTCGCTGAGGCTCTGGTTCCGCCCGTGCGTCCGTGCACAGTGCCCGATCATGTCCGCCGGGCCCAGGTGAGCGTTCGGGCTCTGCGGGGCGATCGCCCGTCCGTCTGTCCACATCCCACCCCAATCCCGCCCAACGGGCATGATTGATGCCAGTACTGGGGTGTTGTGTCGGACGTGGACGCACGTTCGTACCCTGGACTGCTCGCTGACAGCGAGGGTCTGCAGATACGAGTACCTCTGGGAAGACGGGGCGCGGTACAAGAAGGCGACGAAGCTGCCGGCGCCCGAGTACGTCGACGCGCTCATGAACTGGGCTCAGGGGCTGCTCGACAACGAGGAGATCTTCCCGAGCGAGATGGGTGCGTTCGCCGCCGCTCGGCGTATGCGCACGGACGTACGCTGAGGTCGCGCGCGCAGGGAAACCGTTCGGGAAGACGTTCCGGGAGACGATTGGGCGGCTCTTTAGGCGGCTCTTCCGGGTGTACGCGCACCTGTACAGCAACCACTTTGAGCACATATGCGCGCTGGGCATCGAAGGTGCGCACAGTCAGCGATCTCAGAGGACCCCTGTGCCGGCGCGCGGGGACGGGAATCGGCGATGGGGGTGGGGATTGGAGAAGGCGTGCTGACGGCGGACGCAGCGCACCTGAACACGAGCTACCGGCACTTTTTCCTTTTCGTGAACGAGGTGAGCGTTTAGGGTTCGGTCGCTTGAGTGGGCCGGGAAGGCTGACTGGCGGCGCAGTTCGATCTCGTGGACAAGCGCGAGCTGGCCCCTCTCGACGAGTTGAACGAGGCGATCTTGGCAGAGGACAAGAGCCGGTAGACGGCGCTGCGCGAGGCAGAAGGAGGCGGCACGGGGCATAGTAATGGCGTGAGGGAGGTGCGGACTTGGGCTTGGATTACGGTACGCGCTGTAGAATATATGGCACCGCGCTGGGCTGGGATAGATACCCGGGGCTGGACCACCCCACGCCAGATTCCATAGTGAGCGAGGACGGCGGGGTGACGTCATAAGCGACGAGGAAGAGCAGGGAACGGACGAGGGATGGGCCTGGCTCGGTGGCAGGCTCAGGCCCTGCGAGGGTATAATAGCCCATCTCCTAGCCTGGCGCGACCCCCCACACATGCGCGAGAGCCCGTCCGCATCGTCGCCGCTCGTCCACTCCGGGGCCCAGAATGGACGGCAGCCGGACAGGCGCTGGATCTGCCCCCTCGTCCCGCCCCGCCACCGCGGCCGCACCTTCGACCGCGCTCTGCCGATCCGTACCGTGCACTCCATCCCAGATGCCCGTCTGAGCTCAGCAGCCTTCCTTCATATACCCTCCCGCCCGCCCGCTTCTGCCCCTCGCACCCACTCCCGCTGCCTTCCCCACTCCCTCCTTCTTCCCTCCACCTCCCCCGCCCCCCGTCATGGACAGCGCAGACTGGGATTCCGTGCTCCAGTACATCTCCGACACGCCTCAGGACCTGCCCTCGCCCCAACCTGAGCGTCCCGTCGCCGAGACCACTGGCCTCCCCCTCCATCCACAGCTCCCCACCCCGACACAGGTACTCACCCCGCCGGTACGCGTCCCCCAGCTTCTCTCCACTCCCTCCGCTGACCCCATCTTGCTCTCCCGCCCCGCGTCGCGTCGCGTTCCTGTCCCCGCACCACCCCGCACACAGGCTTCCGACAAGCAGTCGCCTCCCGACCTCCAGGACGACGTCCCGCAGGGGCATGTTCCCGGCAACACCATCGTCTCTGTCTCGACCACCTTCCACCCGGGCTCGAATCTCCTCCCTATTCCCCCAGACCTCATCTTCCTCTCTGCCGACGGCGTCTTCTTTTACGCCCACACTACGCAGGTACTCGCCCTGTCCGCCAACCACTTCAACAATCTCGTCCCCCCAAAGCTCAACAAGTCCAAGCTCCGCGATGACTTCGGCCCCGTCGTCCCCCTCCCCGAGCCCGCCGCCGTCCTCAATGTCCTCCTTCATGTCATTTACGAACTCTCATGCGCCCACTACCACCCCAGCATAGACACCCTCGCCGCCGCCGTCGACGCTATGGACGTGTACGGCCTCTCGCCCAAGCGCCATATCGCTCCCTCGACCCCGCTCTACTCGTTCATCCTCAGCCAGGCTCCCATTCAGCCGATCGTTGTCTACGCGCTCGCCTCCGCTCACGACCTCTATGAGCTCGCAGTCCCTGTCTCGTCCCACCTTCTCTCCTTCGCCCTCCACTCGCTCACCGACGAGATGGCAGTCCGGATCGGGCCAGTATACATGAAGCGCCTGTTCTTCCTCCATCTCGGCCGACTCGACGCGCTCAAACGCCTCCTCTTGCCCCCGCCCCATCCGCATCCACCTACATCAGGATGCGATTTCACGGAGCAGAAGAAGCTTACGCGCGCGTGGGCGTTGGCCTCAGCTTATCTCGCGTGGGACGCGCGGCCAGGTACGTGCCCTCGCCCTCGCTCGCTATGGATTGCTTGTTGAGCTTCGCTGTCCTTCTCATCAAACGCGTGCCCTGTATATGACGCATACATGCGCTCATCGTTGCCACGCTTGATGTTGGTGCACTCTCCTGGTCGTCAACACTCAAACATTACCACACTCGCGCGACCACCATCGCAGACCTGTCGACCAGTACGATGGAGGGCGCACTCTGCCCGCTCGCCGACCACCTCTCGTGCGAAGTGTGCAAGCAGAGCCTCGCGGACCGTGTGCGGCAACTCATCATCCAGTGGTCCGTCGTCAAGGTATGTTGTTTGCACTCGTGTCCGCGCCTGGCGTCCACTGACTATGGTCCCGTCTACGCCCGCCAGCGATCAATATGAGGTCAGATTGCGCTATCGAAGGCTTCTCCCGCACACCCACGATTTCGGAAGCCGGCGAGCTGCGCGCCTCTCTAACTCCCTCGACTCCACCTTCTCCTATGTTCGCCTCGGCCCGCCCCGCATGTGAGGCCGCTCACGCTGGGCACCCGTTGACGTCTTTCGCGCAGCTCCGCAACGCATGCGTTCCGCTCCACGGTTAACTCACTGCGCGGAGGACTTGGACAAGCGGTCGTCCGCTGACCCCGACCCCCGTTCCTGCCGTCGCGTTGCGGGCGAACCCAAAAAATCTCCCCTCCGCCCTGTAAATTATTCCTCCGTCCTCGTTCCGCAGCTCGCACCCGCTCTCTCGCATGCACTCCACACGCATAGTGTATCCGGTCGTCGGTCGCTCTGTATCCCACTTCCCAGGCTCCAGTTTCGTTCGCATGAATCCTCGCATCCACTGTAAAACACCCGCCGCTGTCTTGACTGTATCATAGCGCTTTCGTTCCTTCCTAGCATTAGCCCCTCTCCCCCCTCCCTCGTCCCGTAGCCGCAGCACGGCTCTTGCAGGCCGTTCCCTCATAAACGACAGACCCTGCCTGCAACGCCGTGCGCGGTTCCCCCTTCCCCTGCCCGTCACCTGCATCCCCCCTCGTCTGCATTTACCCCCACGCACCCATACGGAGTACGGTCACGACCCTCGTGCCCCTCCTCCCCTGTTTCTCATGGACTTTGTACTGAGAAGCATGCGTCTCGCACACACGTCTAGCATATTCTCTCTTGCCGATTACTGCTGCTACCGTACTGTTCCCGCACCCGCCTCTGCCCTGCACGCGCGAGGTGGCATAGTCTCCCTTCCACCCACATGAGGGCTCAGCGCGCCCAGAGGCAATGCCACACACACGCCGCTTGCTTTCGCTCGCTCGCGCCCTCGTTGTCTTTGCTGTGTCCGCCCGAGTGCCGCGACTTTACATCGACG